CACTGCTACCTCTGCTTGAGGCACTATCTTTGTCAAGCAGTATCGTGTCTCCCTGCTCAAATGAGCATTTGGCTGTGCTGGTGGCCCTCAGCCAGTGATCTACAATCCTACAACAGGTGCTGTGCTATGGTCCAACCACTCCGCACCTCGCAACCGCACTCTTCCATAAATCCATACAGCGAGAATTTGGATTAGTCACTAAATCTGACATTCCAGTGTGTAATGCTGCCGTACAAGAACTGGAAAATTCCAGAGAGAGGTGGCGACATAGCAAACGATGGCCATGAAGATTGGGGCATGTTGAAATGGGAAAGCAAAAGCAAACATGCATGAAGACAAACATAAGGGTATGCAATGTTGTTACGTAATTTACAGTTCGTGTAAGAAACAGCAGTTGGGCCGGGAAGAATCAGCAAGCGAAATAGATATTGGCTGAATCCTACAGCTCAGTTGGCCATCACAGACTGCCTTTTTTTCCCAGATTGTTCCGCAGCTCGTTTTACCAAAACTGAACACATCCCCCAGGCCACCAGCCCCATTTTGCGAGGTAAATCGCCATCCCAGTCCCTAAGGGTTGAGAGATCTCAACGTAAAAACAAACGGATGTGTGGATATTAATACAAAGATAAAAGGTACGGCAAGAGACCTGTCTTTCTGCAAAAGGTAATAGAAAGTGTAAGAAATACAATATTGGTCTGTACAGAAAAACATAATATGGCGTTATTTGTTGAGGACTCGGAGCACCAATAATGTTAAGCCAGTGCCAAATCACTGGTTGTAAGTGCGGTTATAATTGTGCATTTTGCAAGCATGGGAAAAAACACATCACCATTGTCCATGCGATTACAGCACCAGCTGTAGGAGAGCCTGAGGGTGGATTGCACATGAAGTTAATAATGTATCTGATCGGGTGGTGCTGTGCTCCAGGTCCATGAATCACAACTGGACGATTATCTGAACTAGCCTTGGGCCTCCCCTAGGTCGCCTCAGCCTCAAATGAGTACCTGGTGCAGTGTGTAAACATCGCCACTGCGGAGACAAAGGTGGTCGGGCGTGGTGCTGGCCACTCACCCCGTCGTTCATAGCTGCTCGCTAACAGCACATTCCTCCAAAAGTCTCTGAAGGCTACGCAGGGGGTGGGAGGAGGGATATTTGCCTTTTGTTTGTTATATGATCCTTATGGCAGCACCCTGGGGTACCAAATTATAATAAATGGCCGAGGCAATTAAATATTATATTTCTGGGACACTATTTTTTCCAGGGGTGTACTTCACTCCGCGACTGGGGTACCAATCAATCCGAAATCAGTGCAACACTCTGCGATGTCAAAACGCAGTGAGGACGATTGCACTGAAACCCTGAACGCTGGTACGCACCGTGGCGGTGCATCGTGAGTACAGCTCGTCGAGATGAGTCGATTGTCGTATCGCCGACCATCAACAGACTCAAAATGACTGCATCACGGACATTATGCCAGAGCCGAGCTACTATTGTACCCCGGGGTTACCGCCATGAGGTTCATGTGAATAAGTTCCAAATGTATATTTGAAACACTGCTTAAGGTCGTCACGGATCCCCATGGTATTGTCCCAAAGAAACCACAGCTTCTCTTCGCACTCCATTATGCAATCCGCAGCTGCGATGCATGGCTTCATGCCACGTGGGTATGAAACCAGAAGCCAGCCAAGGTCCACTGAGCTGGACCGTGCCTGATGCGACCTGTCCACACGTGATAGTTCAACGAAGTGGCTTGTCACGTGGAAATTTCGAGCAGCCAAATACAGTACTCTAGACGTATGTTGATTCTAAATGTGGAGGGGAAAACAGGAGGACCTAGAGGAAAATCGACGCGGCCACGGGAAGAGAGACATGCAAACTCCAAATATCCAGCAGGCGTCACAGGGTCGGGATCGAACCCACGTATTCCTGTATAGCAGGCGAGGTAGTTCACATCTCACCACCGAAGTGCCCCAACTGCAAAGACTGCAAATCCACAAGACCCCTGACAATCACATCCCATTAATCATCAACCCAATTCGTGGCAATTGCACCACGATTGACACGCATGAACATCAGCATACTGCTAATCAACCATTAACCAGCGCGTGTCGAGCAAATAAGCCGACAGCGACAATATATATGAACCACATCGAACTAACCAGGCCAACATCCATCACTCTACTGATAAGCGAGACATGACTACGTGCAGTGTCACACCGTAACGCACCAACCATCAGCACTACACTACTCACCACACAGCTCCAGGCAAGGACGTCCACCACTCATCACACCAATCGTCTCCACGATCACACACACCGACCATGGCTCGCAAACCATTTACCCACGACACAATTGAAAACTTTACATAAAAATGGAAATATACATGGCTGACCGTACTACTTTCCAGCCATTTAATCACCACGCCACGTATTAACCCCCCCCACTTGCACTCATTATGAAGAGCAAGAGGACCCATTAACCACACCACTCGCCCCCGTTAACCACATCACCCACACCCATTCACCACACCACTCACACCCATTCACCACACCACTCACACCCATTCACCACACCACTCACACCCATTCACCACACCACTCACACCCATTCACCACACCACTCACACCCATTAACCACACCACTCACACACATTCACCACACCACTCACACCAATTCACCACACCACTCACACCCGTTAACCACACCACTGACACCCGTTAACCACACCACTGACACCCATTCACCACACCACTCACACCCATTCACCACACCACTCACACCCATTAACCACACCACTGACACCCGTTAACCACACCACTGACACCCATTCACCACACCACTCAAACCCATTCACCACACCACTCGCCCCCGTTAACCACATCACCCACACCCATTCACCACACCACTCACACCCATTAACCACACCACTCACACCCATTCACCACACCACTCACACCCATTCACCACCACACAGCCGCCCTGTGCCCGCACTTACCACCCACTCCCGCACTCGGTTGTGGAAATTCTGCTCCCGCAGCGCGACATCGTCTTCCATTTCACCGCGTCCCACGGGACGATGACATGACAGCGCGCAGACGAGGGCGCAAGGGCTGCCCCCGCTGTGCTGCCTAGTCCACGCGTGCTGCCCTCCTCGTCACGTACCGCCCCTACCCACCACCACCACCACGGTCCAGTGCACGTGCTGCCCCCACGGTCCACGTGTTATCCCCCCACCCTCCTCCTCCTCTTCGCGGTTGCCCGCGCGCTGCCCTCCTGCGTCGCGCGCTGCCCCCCCTCTGCCGGCAGCGTCTCGCGCCGCCGCTCTTCCGACTCAAAGTGCCCCGCCCACGTCCACAAGTCACGCCTCCGTGTCTGACGTCACAATGCCATATATAGAGAGAAGAGTGACGTGGGGGTGAGGAGTTCCCCAGTGTGACGTCACGTACACGTGGGCGCCGCGAGCGGTGGCTGGCGGGCGTCCTCGTGCTCGGCAATCGGTGTCGGGGGCATCCCCGCTAAAGGGCGTGGTGTCCCCGAGGTGGAATCATGGGTTCCTTAGGCGATACGTGTGTTTGTGTCAGACAGAGGTCGTCTTGCGGATGGATTTGATCGTCGCCATAGAAATGAGGAGTTTCCAACATTTTAATTATTCAAGTACCTGTACCATGTATAGGGACGTCTCCGTGTCTCTCTCTCTCTCTACCCTCTGATATAACCGATGGACCTACCTGCCCACCCTCCAAAATGTATTTCGTTTCGCCTCCGATGCATATGGATCAACTCGGTTCTTCCCTCCGGACTTGATATGCTGAGTACAGTAGTTGAGTACCAATTTGGAAAATGTCAAGTGATTTTCATATTTTATGTATTTACTACATTTCTTACCTTATGCTATTCGTTGCGCACGGTTGCACTTTACTTTTGCTCAGTCGGTGTTAGCCGCTCAGGGCGTTACAAGTTTCTCTTTTCATCCCTGTTGCTCTATGCCCCCTCTACCGTTCCCGTTGTAATGTGCACCGATGCTCATTTTTATTCAGGACGATGTTGGCACGTAAAATAAAGATTGTATTGATATGGGGGGAATGCCCCCCCCCCACCCCCATCGTGAACACTGCCAAAGGAGATGAGTGTTGCCCATTTATATTTGGAAAACCGAGATACAGAGTCGAGTACACAATGTGTCATGTAGGCACACTTGGCATGAATGTTACAACGATCCATATGTAATAAGAATGACACCAGTAAGCACCGTTTTATAGGTCATGTGACCCCTTACAGCTGCTTTGGATGGAACGTTCTGACCGAAGCCAATATCATAAATGCCACATTCATTTGAACTATTTCTATTTGAAAGTATTTGAATCGTTTATGATTTTTTTACTGAACTATTAAAATCTGCGAGCAAAATATTAGCATTATCTAATTAAATAGTATGTAATTATTTCATTAAATAATACAACACCTTACATTTAATCAATGATAAAATAAATGCACTTGTATAAGTGCTTAAATGTTGTCAATTATTTTTCCAGGCATGTGTGTTTGTGGCTGTGGGAAAAATCAACAATACAAGATGGCATTCAAAGCTCTACACGGGAGGGTACACGAACCGACTTGCTGGACTGCTATCTGGACACCTCGAGCCCAACGCATCCCTGCGTGATTCACCAACCCTTGCCTCCAATTCACTGGACCACAGGTGTGCACCACTGATGCTACTGCTGCTGTATTATAGGATTATGTTGCTGCCAATGCTGTTTGCTGCTAATGATGTTATATATCCAGGAAAGCTGAGACTCAAGTCTTCTTTTTATAAACACTGTTTGTGGTTACTCTCAATCACAATGGTTTTACGAGTTAGAGATTATTTATAACACATTCACATAAAGATCCCTGTGTTGCCCATATCACCCCATAAGGACAAGTATCTTGAGTTTGGGTGGTGCAGGGGTAATTGTAAGTTAAACAACATTTTTTAATAGTAATATATTCACAATGACAAAAAAATGTTTTTATGAATAATCACGTTTTTATTCTTTTTCTAGGATAAATCTCCAAAATTTTATTGCAAAATATTTCATAACAATGACAAAATCAACAACTCTAACTAATGAATTGGTTTGCAAAATGTATTCTTATATATTTGCTACATAAGATAAATATATTTTTGATTACATTTCAACCAGGATATGGTCAACTCCCATGACACTCATGTGCTATATAGGTAAGATATTTAATTCTTCCCATTAAGAATAAGCTGCTTGAATCTCATATCAAATGACAAGTACTGTTACAGGGCAACCACTCAATGCAATATCAAGTATTGATATGGGATTAAAGCCACAAATCAATAGTCACAGTCGAAGTGTCTCCTTACTCCAGTTGTAGCTCTGTGCTCATGGTGGTAAATCAAAATGACCACTGTTGACTCCACAAAGATGTACTCATTTTGTTAACCCCAATAAATGGTGGACTGAGCCAACTCCAAATAGAATAACTTGTGTCTCCCTGCTCATTTGAACTGATGTCTCCCTCCTCATTCAGGCAAGGGGACACTTTAACTTGAGCTAATTCTTTGGTCATTGCGGTACACACAGGAAAGTACACCGGCACTAAAGCATATCTGTGAATACAGACAAGTCTGGTAAGCAGCCAGCTCTGTTTTTTCGGCCGCACCACTCCCCTCTGGACAGCACAGCTGCCCTAGTCAGCTGTGTTGAGGCTGTGCTGTGTGAGCTTGCTGCCAGCTGGGCTGATGCTCTGGAGCTCCTTGGAAGAGATGGAGGCCCCTTTGCCGCTCCGTGGAGTCTGTGTGTGCCGCTCGGTCGATGCCAAAATCATGTGCTGGGAGAGGCTGTGGGCAGTTAGTGATGTTGAACAATTAATGGAAGTCATAGCGGTGAGCCCATTAATGGTCAGGTTGCCTCACATATATACATATTTACCTTCAAAACCTCCAAGTGTCTCTATACTCAAGTACAGGGTAGTGATTGTCTCCATTGATTGCCCTCACATGATGATATTCCAAATTTCTGCAATCGTTGTCGGTGCTTTGCTCTCCCTCTCCCCCTCGCACCTCCAGGCACCGTACTTCTAGCCCCGCCCACTCCCCCCCCCCTCCCCCCCTGCCCCCCCTGCCCCCCCCCCCCCTGCCCAGTCTCACGTTCCAGTCCCTAGCGCACACGCAACACTCCCCCTCCCCCTATTCCCCCACCGTCCTCTCTGACTTATATAAACCCCTTAACTCTGGCATCTCTCCCACTTCAGTAAAACAAATTGCTGTGGCTGTCACACCTGATTATGATTGCTTGTGTTGCAATCGAAACGTCGTGATTTAATTAATTTATTTTAATTTTTTCACCTACGTTACTTTACCGAAAGAACCAAAAAGTATGGATCCTTGCAGTCACGAAAACTTCAAATCTAGAAAGGGACCAATTTCTCAATTTGACAACCACTGTTAACTTCCCAAGATTCTGACAATGAGTCAGGTACTTTAACCATATTGCCACCTGGCTGGATATCACAGTAGCACACTGCACAATGCACATTACTTTATTTCTAAGTACTGTATCACTAAGCTGGCATTCCGCAATGGTTATCATATCAAATAATATTCTTGACTCGAGAAATAGATAATTAAAAAACAAGTGAAATGTTTGACCAGTTTGACCTGGGTCCACTATCCAATTCCCCCAGTGAAAATGATAGTTGAGGCAGTTTCCATACAACGGCTGCTCACCTGGGCAAGGCAGATGGAGGTGGTGGCGGCAGGGCAATGAATCGTGGGCGTGAGGTGAGTATCACCTCTCCATTGCTCGCCTCCGTCACGATGTTGGCAAGGGTGTTCTCCAGGACTAACTCCAACAAGTTACGCAACTCCGGCAATCTATAGTACATCACCAAAAGTCCAGACACATACCCACCCAAAGAATACACAAGGGGCAAGGCTGCAATGCATATGCTAAAGTGTCAAACTGTTCAGACAATTGTAGGGCAGCACTAATCTCTATTTCCACTGCCATTCAAATCCCAATACTGTATTTTTTATTGAAAGGACAATAATTGCCACCACCCTACTGAACTAGATATAGCATGTGGATCATAAGGATATTATGTGCACTGTACCCCCTAAAATGTGCACAAATCAAAATATCTATTCATCTACCTTCCAACTACAGTTTTGCCTTAGGTCAGTGAGGATGTGCTTACAATAGATATGTGGTGAGTAGTGTGTTGTAGCAGTTTTTTATGCTCTACTATGGTCAAGGTAGCCGAGGTTTAATTCCTGTTTACACACAACAACAGTTATGGCCTGGGCCCCTCGATGATGACTGGGCCTTAGCATTAACATATATATTTTTGGGTCTTTCGGTAAAGTCATGTAGATAGGTTAAAAGAAAAGAAAAAAACTACGACACTTCGATCACAACACAAGTCTTCAGGAAAAGGGGGGTTAGCTTCAAAGGCAAACTGTTTATAAGGGTTTGAAATAGGCATAGCCCAAATGTCAGCAGCCAATGATAATCAAAGGGCTGCCAGGTTGATTGTTGGAAAACCAACCACCATCGGGTTGGCTGCCCACCACTTACATTATCATTGGCTGCTGACATTTGGGATATGCCCATTTCAAACCCTTATTAACAGTTTGCCTTGGAAGCTAACCCCCCTTTTCCCGAAGACCACCGCTGGTGTTGCGATCGAAACGTCGTAGTTTTTTGGATATTTTTTGTTATTTTCTTTGAACCTATCTATGTGACTTTACCAAAAGACCCAAGAATATGAATTCCTGCAGTCACGAAAGCTTTAAGTCAAGATTTAGCATTAACATATTATGCAATTTGTCATTTGGGTGACAAAGGCAGTTGACAAGGTGTTGGCCAGACCTTAATAGCTTTCCACTAACAGCACTGGCTCCTGCAGTATAAAGATAAATGGGGTCAACCTTACCTCACCCTGCTGGTCTCAATCAAATGGGGTCAGCAGAGTGAGGTTATGTTAGTTTAAAATATCCATTATGCTGAGGAGAGCAACGCTGAGGGTAAGGCAAATGGCAAACATGCCTAGTTTAAACACTGGATTGTTATACAGAACAGCCCTCTGGAAATTGTGAGGACCTGAAAAAATAGGATTTCGTAATGCCCAAGTGCTTGCAAAACAAACTATCCAAATAGCAGTCACATGGAAAACCTAATAATGTTACAATTACTATTAAAGCGACCTCAACTGTAAAATGCATAACGCTATCTCTTGTGATACTGAATTGGTTTCGAAATGCAAGCTACTGGTTGAAGAGTTTATACAGAGGGGAAGTATCTCCTCACCTTTTTAGTTGATCCTTCCACAAGACCTCCTTCTCATATGGCTGCTGCAGTGTAATCTTCTCCCTACTTACAAATACATTGCTCTCCATTTCATATTTGTTCCAGTTGTTGCCATTCTGTAAACATCAGCAATACACACACTTACCCTCTGAATTTGTGGGAGGCACAAGAGTATGCATGCCCCCTTAGACCTATAAAATGCCTTAACTAAACTAAATTAAGTTTGAACAAATATTTATATATATTAAAAAACATTACAAATCAACATTTTCTGAGATACACCACTGTTTTATAATATGTACTTATTTGATCACAATCATTTATAAACAGACTATGCACTCTTAATGACACTAAGTTATATTGCATAGTTATGTTGAGTATTGAAAATAGTTGTAAACTAGCACAAAGTCACGTTTGCCATTTAAAACATGAATTGGGAAAACTGGTGATGTTGCAATTCTTAACGACCGGTGCAGATGCTGTCAGCTCAGGGTTAGCGCTGGAAGGACAGATCTCAGTCGCATCCATCCCGCTTATGTTTTCTTCACTGGAGACGTCTGTGTGTTCCTGAGCAATCCGCTGTTGTGTCTCATCCCTGATGCTGAACTGTCTGTAGAATGACACTGGCTCCTTCTCCAGATGTGCCAGAGCCTGGTGGAAGCTCTTATCATCCATCAAGCTTCTGTGGTAAACCCAGTGGCAGACAAGCAACCAGTTAGGAACACGTACATCTCAGTGGATTCTATTTAAAATGGTTTAATCCCAAAGATATTATAGTCGTGCTATTAGCAGGATGCCATGATACAAAGACAGTTTTATGATTAGACTTACCATGTAATTTCAGGGATTACTTTTAATATTTCCTGCAACCTAAGGTATATTTACAATTGTGTACAGTACTCTATTGTGTGAACGTAAATTTGTAAACATGAGTTTTTGCTGTACACTAAAAACATTTTCTCTGGCCCTTACTTGAGCAGGTTGGACAGCACAAGAGGCAGAAGCTCTCTCTGCTCATCTGTAAGGGGGCTGAAGGCACGCATGTCATCGTTTATGTGGCATTTCGCTCCATCCTTCATGTGACAACCCTCGTCTTTGGCTGCAGGATGGCGCAAGCAACCACCACTGTCAGAAATCCTGACAAAAAAATCAACACCGGACAGAGATAAAAGGAAACGCATGTGCTGGTCACTTCTCATGTGCTTCAAAGTTAAGCAGATACCATTTTGCTTGTATTTAACATTTCCAGATTTTCATATAGGAATGTAGTTCATATTAAACTCATTCACATACCCATGAAAAACACAGGAATAAATCAATTGTGATTCAAAAAATAGTACCATTTATATTATTTTCGTAACTTTTCAAACCCCAACAATTCAATACATTCCCACTAATATTTCTGTCTCATTTGTACTCTCCATCTTACGTGTATTGTCCCTGTGATTTGTACTGTCTGTCTCGATTGTTGTTTTCATCTCATTTGTACCATTTATAATATTGTAATCTAGTTAGTAATGAACAGATGGAATTTTTAGGGGTGTAATTATGCATCGATTCATTGATTGATACTGATTGTTACACTTATGATAAACACAATCATAGTGCATGTGAGAATAGAGTATTTTGATTCCTATGTGGTTATTGTAATGGGTTCCTGTTAACCCTTGCATTTACGAGATGATACAGTATTCATTACAATGTTTTAAAAAGAATCAATTGTGTTTGATCACATCACAACCCTAAATTGTGACAATTCATCGCACACAAATAAAAACAAATTCCGGCGATTGATTTGTTACAGGAATATCAATTACACATAGTTTGTACAATTTCCTGTTGATATCAAATTGAGAAAACCTACCTCGATATGTGTACAGCAGGCATGAGCTGTGAGAATTGTGCTTCGAAGGATTGGATCGAGTGGGTCCGGATCGACACACCCAGGTGTAAAAGCTGAGGCCTGGGAAGCTCTGGCTGGGTAATTTCCTCTCGCTCCTTCCGATAGCTTCTCCTCTGACGCCGCTGGCTCCTGGTGCCTGAGTTCTCCCCGTTCTCTTCTGCACCAATTGGAGGCAGTGCCTGCAAGGGGAGATTAAGCACAGCCAAAGCAGTCATTCAAGGACACTTTCCGCAACATAGAACACTATACCTCGGAGTATTCAAACTAATGGTTTAGCAACTGTGTGTGTGGATGTCGCCGTTCAGTCTTTCATAATCACTTTGTGTTGGTATGTTATACAGTAATGTCAGTTAATTATCCATAAAATCCTCACAGTCTTGAAACTTTTTTAATGAGGATGTTATATTGAGATGTTTGGGCAATGCCATTAATTAGTGTTAACAAATTGAGATAAATTGGTGCTATAACACAACATGTAGTTTCCGTACAAACCTTGTACTTGTTCAGATGCTTACTGGAGCCACTCAACACTGGTGATTGATGGTTTGCCAACTTCTCTGGAGCCTGTGAACAACATTTAAATAAACGTGTGATGCACTGCACTAGACTATATATGCATTTACACTAGACTATATATGTATTTCATATCAATCTCACTATAGGCTGCATATTCAAGTGGTTATTAGGTTTCCAATTGAGCTATTATGCACCAATGGTTGAATATCCATTGCTGTCACCCAGTATAAAAATGTATTTCAAAAGAAAATAGGTTAGAAAGTGGACGTAAACATCCTGACAACCAACTACATATACAAAGGTATATAACGTCTGTTATTTGGCCAAGTCTATAGGCCGAATAACAGATTGTGACCGAACACAAGTGGAGCATGATGCAGTTCTTCAGGAACTGCTGATGGGTTTTTTCAAAATGCATAATGGCTGTGTGATTTTTGTACCCAGTTTTGCGTGTTGCTTGAAAGTCGGTATCTCGTTGGTGTGCTCCACTCATAAGAGTGCATCCATTCCCGCGTTGCCAAGTATGACCATTTCCCTTATCAATCACTGTTCACATTTTCTGTTTACGATGCTAAACCATGAGGTGTGACCATTTATATTAACTCTCAAGGTCATTTATGAATATATTTTCCTCGTAAATGTGTTACAATGATGTCACCTGGGAGGCTGTGGATGTTGGAGCAGCCGGTGGAAGGAGGTCGTGCTCAGTAATGGTAAACTCGACCTCCTGCCGCTTATACTCAGCGTCCATCTTAGCCTGTTGTGATGTAAATGCCTGGAACTCCATCATGTCAATTACCTGATCCCACAAAACACACATTTAGCCTCGCACACTGTAGAAGCAAGTGCTGGTAGTGGGTACTTATTAAGGTCAACATGCATATAAGGCTGAATTGCTTCTATATATGTTGACATGCTGCTGAAAGTACACATTTTTATCTGAGTTGCTGGCCTGGAGGTATATTTAAGTGCTTATCCCACAATCAGAATGTTGCGAGTTCTCAACGGTTCTATGGTCAACTCATGCAATCATCTTTCAGAAATTAATAAAATAAGTACCACTTTGTAAGAAGTAAACAGCCCTATCCCATAGAGTGAATGGCTCCTGTCATGGTCTCCATTGGAGATGAGAGCTATTGATCCAATTCCCATATTGGCAATGCTCTATTCCTTTATGTCTGAATCATCAAGGCAATGAGCTTTGTCTATTTCACAAACAATTCTACCTTGCCCTTGTTTACTTTGTAAGCCACTGTGAGAAGAAACCAAAGTGTACAATTAGGGCACGACCGTACCTCGCATACAAGGTCGAGATCATATAAAATAGGTTGACCAAGGGCTCTGAGAGTGAGCTTGCAGAGCACACTTCCTCCTGGGTGCAGCGTACCTTCCTTGGGCTCTAAGTTCAGCACCTGTTGAGAGACAGACATACCACGCTTGTTGACATGCACATAGGCACTCACCCTCTCGTGCCGTCCTATTTTCAGAGCGTTGGTGGCATGCAGCATCCTCCTTCCACATCTCTCGAAAATGAATTACCCATCCTGTTCATGTTTTTTTTTTTTAACCAGCATTTTGATTATCTTAGGATAATTAAATACATACTAAATGGCAAATGTATAAATTTTCACTGATTGTTTATTTGTTTAGTACAATATGCATATCTAACCATGTGACACTATGGGTAGAGCACTTGGCTCACAATCAGAAGGTTGAGTTTACAACCTGGGTGGGGATTGAACTCAGTACACTATCCCTTGATGACAGTACCAACTTAGTTAAAGTTAATAGGTGTCCTGTAGAAAAATTATCCATGTCCATTAGAATGTGGACTTTCCACCAATAGCTGTGGACCATCAACAGAGATGAGCACCACTCAATATTTGAATACTCGGACACTAATCTAACTTTCACTTGATAATACCAGGCTGGTGTTCTGGCACAGCGAACAAAGTATACTATTTCTAAATTATTTCTTAAGTAAGAAATAATTATGAACAAGACTAAAAGTTGACCGAGCTTAAATGTTCTCATTATGTGATGAATAATCATCCTTTTCTTCAGTGTACCGAAATTAGGTATTCAGTGATAAACTGCAGAAAATTATAACAAAACGTTTATTATTTTGATGTTTACCTATAATCACTCGAGAAGTACTGTATACGATTAGTATTTATTGTATTTGATTTTAATTTCCTTGTCAAACTTGACATGACTGTACAGTCGTTGTATTAACTTAATGTCATTAAACTCAGGTCGTTGGGTTCATAGTGCACCCAAAAACAAACATATAATTATGATAAGTAATATGAATGTCTACTTGTTGCTTTGGGTTGTCCCTCTCACGAACTATCCTGCCAAAGTACATGTGCCAATCTGTCTGGGTGACCATATACATGCCTCACCTCAGTGTCCACGTGTGAAGGATGACGCCAGATGAAGAACACTGCCCTATCCTTGGATGTATTGCTCAGGAATAAAATTCGGGTGGACTTGCTGTACACGGGCAGTTCCCCAAAGCTAAGCTGCTCCACAGACAGGTGTGACAGCTGCACGAGACACAGGTATAATGCACAAAGCGGCACTGTGATGTCACTCAGTGTAATTACATCACACATGTATGTAGTCTATGGACAAATGACTTGCTGTATTGGGCTATGATGTGTTCAGGAACGCAAGCAATCTCAAAATTCAAGTGCGATTAATATTGTGATGTATTAACACAATACCTATCGCGACCAAATATATTGCTTCCAATACTAGGTGGGTATCAATCAAGAAGAAATTAAATAGGTTTTGTATGTTGCCAGAAAGTCAAATGACTGAAACACATCACAACTCCCATAACACCACAATGTCTGACACATACAATTGTCATGGTTTTATTTTCATTATAGTTTCATATTAATAGTCTATTAAAAAGCAAGTAGACGGATATACGTGATTACTGCCCACATACTACTGGTGAAATATAATAATTTATTTCACAATTTACATGTATAAAGCACTCTTAGACAATCGTTCTCATGGCGCATATATAATAAACCAAATTATGAAATAGTACACAGATCACCAGACTAAGACACAGTTAGGATTTGTAGAATTCAATATTATTGCCTATGGCTCATGACATACTGAGGAATTCATATTTTTATGATAAAATGTTGAAGCTCAACACTTATAAAGCCAGCATGAAAAGTGACAACCATAGAAATAAACCGAGTTAGAAATGTCATGGAAGATGGGGCCACCTACATCGGTGGAAAATGACAGAGAATTCACGTTACAACTGTGAACACCAAAGACAAACTATGGACCACATAGTCCGACACTGCCCTCTTAGACCATTCAAGGGCAATGGCACAAACATCACCAACACTTCTCCGGCAGCCTGTCAAATGGCTAAATAATCTCTACATTAACATATTACCACTGGTGATCACACTGGTTAACCATATGAAATAACGTCAAACCTGTACTATCCTCTGAATTGAATATGAAGTCAATTTTAGAGGACTCCTACTCAAACTAGCTGTTCTATACCGTGTAGCATTCATCTCCTTTTGTGGTCCTAAACTAATGGAGGACATTCCTAATTGCTATGGTGGAGGCATAGCTCTTAAAGGGACAACTGTTGAATTTGCACAAAGTGGTACGGAGCCGTCCATAAATGACGTCACGCGATTTTGGACGATTTTTGACCCCCCCCCCCTTGTCACACGGCGTCACAAAAAGTCAGACCCCCCCCCCCTCAAATATGACGTCACAAAGCTCTGCCCCCCCCCCCCAAAACCATATTTACATTTTGAAAATAAAATATGCTTCAAATCGCTTTAAACTATTGTCATTGTAGTGCGTATTTAATGTGGTGCTGCACTCTGATGTTGTAGGAGTGTTGTTATAACAATTAGTGTTGTTATCACAATTCTATATTCATTTAAAAGTTGCACATTTTGATGTGACAGTCACATTTCTCAACCCCCCCCTTGTCACACATCGTCACAAATGTCTGACCCCCCCCCGCCCAGGTGCGTGGCGTCATTTATGGACGGCTCATACTCACTTATTGGCCCCGATGGGACGATCGTCTAATTTGATCCCTCAATGGGATTTTCAACTTGCAACCTTCCAATTGTGAGTTCACAAATCTGATCGGAATGCTACTTGGCCAAGTTACATTACATTTAAGTTTATAGGAAATTTCCAACTTAAACGCTGTTCCAATGTATTGATAATTCTAAGAGTAGTAGGATAAATGTTTCATGGCAGCCTCCACAACATGCATTTCATGTGCTAGTCCTGAAAGTATTCAGTTTCATCACATTAAATAGATGAAATGAACAAAATATCAATGGATAGTGTATTTTCAAATGATGCTTTCAATGAGCAATTGCAAAAAGGGATTACTAGGCATACGGCCAACAAGAGTTGCATTCACCACCCATGACAGATTGCTACATGGAATGGATTGCTAAGCATACAAATAAAAGCAAAAATCATAACTACTTTAATACGACTGAAAGGAAACCTTTTGTCTTACTGCAAGCTATTTAATGGTACTGTTGAATTATAATGGGTTAAATTACAAAGTAACTGGAAGATGTGGAGCACATTCATTGTATAAAGTATGCACCGTGTCTGACAGCACGAATAAACGGCTGTTATTTACTGAGCCGTACCATATTTCAATGTACCATGTTGTACTACAGCATTTGTCACTGCATTTTAGAGAAATACATATTATAATATGAATACAGCAAGTACCATACTGATAATAATGATTGCTGTACATTGTTTAAATCTTTGCAGTGTTTAGAGCTAGTTCTATTTTCACCGTGTAAGATTATAAAGCTTGCAAGCCTCACTATGGTCATCTTTATATAGCAAGTTTTATAACTGGGGTTCTAAACCCCTTAACCAATATCAAAATAATTTCAAACTTCAGCGCTAGTTATAGCCAGACCAGTAGTGGGGAGTAAAAAGGTGTTGGCTTACAGATGCAGTCTTTTTGGAGCCCTTAGGCTGAATTTATCACAAAATAATAGCGACAAACTCCAGGTTTGGTACTTCTGTACTATGCCCTATCATGCCACAATCTTGGGGGCAATTTCATCCTCTGCTGAGCCGTAATCTGCCGTGCTTCTCTACACTCTCCGCTGCTGTGCTGGCCATTGTACGGACCTGTAAGGGTAAGTGTGGGAAGGGTGCAGCAGATGGTAGCAGCTGGGTCAACGAGTTCACCCAGTTTAGGTGAGTGTTGTCCGTCTGCTCCTCGTCAAATCCCACACCGCGGAATGTGACCAGTGACGACTCTCCATGCAGGACGTGTATTGGCACGTCCACCTGCATGATGGGGCAGGCGCATCACAATCAGGACCGAGCGAGAGCGTATGACCTCTACTCTAAATAATATAGAAAACTGTGGTGTAATTGCTCTTACACTATTTGTAATTAATTTGATTTGCAAGTTTTGTTGATTATCATATTCCGATTGTGACATTTATAAAATGTAATCAAGAGAGGAAATGTCTTGTAATCACAGCAAGCAGTGCATCACCTTGTGTCAGAAACCACCACCATAAAATGAATTAACATAACTGCTTCAGTAGATATCTTACTTGAACAGGCTTCTTTAGCCACATTGCCATAAAACCTATGATCTTTAAGTAAAAATAGGCTAATTAATGACATAGCTGATAAAGTTGGAAGCTGTTTTTAAGGCATGCAATGCTGTTGGGCACCAGGAAAAGGGGGAGGTAAGGGATAAGGTGCAATTGGAATAGCATGCAGTGGTCAATAACCAAGAGGAAAACCTTCAGCCAGATGGTGGGGCACTTTTAAGAGCAGACCTTGGAGGTCTGGTGTTAACAGCATCAGTTGCAAATATACGGCAGATGGCAGCGTTACGTATGTGCATGGTGTTATAGGCACTGGCTGTTATTGCTTCTTAAACATTGAACTTCTTTCATTCTTAAATGATACCAGGGAAATTCCTGTAAATATGTTGATTCTCCTATGGGTAATTCTCATGTTAAAATCTTCATTCACTCGAAATTGTTTAAAACGACGCTAACATGTCTCGAATATAAATCTCTGAGATTATGGAACTGTTGGAATAGCAAGCGTTTTCTAAGTGGATTTGCTAAAAGATCATTGAAACATTATATACATTTATTGGAATAGAATTCCACAAATTTTCATCACAAAATCATCGGGGTTTCTATTAATAATTCCTACATTGTCATTCTATTAATGTAAATGTATATTCCTGCATTTCCTTCGTCCAAATAATCCACATGAATTTCACAGGGTCATTCGTGGACTACCATTCCTTGTAATCACGGCTAAATATGACATTTGGCAGTTTCCCCAAAAATACTCACATGTTACACTCATGAAATTCGAAACGTTATTCAACTCCAATAATCAGATTAAGATTCTGTGTGAGAGATGATGGGAATTACCCAGCACGACTTCTGAATGTTTTCTGTCATGGCAGCAAGTTACAACACAGCAGTGAAGGGTGTGAGCAGCACCACAGTTAAGATCACCGTGTATGTTTTGGCCTCTAAGGGACAGAAGAGCCAGAGGGTGTGTGCCGTTTCCCCAGGCGCGATGTTCCCCTCGGGGGTGAGACACTCCAGAACGCTGTGCGAGTAGCTCTCGTCACAGACCACTCGCAGGGAGTCCTGCTGCACCAAGAAGCTCACGGGCATCGCTCCACCATTGTACAGGTCAAACACCTGGCGTACACACACACACACAAAGACAAATATCCCCCGTATAGCCTTAAAAAACCGTTGGGGAAAAGTGCTGTTACGGCAAGCGCTGTTAGCACTTGTCCCAACATTGCCGATGTTTACACAATGCACCAAGTACTCATTTTAAGCTTAGTCCACCTAGGGAAGGCCCAGGACCGGTACAGATACTCGTCACTGGTGTTGGCCATGAGCGGGAATCAAACTCGAGTCGCCGGGTTCGTCGCGCAGCACGCTAACCGCTACGCTACCGCTCCGCACATAAACGACACACACACATACATACAAAAACAAGTGATACAAGCAGAATGGCAACTTCGCCTCTCCAGCAAGTGTTCGGACATTGCATGTGACTAGCGACATGTATTGTCCAAAACTTCTGGAGGCTCCTAGAAGGGGAAAATCTGCCATATGGGGTTTCGCACGAGATGCCATAGACACCTATCCCCTCGGGGCCTCAAGCTTTGGTTTTCTTGCCATGGTTCCTTGATAATTAAATTCAAGGCGGAGCGGTTAAATCACTGGCCACTTGCATTAGTCCAGAGCCCCGAATTACCACTATTTACCCGGGAAAGTCACAATGATTCCAAAAGCTCGTTTTCAGGAGGGTCCTGCATTAGCATGTTTGGCCAACACCAATGTGTTTTTCACGATGGGAGGAAACCAGATAACCCAGAGAAAACCCATGCCAAAGAGGGGGAGAACATATAAACACCACACAAAAAGATGCCTCAGTAAAGAATCTGACACTGGTCCTTTTTGCTGTGAGGCACATATAGTGAGTTCCATAAACACGCTCCCTCATGTAACTAGAGCTTACCTGTATGGGTGGGGTTTGGCATCTCAAAGCCACAGGCAGTAATGTATGCTGGTGGGATGGGTAATGGATGTAGTGTAGATCAGAAGGAACTGTCACTCCCACCAGGTTGAGCTGCAGTACACACAGCATCAAATTAAATATCGTTCGGAATACATTTACATTTCCCATTGAATTACATTGTACAAATACACTATTTGCCGAATAATGCATCACGGAATCTCAATAAAGGTGTTCGTGTGGGTCCTGAATTGCAATGTTTGGTTCATTTCTTAATGAATCTCTAATATCTAGTGGGAATAATCTGGAGCACCCAGAGAAACTCCATGCATAATGCATGTGACAAAATAAAAATACTCAACAATCCATACAAAATAGTCAACAATCAATTTGATTATCTCTGTGAGCTACAAAGCTTGCCTCAATAGCAGTGGATTACAGTTGTGCACTATAACACCTGGCACACTACTATAAATATAACCAGAGCACATGATCAAGCCACATTTACATTCCTTACAGCTAGATAACTCATTTTCAAGTTTCAAATTTTTTTCAAGGTCCATTCATAATACAGTTGTATTACCATTTGTATTGTTTCATAACAAAGTAAAAATAGGTGGATTTAATTTCAGATATAAATAACGATTTTATATCCTCACTTATAAGCTAGCTTAGTCATGTAGAGAATGTCAAGGTTGTCACTACATTAAAACGTAATCACTATGCATATACCATAGCCAGGAATACTTTTTTTTTAAGTGTGGATATACCATACTACATGTTTGTGTTTGGTAGTAACATTTAAATTAATATATAATGACTTAAAGCTTTTGTGACTGCAGAAATTAATACTCTTTGGTTCTTTCGGTAAAGTCACGTAGATAGTAAAATTCTAAAAAAAATCACGACGTTTCGATCGCAACACAAGCAATCGTCTTCGGGTGAAAAAATACGGCAGGTGAACTGCTGAAACATTTACATGCAAAAAACAGATTGATATGCTAATCTCTAGCAGTACAATGGCCGCCTCTTCAGCACCGTAGTCGTGAGGTATGTCAGGCTCTCCGATCTTACATTTACATGCAAATTCCATCTCTAGCCCCGCCCACTTACCCTTGGGTTGCACCCATCTCAAACCGATATAACCTCCTGTTGCAGCAGCTCTTCCGCTATATATCTCCTGCCTCAGCAGTATATTTCTCCTGCCTCAGCAGTTTGCCTACTGTATTTTTTCACCTGAAGACAATCACTTGTGTTGCGATCGAAACGTCGTGATTTTTTATTATTTTTTACATTATTTTTCTATCTACGTGGCTTTACCGAAAGAGCCAAAGAGTATTAATATATGTCTATACAAGTTTAGAGTTATACATGAATTCACCGTAAGTTATTTTTCACAAATATAAGCATATGACAAAAACACAAAGAAGCATAATGTGGTAGAGCGCAGAAAAAAACAGGTGAGACCACAATAACAATTGAGTTGAATTAATACTTACAGGTATGCTCCTGCCATGAGTGACCCTGAACACCACCATCAGCCAGTCTGATGCTGGAAACTCATGCCTAAATAATTGCACATTAAAGAGGAAGCAGATAGCTCTTTAATTAAAATCAAAAATGGAGTCAACATATCGGTGAAATCATAGTTATCTCAGAAGCTCTTACTCAAGGAATAGTGAAGTCAAAGTCAAATATCAAGCAGCTGAAATGAGCATCAGGCAGCCCTTATCTCTGTTTACCCAAAGTCAGTGGTGTAAATTCCACTTCCCCCTCGTAGGGACCAGTCTGTCCTATAGAACAATTACCATTGACTCCAAAACATCCTTTCAATGCCAAAGGGGGCAACGGAATAAGTCGACCCCAGAATGGAATTTGAGCACATGACAGTCCAATTGTGTGTGGAAAGAGTGTTGGAGGCAGTTACCCTCCAACAACAACGGAGGGCAGAGAAGTGATGCTCACAACAACGAGTAGGAGAGCTGGGCGGCTAAAATGCAGCAAGTTTTCACAGTAGCGGGCACAGCTGGTGCATCTTACAGTCATCTAAGTCAGTCAACCCATGGCACCTCGGTCTGTTTCGTGACCTGTCAGCGAGCCTTCGACACTTCACGTGGCCTCAAAATGCACCTGGCCTGGCACGGGTGCCGTAGTGATGTCACCACCACTTCGTGACGAATGGCAGGTATTGGTATTATTGGAAAGAGTCTTCTAACTGCAGCTGCACACCACCAGCGAATGACGGTTTTGCTCAAAAATTGTATTAGTTGAGAAATGCTGCCCTCTGGTGCTAGTGTGTGCACATACGTGCATGTGCATTGGCATACAAGTGAGAATGAGCAGGCGTTGTGAAAAAATATTAAATATTGTTTATGATTGACCAAGCAAGCAATGCACTGAACCAAAGGTCCTGCCAATACATGCTTGGTTGAAGGTCATGAAGTGGTGGCTGGTGGGTAAATATATTAGGTGTGGCATGGAAATCCGCTTTTGTACTGTCAGCTTTGGTAGGGGTGCATTTGCTCTTGGCTGGCATTGCTCCTCCGGACATCAGAAGAATGGTAGTTAGTCATGCAGAACGTCATGCCAGACCATGGACACCTACGTTTACATAGCTTTTGTCAATAGAGAACACGTGGCTCCAACTCTAGAACGCATGACTGCAAGCAACGTCAGCAGTTTCTTATATCAGCAGCTACCACCAGGATAAGAATAACCACGGGCAATCTAGGGATGCCTGAACCACCTACGCGCCGGTGTTGGCAGCTTCAAAATAAACCTAAAAAATGTAGGTCTATTGAGACCAGGCCTAGAACACGAACTGCATCCGTGGTGAAGATAAGATGATGCCTCAACTGTTCCAGTGTCATTTGTTACATGGAGCCATCCACAGCTGACGAGTTCAGGACTGTGACTGACCGTGCAAAGGCCTGTGCCCAAAAATGTGTCGTCAATTGTCTATGTTGGTATGATGGACAGAAAATTATGAGTAGGCGCTTAATACAGCACTTGCTCCTATGGTCTAAAATATAAACACGAGATCTTTGTGCATGTGTGAGGCATGTGGCAAAAGAGTAGTTACGTGCCTGTAGGTGACTGTGACAATTTGCTTAGCCCCTGGCTGGAGTTGGCCTCCTCGAGGGAACACAGTGAATGTCTGGTCTCTCTGGAGACGTGCAATGCGGAGTTCACGGGCATCCAAGTCCATGTGCTCTGCCCACACCTCCAATTCCAGGGAATTCTCATTAGGGAACACCACCGCCCTGCCAGGACACAGAGGCAATAAGAGTCAATCCACACTGGGAGGCTTATTATTCCAGACTATTGCTCTGACATAAACAGCATTATTTTTAAATGACTGTATAAGTTCTGCAGTGTTTATTGCTGAAATGTTTGCATGCTTCACCTATACCTTACTGAGCTGAATATAAATTATTCGCATAGGTTTGTTCCTTTAAGTAACGCATCCTTTAATGATTTTTACATTTAAAATATAGGTTTCCATAGCCGATACTATGATTCCTATTTTCTGGTGGGTTAGGCCACGTCCTGGTTTTATGCATATACTCAAACAAGCATTGGGCAGTTCTCATATAGAATGGTGGTCCTGAGCCTAGAGAATAAACTTTATATTCTTATATCTGGGCATAGTCTTCCATGGGAAATGACTGATGACTTCATACAAAGTTTCATAAACCCTGAAGCGATAATGGACTGAGTCAACCCTTGCCCAGGATTTAAACTCACAACCTCCAAATGGAGAGTTAATACTCAATAACCTACCACACCATCACTTGGCCAAGTGGAATTTACAATATACTGCACTGTAATTAGTTAATACATTTCCACATAAGCAATAAACACCTCACCTATATGTATTCAACTGTCACTGCTTATATAACTAATACCTTGCTAGATAAACAATGTTTATTTAAAAGGTGATTAACATCTATTTTATAACACTCAGACAAGCTGTGAAACTGCAATGGCGTAGAGCGAAATTTACGTTTACATACAATTCCTGATCATCTCATCCCACGACTAAATCTGTCCACCTAATATCCCTTCCCTATTTAACAGCGTCTTATGATAGAATTGTTTTAAGAATTTGTATAAACCCATACATATCGTATCGTGTTGTAGGCAATGAACACCTTAGCTGAGTCAGGTAAATTGTGAGCACTGACCAGTGAGCCTCCACCAGACCAGGGTTTTGCAGGAGCAAGTGTATGACAGAGGGCTCCGCACCAGCCGAGGCTGATCCCAGGTCAAACTGCAGTGGAGGAGGGGTGCGGCAGGGCAGGACAACACGCGGCCTGCACACACATGTAACACGGTGCACACACATGTTAATGCCTGCTCCACAAGTAGACATTTTTCTACATGGTATTCTGCACAACAATGTGATAAAAGTTGTTGTCGGTCAGAACTTGTCAATGGATATATCAGTCATGACTATGATATATCATGTTTGATGTCCTCCTCATGGAGTGACATCACGAGCGATGTGACATCACCTTGTCGTAACTTGATGTTCATTTAGGCTTGCTCAAATATTTCAGACGATTATTAGCATGATTAAATGGCTGGAAAAGGAATCAAGGTTAATTTTGCAATATAATCAGTGCCAATGTATAAAGAGAAGACACCACCTCCCGCTGTCAGGTGCATCCTCGTAGGGTGGCTCCAGGTCCAGGTAAAAGTTGAGTTGCCACAAGTTCATCATGGTCCATAGTTGCATCTTGCTAAGGCCGGCTGCACTGCCTGAGCCACGCACGTTCAGTACTGAGAGAATCGGGCGGGCGCCTTCGGCTGTCACACGGCACAGCTCTCTCACACCCAACGCCAAGCCAGCTGGGCAGTGAGAGCACACACATCACATACAGCTTTCTATTAGAATTGAAACAACCTATTTGACACATGCCACTATATTTGGACCACTTAACCCAAAACATGAAATTCATAGGTTCAAATTCTGATCAGGGGTGGACCAAGCTCACCATCATCACATGGCTCCAATGGTGAACCACCATAAGAATGTGGAACTGGCTTGTGGCCACAAATAGATGCATACTGTTCATGCTCATTTCATTATGTAGACACATTGGAGTTTTTTTAAATACATTTTAATAATGGCATGGGCCGATGCCATGTTAAGCACCCAAGTCATATCCTGTATTCCATAAAATATTATTTTCTACTTGAGTACATTACTATATCAGACCATTGGAAAGGCTGCTCATATTGTGATTGTGAAGTCAGTGATCCAAATTACACATTCTTATGCAGGGGGCCAGTCTTTCCACGGGACAATCTCTATTGACCATCCAAAAAGTGATATTTATATTGACCCTAGAAGGATGCTGAGCCAGTCACCAACCGGAATTTTAACTGGCATACAATTGATACAAACACACAAATACATGTGCATGCTTGCCTGCATGTGTGTGTGTGTACATGTGTTACCATGCTGGGTGACCAACTGATAGCTAACGGTCCAGTGGTAACGTCCGCTGCAAGTAGGCCTTGCCATAGCCTGCACTTGCTTCGAACAGCGAGCTGGAATGATGCTTTCATATTCATTTAGCTCCAATGCTGCAAAACAAACAAAAGACCAGGTGATTAACTCGGATTGGTGGCTCTTACCTCCACTTTATATAAATCACGCATTTCAGATGATACTGTGTCAAGTGTGACAGTAAGTGTGTCAAGTGTGAAAGTAAGCCGGCATTTCGGAAGTGTGCTTGGGGGGCCATGTAGACATCATTGTGTGTGTGTGAAACACCACACTTGTAGAGTTATGAGGTGGACAGTAAATGGCAGAACAAGTCGATTGCTGCTCTATCTGTATGGATATTGATTTGTTGTCCCCTTGTATGCATGTTTTCTCCAAGGACCATCTCTAAACCTTTATAAACAGTTTGCCTTTAAAGGTTAACCCCCCTTTTCCTGATGACGGCCACTTGTGTTGCGATCGAAACGTCGTGGTTTTGTTTTTATTCTTATTTTTATTACTGAAAGAACCAGAATAAGTTAAAATTATAGACTGCCAGTGCGCTCACTCAGGTTAGGAACCATTGCTACAGTCTGCATTATAGACTGCCAGTACACTCACCAAACGTAATAACCAGGCTACAGTCTACATTAGTGTTTTTGTTTTTATTATTTTATTTTCATTATTTTTATTTTCATTCATTTTATTATTTATTATTTTTATATCTACGTGACTTTACCGAAAGAACCAAAGAATATAGACAAAAAGCTCATGTAGGACCTTACTGAAGAACAGTCGAGACTAAATATGGTATTCTTAGGTAGGCCTTGGGTGTGGATAATATCCTTTACTGGTCATGAGTCAGTGGTAAAAAAAATATTTCACATTCGTATGGCAGGACCAGCCTATTCATAGGACCATTATTTTAACAAAGTAGTGCTAATATTAATGACATCGGAGGGGTAATGGTATTTTAACTCATGATCTTCCAATTGTGTCGGCAACTGTTCCACTGCAACACTTGCCATTTAAGTACTGTATGTTAATGTTAGAAAACATTTCAAATGTTGCAATTCACTGTTAATTCTTACTTATTAACATGCCTTACCGGTGGTCTGTGTCATCATGACCTTGTCAGGACCACATGCCTGCAGCTCGTGCTGCTCCACGCTCAGGGTGAAACTGAGGTCACAGTTGCTATCATTGACCAGCGTCAGGTGCCCCAAGGCAGCCGTGCCAACCACTACCACACCGAGGTTCACGTCACTCTCCATAGCCTAGAGAATACATCACAACACTGTACTGAAGTCTCAATTAATATCAAAGTGTCTCTTTGTTTAAATGTTAATTTCCATTGATAGCCCAAATCCAGTGGAGATTTGTTTCTATATATTTAAATAGGTCAGTGTTTCTATTAATCACTGTTGACTCTCCACAAAATTGTAGTAATTTTATCGACCACAGGGAAATGATAGGCTGAATTGACCCCTTACTGAAACTTCAGCTAAGAAGCTGATCTGGAGCTGGGTGCTTTCACACAGCCCCACCCAGCTGTAAATGTGTATGGGGAACAAAATACTGGCATGGGGTCTCCCTGCTCAAAGGAGCATGCCAGTGGTGTAAATTCCAATTCCAATGACAGACTGCCACTGTCTCTATTATTGACCTAATAGCAAGAGGAACTCAATGTTTCGACTCATGAGGAATGAAAAAGGGCTGAGTTGGCCTTTAACTGGGATTTGAACTCTGACTGCTACAGCACCGCGTGGGTGGATATGTACAAGGCAAATGGGCGTCAAGTTGGTATTCTCACCCTGATGTTGCCAATGGCTCCCTCGCCAATGACACGCAAGGATAGGCGGGTTTTGCTGCTGGACGTTTCCTCCTTGTCTCCCTGCTGATGGCTCTGCACGGGGTCTAGCTGCCCCCAGTGCTGACTTGATGCCAGCCATACAAGGAGACTAGGCTTCAAAACATACTTTTTGTCCTCCAGTGGGGAAAAACTCCACACCTGCGACTGCAGAAGTATGTCCAGAAAAAAATATAATATAAAAAGTAGTCACATCGTTTTCTAGTCCTCTTCTGATGAAATAAACATATCTGATCACGAGTCAAAATTAAAACGTCTCCTTGCTCAATGGAAACAGCGGCGGTTTTCATCTTCTTCATCTGTGGTAGAAATTCCACATTCCCACAAAGGGTTCCAAGATATTCATAGGATGGCCACTGTTGACTTTTCACAAAGTGGTATTTATTGTATCGACTCAGCTGAAGACTTGGTACTCATATATAACAGAAAAATAAAGGTGACTTTTGGTTCATTGGCCTTCCTGCTTTATAGAAGGGACGTTGGTTAAATGTTGACCAACACTATATATTCCTGAAATAACAATGATGTAAATGTAATGCAGTGCATTGCATTTACATAATTGTAAATACATATTTCCACGGTCTGAGACTTATTCAACAGGTGCCTGCATTCAGATGTTTGGTCAATTCCACTTTAAGAAATGTTATTATTACGTGGGGGAAAATAGAGTACCTGGAGCAAACCCATGCTTTGAGGGGATAACACAATTTTTTGTTCATATCACAGCCCAGCAGGATTGGGAGTTTAACACATCTACATGCTCCACAAACCCTTGTGTTTAAAGTACTAGATTACAGGTGTGCAACACACCCAGCTATACAAGTCATTCAAACGAACCAGATGGCTCATATGTACAGGAAACACACACATCACTCACCACACTCTCGTTTGGCTGAATGATGCCGTGTGCAGGTGAGACACTCAATGTGCCACTCCCTGTAACGTTCCACTGAAAGCACAGGGGCAGCTGGCAGCAGTTGTCAATGGTATGCGAGCACTGTGACATGGTCCCTATACATGTAGGCTTAAAAAACAGCCTCCCATTGCCTTGAAGCCGCACCTGTGGCCGGTCCACCAGCCACGACACCTCCATATTCTGAAATGATGACAAATATACATGTGCTCATGAGTTGTCAGTCTGAAAGAATGATACAACCCAAAAACAAATAGCTCTTATCCTGTCGGTCCACGCTTAGGTTGTGTATCCATGAGGGTCTAACATGAGCTTTATGCTTTGTTTATAAGAAAAAAACCCCATCTCAATTACATTCAGACAGCCTGTCACAGGGTCCTATTGACATTATTTTAACGATAAATTAAAATGTATGGCAGTAAAGTCACAGTGATGTCACTATTATGGTGTAATGGAGCATAATGACCACTCTAAGTTCAACAATGCAACTTATTTGTTATTTAGTTGCTCATACTAATGTTTTTGTCCATATTGCTCTATTTAAAATGAGCTACAATACTGGAAAAAGTTAAATTACATTTAGGGCTGCGTCTCAAAAGGAACAATATGTAAAATCACATTGAAACAGTTACAAACACAACAGCACTTTTATTGGCTGGATAATTTGACATGAGGTTCACAGATTCAGGGTGACAATTTGTCTGTAAAATATATATATATATTTTTTATATATATTTATGTATGCGGGTTTGGAGATGTGTTAAAATAAGGACTAGCTTGGGTGATAATGTTTTAGGTAATTAAGAAACACAAAGCACTATCGTCACACACGTTGGGATGGGGCAGGGTACTTTGGAGAGCCGGGAGGGTGAGGGGAGTAAAAGCGCCGTGGCTCACCTTTGTATATTGACCACAGTAATTGAGAAGAATAGGCAACACTTGGCAATATAGTCCCGGAGCACTGGAGGAGGCCCGGAGCAAAACCACCTGCTTTCCTCCAGGGGGCACCAACCCCTGACTGGGTCTCACCACCAGTCCCACCCCCTCAGGTTCTTTGGATCCAATGGCACCCTGAAGTCGCTCCTGAGCTCTGCTTTCCCCTTTTCCCTGGGCCAGACTGGGCTGCCCCAGGGTTGAGGTGCCAGGGTTTGGTTTCCCACTGGCTGGGCAGGCACCCACTGGTAGGCTGAAGAAGATTGGCGTGTCCCCCGTGTTTGTAAGCAGAGCAGTGGTGTGGGTACTTTTTCCTGCCGTCACTGCTGGGAATTCCTTTCAACAAAAAAACAGGTTAAGGGTTTGTGTAGGACTGGCAGTGGTGGTGTATTACGTTATGAAATCAAGAGTGATCAAAAGAGTCACTGTCATGTAATGAAAAAATGTAATGTATAGTCACACAGTCCAATACAAACTATGGACATGGAATAATTCCTTCTTCCCGCTGCGATGTGATGCATTTCAGTAAACAAGCCTCACATGCTTCAATTATTCTTTAAGTACGTTAAGCATGCTAAAGAACTAATATGTAATGTTTTAATAATGTATACTTAATTTTTTATGTGCTGTATGTACATACTTGAATAATAACAAGTTGTAATATTACATATGTATATATTAAGCAAACATGATAGGGTAAGCATTGTGCAGAAATAACTGTATCCTACTGATGATGATATAACCAAATGTCATGGACCTTTACTCTACAGATTGCTCTTGATTTAACCTATGCAGCACACTGCATACACCACTCCCATATAGCTGTCACACAAAGCAGCATCGTGAAGATTAAGAAGTGATGTAACATGCATCGTGTTGTATGCAGTCATTGCTGCATCAAGCTGCATGGTATAACAAGGTCTTTACATGTATCATGAGCATAAGGACGTATTTTAATGTATGAATTGATGCCTACGAAAGATGCAAAAATCCACACCAAGGTGAGAGAAATCTTGCAAAACTTGAAGTGTGCATGGCTGCAGTTGTTCTTACTACATGGGCACTGGACAAGTTGCAGGTGGGCGGGAAGGGCTGCTGTCCTGGCTGAAACGTGTGTGTGCTCACAGCCAGGGTCAGGCACCAGGGTAGGCACATTGTAGGCTCCTCCACCAGGCGAAAGTCTTTCATGCTCTGAAACAACATTGGGCCTCCACTGAGTGCAAGGTCTCCTTAAGCATTGAGTAAGAATAACGTAGATATAGGAGCCCCAGGGATGAACAAGGTTTAGGCATGAATATACAAAAACATTATAATTTATAGTGATCACTTCACGTATTCCTACAAAGCCAATCGACTAGCGCAGTTGGCTACGTATGGTGCGAAAGAAGTGAAATATACATACAGGAATAAATAATCTAGACAATGGATAATGAGAAGACAATATGGTGAATTTAGGAATGCAAATTACTTGATTATCTGGCCATAAGTCTAACAAACATTTAGCTTGGCTAGAGTCGAAAAATCGTGCTCTAGTGCAACACAATTCAAAATTTATGAGTTTGGCAAAAATTTCGCATCACGGCACCAACCTTGTAGAAAGCGCAGGCTTCCAGCTCAGCATAGTGCAGCGTGTTCCTGCGTCGAGGGCGGAATGTGACTCTGAGCGCTATCGTCTTGAGGGGTGGCACTTCACATTCAGCTGGCTCCACGTGGAACTCCCCACCAGCTGAGGCTGTCCACACCACGCAGACAGTGCCGTGCGTGTGGTTTCGCAGGGACAGGGCAAGAGCCGCAGCCTTCTCGCCATCACGCACAAAAGCGCTGAAGTCCAGCATGCTAGCACTGAGGCTAACATGAGTGGGAGGAAGTGCCTCGTCCCAGCACAATTCGAATCGTCCATCAACCCGGTGATCAAAAACAGCATTGCTGGGTGCGACTGTAGTTGGATCCTGCTTCTCCACCTCTTCCTGCAGTAAATAAACAGTGATAATGTGTCACGACTATAATGCTTAAGAAATTTTTTCCACTTTCCTGCAGATATGTTACGCGTTTTTTTTCCATATTGCTCAATTTATCAAGTACCCTTCAACACCTATGTTAAAATCACAGCACTAGAATAGGTTCGAGAATATTGAGATTGTCTAGATAGGGTCGCATAGGTCATCATATTGACAAGAAACCAATGAAACAATCAACACAACTGAAGAGTTATGGTGTGGAATTTTTGAATAAAAAAACTGGATTCGTGTGTAATTTTAAAGGTACAAAATAGGTTGTAATATGAGCCCTGAATAATGTATGCCAACATACCTAGCCATACTCTGACACATTACCGATAAATAAGATGCAATAAATTTAATGAAACAATGATGTGGGAGACAGATTTTCCACAGGAAAGCCACATCAGAAACTCCCCTTACTTCCCATAACTTAAACATAAGATATGCCTAGACTGCCATGTTTTACATAAATACTGTAAATGCAGACCTTTCCAGCCAAAGTTGGGGCCCAGGGCAGTTGGTCAGGGATGAAAAAGAGATCAAAAACAAGACAATAGGTAGGCCCCATAAGGGGAGCCTATCGACTGTTGCCTGCAATACATACTGCCTGTGCTGTCTTCACCTAGAGAAACCTCAGAGCCTCCAAAGCAGTGTAGCTACCAGGAACCCTGAAAGAGTGGATATCAATAATCAGCACCTGGCAAGGGATAAGCGACCCATCAGTGGGGTCCAGGCAGAGCTTCTTGTTGTGCAGCATGGAGAGAAGGGTAGGCGGTGACTGCAGGGTCAGGCCACGCCGTGCATTGGTGTGACACCGCTGTACATGTTCGCGACGCAGAACCGCCGGCGTCGTCTCCACTGTGCTGCCTGCTCCTAACAGCTCCACATGCACAGGAGCCTGGCCACAAATGGGCACCAAGACAATCACAGTCGACTTCATAATGCCGTGGCGCCAACTTGAGTGGCATTGTGTTCAGAGCGCTCAATGTAAGATCACGAGTTCAAAATCTAGGTTGAATTTGTTAGGCTGTCAGCTCACTGGGATTGATAACGTGTTCACTACTTTGTGGTTAAAAAAACTTTGTTTTCATGTGCTATGAAGAAGGGCCATTGCCCAAAACGTTGCCTATTTTATGTATATTTTTTAAGGCAGTCTTCTTAACAAATGTGTTGTTGTATTTTGTTGATTGTGCAGCATCGTCTAATAATTTTACAAAACAATGTCTGTTTGTCCTTTCAATCAGAATTCCAAGTGTTTCATAGCAGCAGCCAATTCATTCTTAAGGAGTGTTTCTCATGCAATAGGGACTTGGAGAAAACCTACACATATGAGTAGATACATAACCCAAACAATGTAGCCTTGCCTGCAAGAGGAGCACACAGACACACATACCTGATGGTGCACCAGACAGGCCACACGCCGATAGTAGTTGATGGGTTGCTGGGGTGTGAATGTGACACGAAGCTGCACAGTGGCATGAGGTGGCAGCTGGCCACATACTCGCTCCAAGCCAAACACACTGCTCTCCGTGTCCAGTGCAAACTGGTAGATGGCAGGCACAGCCGAAGAATTGCGAAGTTCCAGCGTTCGCACGCCCACCTCGCCAACAAGCATGCGGTCGAACACCAGCAGTGTTTCGCTCATTGTAACACTTGGGCCTGAAATGTAGGGCAAAACTAAATTAACAGATGTCCTCCATTCATCTAGGAATGTCTTGCTAATAACATTTGGTCAATTCCTTTTTAAGGAGTGTTTCGCAACGTCGGAGAAGACTGGAGTACCGACAGAAAGTCCATGCATACATAGAAGTAAAACTCCCACAAAATTCAAATTAAGTTTAAGTATGTAAACCCCCAAAAAGCTACCTCTCACCTTGGCAGTTTCCTGTGAGCTTGACAATGCACTTGGGCAGGTTGCCAGCCATGACCACGTGAAGGTATTGGGTGGTGCAGCAACCGACCGTGACTGGGCTGAACCGCACGGGCACACGTGCCGAGCCCTGGGGATTGACCCATCCCTGCTGAATTCGGCAACCGAACAGGTTTCTCGTTTGTGGGTTCGGAGTGGTAATCTCAACCTGGAATGATGCCTTCACCTTTCAATTGAGGTAAGGATGGAGGGGAGATAATAAGACAGGGGGTGTGGGGAATGTCAGGTTAGAATCTAGTGTATAGTCTATTAATACTGTTTCCATCTGCATGGCACTGTGGTTAGAGTGCTTGACATGTATGGCCTGGCAGAGCCCAAGTCATAATTAATTAATATACCTAAAAGAACCCCATTCCTGTTGCACTACCACTCTGCTAAATTAGTAGGAGCAGGGCCTCTACGGAACAACTATCAGGCACAATGGTGGTCACATTTGTGGGCTCTTTTCTTTTAGGATGAACAAAAAAAGAGCATGGACAAGCCAGCCTACACGTCCACTTGTATAGGTGGAGGGGGATGGAAGGTCACTCAGAGATGAAGAGAACAACTCTCTGCTCAGCATGGCTGATACCTCAGTTATGACTGTACTGCACTAATTTAAGAGTGAGGCAAAACTTTCACAAGTACATCTCATGTTATATCTTCTACGGCAACACACTTAGTTTATTGTAGGCAAAAGCCACACCAATATAGGCGTCTGTGCTTGCTTATATAGAGTGCAGTTTAAAATGTTTAATTTTCTATGCATAGCATATGCATTTTATTACTCCTATTAACATCTGTCTCAAGATAACCATGCAACTTAAGTTACTGTCACTTACTGAGGAGAGATTCTGGATGTGGAGCCACTTTTCAGAGGTGGCGCCTGCTTCCACATCGCCAAAATTCAGCACTTGTTGTGAGTCATACTGGCGGTGCTGTGGGTCTGTGTCTCCGGCACTAACTACCAGGCGTGGGTATTTAGCTGCATATACACAACACACAGACACACACATGCACAGTTACATATTCACATGAAAACATTTGCATAACGTCCATAAAATTCAAACAAATATAGTGAAACTCAATCTAGTGTTCTTTAGGGGACTGGAAACAAAATGTGGAATCTGGGAATGCTATTACTGACATACATTACTATGTGCTCGGTCAGTGGGCAACTATTAATGCCTATATAACAGTGTATTGTGGTGAGAACCACACCTGGCCAACTTTGTCTTGCTCGTGCTGATGTTTTTAAAGCGGCACAGCGATGTATGGAGTCAGAAAATCAGAGACATATAGCATAGAGATGTAGGAAATGAAATATGAAAAAACATGGGATCGAAGACGTATGGAGTATGAGGGGCAGTGTCAGAGAGGCAGATAGAGGAACTGAGTAGGAGAAACAGGCAGAATGAAATACATTATTGTTATTATGAAAGGAAATAGCATTTCCTGATACAAAAATGTCCTGGATCTAATGTTATTTTTTATGATCTCTTGAAGAAAGTAAATTGAGGTTTGACTGCAACATATAAACGAGCTGAATGGTTGTAGAATTACATACACTGGCCTGAGTATTCAACTTCTAATGATAGCCCTCACCAATAGCCTGTAGCTCCACGACGCTGCTGGATGAGGGGGCCTCTCCATAGTGGCATGTGGCCATGGCGTAGTAGGGCCCAGCCTCGGTGGCATGAACGGAGGCTGTGATACGGAGGGATGCATTGGGAGAAAGCACACCCTGTGCAGGATTCATGGAGAATGGAGGTGGCACCTCCCAGCCAAACGAAGTCTCCAGCTCGCTGGTGGTAGATGACACAGAGTCCACTGCATGTCATTTATGCACGTATTAATAATACTGATAGTGAGTCCAATAAGGCAGATGAGGGAAACACAACCAAGAATATACACACAATAAAATGTGTTCCCCCAACACTTGAATTTTATCCAATGTTACCATTCAATGCAAACTAATAATCTTACATAAATGGTAGTATATTGAAGAAATGTGCTCTCATTATAACCAGAACAAAATAGGAATTTGGTTGATACTAAAATCTCGAAAATGTCATGGCGAGAGGTCAAACTAAAGTTAAAAAAATAATTGGCCCTTCATAAGAGTGCCGAATTACACCGTACAATACCATAAAGAAGACAATCATGATGCCCATAATAATAAGGGAGATGATGAAGAAGATTGAGGAATGTATGTGCAAGTATAAAATTATTAAAAAGGTATAAATGTTCTCTACAAAGCCATAGAATTGTACCTTCTGTTGTGCATGTCAAAATGGACCTCTTGATTGTGAAAGGTGGCACAGTGGCCAAAGGTCAGGGTTCCAGGCAGGTGGAGCTTGTGTGTAGGCAACGTGGCTCGCAGGACCACACAGAATCTGCCTTCTACTGACTCAAACTCCAACCGCTCTTCATATTCTCTCTGTGCACACACCATGGAGCATATATGCATTGTATCAACGCTATTCATGGCTAATGTGCTTTCATTCAATGGTTCATAGGAAGTCAAGGAGCAAATGTTTCAAGATTACAAAGTTACGAGTTAAAATATCTGTCATGGTTCAACTGGGTAATTTATTCCTCAAGGGTTGATAAAATATCTACCGCTTTGTGATGAGACTATAGTGGTTGTCAGATGAATATATTGGCCATTGGCATATGCATGTGGAATTCACACCATTGGCTGAGGCCTGCCAACAGAGATGAGTGCCATCTAATTCATGTTTGAGCAGGAAGACACTTAAGACAGTCGAGATGTGGAAAAGAGATGGACACACTTTCAAAGCTAAACCCAAATTGCAATTAGTATTTGAAATATGAAAATTATAATTAATCCACGAATATGAATATTGTTGATATAGATATATTTTCAATTACTATGTTTCACGTACTATTTTAATTGTTAATATTTATTCTTGGATTAAATCATGGAAAATCCTCAAATTGCCAGGGGAAGAATTGGTACACCCCTATTAATAGTAGACTGCAGTGGAGGTCAGGTTGGTGGACCACGCAGATAAATGAGCATGAAAAGCCCAACAACAGGATTACGAGATATCCTCTAGATGGCCTGTGAAAACACATTCCTGCGGAGGGAGCTGGTAGGAACGTTGGGTTGCTCGGTCAATGGCAAGGGTCAATGGCGGCGTGGTGTATTCCGCAAATATGCCCGACTGTGAGGGCGGGCACAAGCCGGCGTGAGTAGGTTAAACGTTGAGTTTTATAAGGGCACCACGGGGTGACCAGTCCCTCCCCACCCAGCCCCTCCCACCCCCCACCCAGCCTCACCCTCCCCACCCAGCTCCTCCCCACCCTCCCCACCCAGCCCCTCCCCACCCTCCCCACCCAGCCCTACCCTCCCCACCCAGCCCCTCCCCACCCTCCCCTCCCTCCCCACCCAGCCCCTCCCTGCATGACGGACGAACACAATAATCCCCTGTGGGCTGGTGTAACCAGGAGGTTCCTACCAGTATAAAGGCCCTTAAAAGCTCTCCATTCCTTCTGAGGGTGGCAAAATTCCATTGAATTATTGTATGAGTCTGCAGTATAACATGACTCAGTAAGGTGGAAGCTTCGGAATGTGTAATGGTTTAACATCGGAAGCTTGTCCATTCATATTTGTTCAGCAACACCCCTAGCATTACCTTTTCCAGTGGCCTGAATATGATGGGGAGAGTGTAGCTGGTGCCCGAGTTGAGGATTATGGGCTGCGGGTAGAGTGTGCTGAACACGAGGCTGCTAGGAACCCTGCAATGAGTATAATGAAGAAGACAAGGGGTTGTTTTTCTACACGATGCCCATCACAATGGAATTCAGTTTCTGCACGGAAATAAATAACGTCCCACATTTATTCAAGTTACATTTACTTGTACAATAAGTGAGTTCATAAAGTGTCTGTCTGTGTGCCAGCTTCTTCTCCAAAAATGAGAAGAACTGATGCATTGGATCTCATTCTAACAAAGTTATCTTCGGAACGTTCGTTAACTGAACTTATACAACACAAATTATTGTGTCAAAAAGCATCTCTAAACCTTTATAAATAGCTTGCCCTCAGAGGCTATCCTCCCTGTTCCTGATGACGACCGCTTGTGTTGCGATCGAAACGTCCTGATATTTTATATTCACTTTCTTTTTTATTATTTTATTGTAATTTTTTCTATCTACGTGACTTTACCGAAAGAACCATAGATTATAATTGTCAAAACATCTTGTTGCACCTATTAAAAGTGGCAATTTTAAGTCAATTAAGTCGTGTGGTGGAGCAGTTATTGAGTTCCGCACCTGTAGGTCAGCTTCACTGCCCTTGGCAGCACATTTTTCAGGGAGAGCTTCTTGGTGTTCTCTCGCCCAGGCTGCCAGCCTGTCCAGAGCACTTCTGCCACAGTCTCAATGCCGCAGGCCAGCACCCTTTGCCCATGGTTCTGTGCCTTTCTCCCTGCCTTGCCCACATTTGCCACGGATGTGTGTGCCTTGGGATGCTGAGTGCATCAACATTCAGGAGGTATGGCAGATTTTTTTTGTATGAGTAATGCAGATATTGTGGTGGTGATGGTGGGGAGTGATGAATGTGGTTGGGAAAATATAAAGGTGAATGGTGGGGAGAGTGAGGTGGTGGTGTATGACAGGAAGTGTATAGTGACAGTGGGAAAAGGTGGTGGTGATGGTCGTTGGTAGAGAAAAAGCAATGAAGTTGTTTGTGGGTGGGTGATTAAAGTGTAGGTGGTGTTTGGGTGTTGTGATAATATAAGGTGAAGGTGGATAGTAGAAAGAGATTGATAGTGAGGGCAGAGATTTAAAAACAAAGCAACTCTCAGTAGGCGATATACATTTAAATTGAATCTATATATATAAAAGTTTAAAAAAAAATTGTGTGTGGGTTTGTGGATTTGTTTGTGTGGTGGGGTTTAAGTTAAATAAAAATATCCAGGTACCACGCCGTAAGCCCCGCCGTGAGCAAGCGCTATTCCTTTTTCACATCCATCAACTTAAAATTAGTTTAATTAGCGATTTAGTGCGATTTTTTGTGTGCTTTCACTTTATTTATTTATGACGCGTGCACGGCCATACCAACTCATGCACCTTTGGTGGGGGGGACGGCCCATGCCAAGTCGCACGCCTTCGGTGGGAGGGGGACATTTTCTTTCACGTTAAAAATGCTAAAAAAATACACTAAACGCTGAGGTTAATTCTTCACTGTGTGATGTCCCCCCCCCCACCCCGATGCATGCAGTTACTACTATACAGTCGGTACATGGTACCACTATAGGCCGTAGATATTACTGCAGAGCAGCCAGGGAGATCGTGGCTTGGGGGGGGAGGTCAGGGGTAGTAGCCCAGCCCCAGCCTGCCAAGGTGCCACCACGGCTGGCTGGACAATCTAGGCGAGGCCGGAGGCTCTGCACTGGACTAAGCCTCACCAAGCCACTTTTGTCAGGTGAGTACGTTGTGCTATAGAGTCGATAAATACTGCTATAGAGTCAGCATGTACTACTGTAGTGATAGCAGGTACCACCACAGTCGGTATGCACTGCTGTAATCAATGCAGGTACCACCAGTCAGTACGCACTGCTGTTAGATTTTTAAGAGTATTTTTTTTTTGACCCGGGCAACGCTGGGTACTTTCCGCTCGTCTTTAGTAAATCAAAGCATGCTGAGAACAGTGCCAAGCCTACGGCAGTGAACTGAAATAATGCAATTAAAACCGAACCAGTTCACTTGGAATCTATACTGCACCAAAACTTAAGATCTTCATCAGGGGTAGATATATATCGAAGATAATGGTTTATATAGTTTATCACGGGCCTATCATGCAAAGTGGACAAGAACTAAGGGAACTACTTTAAGGGTAGTAGGTGAGTTTTCATGCATTTCATTTAACTGATTTATATTATTGTATATGAGGCTGAAGAAACAGATGTCAGTTACAATACCAAGTAACATGAGCAAAGAGAAGAAACCGATCTTTCTTTATTTATATACGACTATCTTCCTGTCCAAAACCAATGTTATGGTGGCCTTATAATCTCATTGTATCTTATAACTCACGTTATTATCGCTAATTACATACCCACAAGGACCAACGCGTATTATAAAGCGTCGCAGAATCCACGCATGTTTGTAATCATTAGCCCATGTTAATTTGCAATGTTAATAGTTACATATATAGTTCATACTTTTTATGATAAAAAAAACATTTGAACTGGGCATTGTAATAATGATAATTATACAGCTGAGGTAATATTGAAATGTCATACCTTTTCATTTAATTGGTGAGGATGCATTGACGGGGCAGGGGTTGGGCAGGGCTGACAGTGAGCCAGCATCTGAATACAAGACAAAGGAAAAAGGGTAGTCTGCCTTATATGATCTAATAGTCCTACTTTGATGCATGCTGGGACATACTTTGCATACTTATCATCTTGACAGATAATTATAAAGATCTGTCACAGCACTTTTTTGTATTACACATCAAATGACAAGGTTGGGCACACTGGCTTGGGCAGGAAACCTCTCACCAATAAAACAAAATAACTTTAAACACAAACGTTATTTATATACATTTCAAAAACTTCCTCATTTTATTGAGGTTGTAATTCGTCGAGGAATAACAATTAAATAGCCTGGTGATTTGATAACTTGTCACAATTAAGTGTACAAGGGGCCGTCCATAAATGACGTCACGCACCTGGGGGGGGGGGGGTCAGACATTTGTGACGATGTGACGAGGGGGGGGGGGGGTTTAGAAATGTGGCCTCATATCAGAATGCTCAACTTTAAATAAATATAGACAACACGTTCTACTTAATTAAATAGACTTTTAATAAAATTTTCTCCTACAACATCAGAGTGCAGCGCCACATTAAATACGCACTACAGTGACAATAGTTTAAAGCGATTTATTTTTTTGGGGGGGGGCAGAACTTTGTGCCGTCATATTTGAGGGGGGGGGGTATGACTTTTTTAGACGCCGTGTGATGAGGGGGGGGGGGGAAATCGGCCAAAATCGCGTGACGTCATTTATGGACGGCCCCCAATTCAAATAAAACATTTTCTGTGAATGGAGCAGCCACTAGTGGCTGGGAAGGGGGTACACGATATGCAAAAGGATGATAACCACTGCAATAAATGCACACTCTATTCATACGTCTAGTGTCCGTGTGCTATATTCTCCCGATGAAAACTAAACTATTTAATTTTTTAAACTTCACTTTTTTTTCATCAGGTAAGGCCCACTGAGCAATAGATTTTTTTTCCAGAAGCATCTTGGCCACAAATAATAGCTCAACGAAGTGGCTTATCGTGTGGACATTTATCGCAGCCAAATACCCCAAACGCATGTTTCTAAAGTGGAGGGAAAAACCGGAGGACCTGGAGAAAAATACACGTGACCACGGGGAGAACAAGCAAACTCCAAATATACAGGCGAGCATTGGCCCAGATAAGAGGAAGTGATCCTGAAGTCTCTACAGATTCATTGTATAATTCAAGCTGTTTGTTCAGACGAGTCACAGTGGGAATTCGTGTAAAAAAGATTTAACTACTTCATGTAAAAAAGATTTAACTACACATATTTGTACCATCTTCTTTGACAGGTACTATTCTACTTTACCTAGTGTTGACATCCCCAACGTTTAACAGTACTGCTTTCTTGTATTTGGATTGTCAGCCAACACCGGCCGCAACCCCGAGTTGAGGTGCACCAATTGTTCTCTGTTAGCCCCCCCCCACACCGGTCCATTCCCTGGCTACCACATTCAGATAAGCTCCCCCCCTCCCCCTTAACTTGTATTTAAGAGTTTGTCTCTTGGATTTTTCCTCACTTGATACAGTAAATTTAGCTGTGACGGTCCCACCTGATGACGGAGACTTGTGTTGCCTCCGAAACGTCGTGATTTATAATTTTATTTATATTATTATTAATATTATTTATTTAAATTTTTACCTACGTGACTTTACCGAAAAAACCTAAGAGTATGAATCATTGCAGTCACGAAAGCTTCAAATTCTAGTATTATTTCAGCGTTTGCATAAATGGGAGGTGCACACTGGCTGTATGTCGTGTCACATTATCACTGCCCATCCTTGTTTTCCCACGCGTTACCACTCCGATAAACGGAGTAAAATGTGTGGTTAGAACCTGACAATTGGATCTGATCATAGCACTCCCCCCATAGCAAATCAGACAAGCCGATAGGATTATTGCCAAATCAAAGTTGGGACCTCTGTCTGCGGTTGCAAGTCGTGTTCGAACCATGACACCGCAGGGCAGCATTCCAAACATTTACGAATACAGAAAGCATCGATTCTATATCGGTAGCGTCACGCTTGATAATGATGTAAATTGACACTAATATACGAGCCGTAGACGAATGTTTAACCACAAATAAAAACGTTTAATGCTGCAAGTAAAACAATCAAAATGTAAAGTCAGCGTCTCCCTTCCCCAACGAGCACGTGCGGTTCTGAGGCAGCGGTGGAAATTCCACATTCCTCCGACGGGGCTGGGTCCATCCACAGAAAAAAAAAGTTGATTTTCCGTTGGTTAATTCTTATGTCATCGACCTCGTGGTGATGATTGACGCGACTGATCTCGCAATCCTCCGAATGCAAGCGTTAAACGTCGTACGGAACAAGGCGTGAAACAATCAATCAACGAACCATCGCGTTCGTGACCAAACGGGGAACTTCACGACGGGCCGCTCGCTCCGTAACTCCCCCGCGTTATCGATACAAAAGAGCGCCAGGCTGTCAAACAAACGTAACGTCTACCGTCAACGTCGACGAGGGTTAAACTTGACAAGCAAACGATACGAAACGCGAATGTCGCTGGTTTACTGGCGGGAGGGTAGCGCGGCACCTTGCGCCGCGAGTTGGAGGCGACTCGGCGGGCCGCGTCGCGCGCTGCCGTGGCAACGGAAAGGCGTGACGTCACGACGCCTTGGCCAATGAGAGCAGTCGCTGCGCCACACACTGCCAGGCATGCGGCGTAATGATGACCGGCCCTGTGTCTCGCGCGTGACGTCACTCCACATGAGGCCCCCCTCGCGTGACGTCACTCCACATGAGGCCCACCCTCCCCCCCGCGTGACGTCACTCCATGAGGCCCCCCCGCGTGACGTCACTCCACATGAGGCCCACACCCCCCCCTCATTATTATTCATGAGTGGGTGGATTTTTACAGGGTCGCAGGTCCAGCTGAAATTAATAATACTGGTAGGAACCTCCTAGTTACACCAGCCCACAGGGGATTATTGTGTCCGTCCGTCGTGCATCCAAAAATGGGAGGGGTGGGGGCTGGGTGGAGAGGGGAGGGTGGGAAGGGGCTGGGTGGGGAGGGGAGGGTGGGGAGAAGCTGGGTGGGGAGGGTGGGGCTGGGTGGAGAGGGGAGGGTGGGAAGGGGCTGGGTGGGGAGGGTGGGGGTAGGTGGAGAGGGGAGGGTGGGGCTGGGTGGAGAGGGGAGGGTGGGGCTGGGTGGAGAGGGGAGGGTGGGAAGGGGTTGGGTGGGGAGGGTGGGGCTGGGTGGAGAGGGGAGGGTGGGGAGGGTGGGGCTGCTTGGGGAGGGGAGGGTGGGGAGGGGCTGGGTGGGGAGGGTGGGGAGGGGCTGAGTGGGGGGTGGGATGGGTGGGGCTGGGTGGGGAGGGGCTGGGAGGGAGGGGTGGGGCTAAGTGGGGAGGGGCTGGGAGGGAGGGGTGGGGCTAAGTGGGGAGGGGCTGGTCACCCCGTGGTGCCCTTATAAAACTCAACGTTTAACCTACTCACGCCGGCTTGTCCGCCCTCACAGTCGGGCATATTTGCATAATACTCCACGCCGCCGTTGACCCTGGCCATTGACCGAGCAACCCAACGTTCCTACCGGCTCCCTCCGCAGGAATGTGTTTAAAAATGATTGAACACCCCCCGTGAACGGAGCCTACCGAACGAAAATCTCTCTCTCGATCCCGACGCCTGCTGTATATTTGGAGTTTGCATGTTCTCCCCGTGGTCGCGTGGATTTTTTTCTCGGGTTTTTCCCTCCACATGTAGAAACATGCATTGAGATTACTTTACTGCCATGAATGTTCAAATGATAAGCCACTTTGTTTAGCCATCATGTGGCCAGGTCGCTTCTGAAAAATAAGTTAATACCTTAGTGGGCTTTGCCTCGAAGGATGGGGATGGTTTAGTTTATAGTTTGTATGAGTTTGGGCGATTTGTTTACCTTGATCGTACTGTGTACTGTCATGTTTTTGTATTGTTTGTTGTAACGTCCTTACCCGCCCTGACTAGACATCTGTGAAAAAGAGCTTTATAGATAATCGGATTCCTCTAGTATAAATATTATGATTCTGATAGTACTGTCGTCCTTGATAGGTGTTTTCCGCAAATTCACTAACGTCCATTGAATGCAATTGTCCCAGCCTCGTTAATGTCACGTCTTATAGAACATTAAAGCTTTTTTCTTCTTAACAAAACCCAGTCTACAAGACAAAAAGAACAACACGAATAACGCCAAAAACATTTTAATAATCTTGACCAAAAAATTTTAATTTACAAACAAAAGCACTGGTTAGCTTAAGCCAAGATGTGTAGCCAAGAGCCAACAAATCAAACGGGCACAGTTAAAACGAACAAACATGTCACATCACTCACACAAAACCCAGCACTCACGACTAACGCGCCCGGGGAGATGCCACACCTAAAGCCATCACGTGGTCCGCCTTGGAATAGGTCAACAAATCTAATGGAAGGGATACAAATTGGACAGGCAAAGCCTCAACAGCAAGAGGCAGAAGGTGCAACACAAAATCATGAAAATTATGTTTCAGCCACAATATGCTCCTGTACCGTGTCCCTCATTAGGACTGACTTCCGTCTTGGCCCAACGGCAACGGTGCATGAATTCCATTGATTTTGTCACAAACGAGACTGCATTAAAGTAATTGAAAGGAATAGTGCAAACTGATTCAATACACAAATTATATCCATGTTAAGAAGGGTCTTGAAGCTGGTTAGGGCCATGTTACAAAGACAGGTGAATTACATTTGCATGTCACTCACGTTTACAGTGTTGTTTACTGTGGCTTTCAGAAGGGCCATACAGGAAGGAAAAGGTCTGTACGAATAAAACTCCCAAAAAGAGTGCAAGATTGGTATTGCATAAGTTAACGTCAAACATAGGCAAACAAGCAGCATCCATCCATTCTGTCTGTGCGAGACAAATAACTAATACACATTAACAGATCTGAAGCTTTGGTTGGATGTGCTCAATTATTCAAACTCTACACTGAAAAGCATTCTCACCGATATCTGCTACTGTGATAGTATAGTCCAGTTTATCTAGAAACGTCTGGCCAATTGAACCTTATGGCAGGACCCTGGAATCCCAAATAAACGGAAGTCAAATTCGTAATTCATTTATTTTTGGCGACTCTGTCCCACCGAGCACATAAACGCCGCAACCCACCTGGCGCGGATCATTCTGTTGTCATGTCGTCCAAACGCAGCGAGGACGAATGAGCAGAACAGAACTTTGATTAGCGCATCGTGTAGAGCTCGTCGAGAAGAATAGATTACCGTGTCGTTCGCCGTCAACAGACATAAAATGACGTCGCAACGCAATTTATGCGAGAGCCGGGGGGGCTTATGGGACCCCGGGGTCCCGCCATAAGGTCCAATTCTCAAAACCATTGAGAGGGTCCTTGCTTGCAACGTTTGGCAGTATTTTTGTATGTCTGGGAAACCATACGCAAACATGGGAAATGTCAAACATCACAGATAGGGTAACATACAGCGCTTGCTGTACCTCTCCTCTGAGCAAATTCGTCTCTGCAGCAAGGCATCTCACACGCATAAGTTCAACACAATCCACCAACTCCACATCGCAAAATTACAGCTGTGTAACGCCATGCTTGGACATTAGGTTTAATTTATTTGCTGCAGCAATGCTCTAAATTGCGTTGTACTTTACTCACTACTTTACCCTAGAATGTACAAATAAGCAAAAAAAGTCCTGAAAATAGTATACATATTAGCATCAAATTGTTTTAACATTAAGATTAAAGTCATCAGCTGGGGATGACCGTAGTTTGCTCAAAACGATCTAGCAAAAGCCAACATGTTCTTTACATCAATGGCACTGATTGGATGCTTACACCAATGCCTCATGACCCAAACTAGACAAGAGTATAAAATCCATAAACCAATCAAAGCAACAAAAATATGCAAGATTACATATCTTACCAGTTACTTTCTAAATACTTATTTTGCAAATGGCTGACGTTAGCCTGTATTTGCAACTGTAAGGTTTTCCTGAATGAGGCTACTACATTTTAAACACTTTCAAACTAAGGTTGAAAGCATTAATGCATTCGTTCTCGTATGCCGATGCGTATCGGATTGGGGGCCACCATTAATTCTCATAAAGATGAAGCTGTAAACTTGTGTTGCTATTTGGGGCTTGCCCTATTTAAAACTACCAAAAAATGTAAGGGTTGCCCAAAACTGTCAGCTTCCATATTGATAAGTATATATTGCCAAAGACATGTTCAATCGAATTACATAATCCTTGGATATGTAATATTTTTTCATCGCTTGTTTAGTATTTAAAAGCCAGGTTTTGTACCATGGAAGCTAGTTCGTCCTTGAAAATGTATTAACCAGTTGCCAAGTAGGCTGTGGTTAATCGATCATGTACTTCCTCAAACAGGTATAAGGTATGATCATAACGTTGGCTACCATGAGCAGGTAGTGCGATTTGCACATTACACAAATTGTTGACTTGCACAAGAGGTACGTTTGTCAACCCGAGATAAGCAGCCATCAACACATGACCGTCATATCAACTCCTAACCTTACATTTTGAAGTTGCGATAAATTCCTAGATTTGCATCAATATAATCCTCATCGGGTTACTTCTTGCAATGGTTGGAGCAAACCTGACCTACTGCAGATATGCATTTATTTTTTTAATGCGAGGCAGGGAAAAAATTGGCATTTGGGATTTTATTCTCAATAATCCAATTGTGATAGTGGTGTTTTGAAGAGATTGATAAATATGCAGTCTAAACTCTCGCAGTGAACAGTTGTTTTGAGTGTTGGGGAAAGGACCTCCTCACACGATGTCATCATGAGAAGCCAGTCTTACCACAGCCGGATGAAAGCCACTTCACACAACTGCCATTCTTCTCAGTTGTGCAATGCCACAATCCATCTTGCACCTGCGCATGACCTGACCTCATCACTCCATCAGGCATTATCCCCTCCAGCCATATGCTTTTCTCAGTCACTTAATTTCCTTAACAGTAAAGTTTTTTTTTTTGCATTTATGATGCATGTGTTCCTCTTGCTCTGCGTATAATTTCCAGTATGCAACTCTCCATGCTTCTTTGAATCCTTTAAAATGTTTGGTCCATGTGGCCAACCGATTAGCATGGTTGGTTACGTACGGTGCGAAGTAAGTTCAACATACATACTTTAATACACATACTCTGCCCCCTTGTGTTGCCCTATGCAGGGTGTATGCCAAAATGGTGCACTCTGAAATGTTCTGCAGAGGGAATGGCACATGGAAATCAACAACAAATATTAGACCTCAGAGTAGGTTTTTTGCCGAAGTAAAAAAAAGTAAACAATATACCATAATGCATTTTTGTGCCGTTACTGGTAAGTGGACTGAGACCATCCACTTATGACAATGTGGGTTCATCATGGGTGATGACCTGTTTTTGAAACCAAGATCTCAGCAATGATCCAATAAGAATGTTAAGCCTCCTGAGCCACAATTGGAAAAATTCCAAACAAACGTGCTCAGTGCTCTTAACAGCTCCAGATGATAAATTCAAGGCAGCACAAATTCATTGCTCTGAAGCAATACATGCATATGTTCGTGCAAATTGAGTGAGAAATGCTGAAAATTATATTCATAGAAAGTCGGTGCAAATATATGGAACCATTTTTACTTACGGGGCAAAAGGAGTGAAAACTGTATGCGCATGAGTAAATGAAGACAACCAAAAGCTTGAATTGATTGCTTGTTTTCAGTTAAAACATCAACTCATACTCCAAGCACCTACATTGTAGTTGTGTACATGGTAAAACCACAGCTTTTCTGGCAAAAACATGTGAACTTAATTGGGCAAAAGCTATTCCTTTTTGGGCTGGTTGCCAGTGGACCCTGCACAGCAAAGATGTTACATTAGCAAATACAACTGTACTCATTATGTGAGCCACTCTGACCAGTCACATTAATGAGAACTTAACTACTTAATTATATAATCTTGGCAGAAATAATAGCATGCTCAAATGCCTTTGGATTTAAAAAAAGTTAATTCTTACCATGGCTTGCTGTTTGTAGAACTGTTACAAAATCAACCATTGTAACAGTGGGTCTCATACTATGAGCACATATCCACGAAAAAAAACTATTAATCTGAATGTAGATTAAATCATGCATCTAGTCATGAAGCCTCGCTGAGTTGCACGATCTCTTACGGAAGGGTCTGCATAGAGTCGTTTTGCCAATTATTGAATATTTTTGCATGAATGGAAACCAAAGTGCCTGGGGAAAACCATACAAGGGGACGACGCTTCTAAAATCCATAAGTGTAGGTCAGTAACCTTGCTATTCTGCCGTCAACTGGATACCTCAAAGCCAAGTTAGTTGTTTCACTCGTACAATGAAGTCTGTGTACACCTAAACCTGGCTCTAAAGTTCTTAAATGCATGGCCACTCTTATGTCTTATTGTCGTGATGAGAAAATCGGCAATCTGCAAAGTTTATTACAGCTATAAAGCCCCACTACATTTACACATCTGCACTGTTGAAAGCGTCTGACCTTGTGAATAGGACTCGGGATAAATAAGAAGTGCGTGTAAGCTTCGAGTAACCTGAGCCGAGCACAAAGCATTACACAGCAATGGGGCATCCCTTAACGGCTGCAAACTGATTAAACCCAAACCCTGCGGCACACTGCTCGTCTCTCCTCCATCAAACAGCAGCAGTCACGCCCCAGCACGTGACACCAAGCTGATCAGCTCTCAAAAACACTCGAAAACAAATTCAAGAGGAAACATTAAATTCGGACACACCTTCAGATGAAAGGTGTCCATTTCTGTCACTGGTGATACACCTGAACTCGAAGGGCATGCAATGCTGCAGGCACACAGCGGGTAATTACCAAGGTAAAGTCTGTGTGGTCGACCACAGGAGCTCCTGTCCTTGCCCCTTCTGCGAGAACATGGTCACATGATTGTCCAGCAATGCAGTCTCTGCGAGCAGTAAACCTACACCGGGAGAGTGGCAATGGTGTGCCCTCCGACATGCGCATCCCTTCCACACACGCACCCTTAAACGTTCACAGTCTATACTGAGCCCTGCCAGTGCAGCGTTGCTTCTGTTGGTGGTGGTGGTGGCAGCATCTGTGCTACGAGCCGGAACAGGCGGGTGTTAGCTGAGCTCGAAGCCAGCGGCCGACTCGATGGCATAAAGGAGCTTCCCGCGCATCGTCTCTTCTTCCAGAAACTCGGGCAGCTTGAGCAGATTCATGCAGGTGCTGGCCGTGGGCAGGCGCTCAGGGTCGGCTCCGCCGTTGTGAACGCAAAATGCAGGGAACAGCTCCTGAGAGAGATGATGACATAGGCATGAGGTAGAAAGGAGAGTATGTTAGGAAATCACGGGGTGGCAAGAAGCATCACCATTGATCATCAAAGCATTTCCCTGCAAAAATAAATATGCATAGGACAACTGCTGTTGATGTGCCATGAAGACGTTATCATTTTAATCTTGATTTAAAGGTTTCGTGACTGCAGGAATCCATACTCTAATTCCTCACATTAACATGATGCTAATCTCTCACATTATCATAGCTACTTCCGTGCCCAGTTACATGCTAATTTCTCACTTTAACATCATGCTAATCTCTCACATTAACATAGCCACTTCCGTACCCAGTTACATGCTAATGCCTCACATTAAAATCACGAGACCCAGCCACTTCTTTATGACCCTTGGGCTACACCCATTTCAAACCTTTTAAAACAGTCTGCATCAGCAGCAGACCATGCCTTCCCACCTGATGACGGACGCTTGTGTTGCGCCCGAAACGTCGTGATCTATTTTATTTTATACCTACGTGACTTTACCGAAAGAACCAAAGAGTACGTTATCATTTTACTGACCCCCAAGTTGACCCCGTATTGGGATTTGAACTCAAAACATTCTGATTGTGTGTCCGTTGCTTAGTCTCACCTTAAAGCCAAGAAGAGGCGGGCGGGAGCAGCTGGTGACAAACTTCAGCAGCTTGCGTTTCTGCTCATCCGTAAATCCCTCGACTACATGCCAGAACACTTTGATGACGGGGTGATCGGCTGTGTATCCGCCTGCCAGCCCCGGACACACAGATACACATGCATACAAAGATGCAAATATCGCCAGTATAGCAAACACCTATTAAGGCCAGGACTATGCCTGGTCACCTTTGTGCTCATGTTTTCACACCACACAAGGTATTCATTTAGGGCTGAATCAATCAAGGAGGGGCCAATGAGAGGTTCAAATGCCACTTGTCATGGCCAGGAATCGAAATAATGCTGCCATGTTCATTGTGCAATGCATTAAGCATTGCACCACCACACTCTACAAAAGCACACCTACACATGTACACACATGTACACAAAGACTAAAGATCCACCATCCGGCCCAGAAGAAGTCCCTCATCAAAACACTACACCATAGGGCCCCGCTGCATCTCCGACCAGCGCCACCTAGCCAGTGAACTGGAGCACGTACACCAAGCCCTCAAGATGAATGGATACTCAGACCGCACAATCCGCAAAGCTGTAGCCCCAACCATGGGGAGACAACCATCTGAGGACCCAATCAAAACCATCACCTTGCCATACATAGCAGGTGTTACAAAAAAGATTTTCAAAATCTTAAACAAACACAATATCCAGGTCCGATTCAATACAGTACACAACATTCGTGATTTGATCCCATCTGTGAAGGATGTTATTCCTGACATGCAATACCCTGGTGTCTACAAACTAAGTTGTATCTGCGGTAGCAGTTACATTGGGGAAACGAAACGACATGTCTTGGACCGTGTTCGTGAACACAAGGCAGATTTGAAACACGGCAGAACCAATACCTCTGCAGTGGCTGACCATTGTTTTAACGCTGTGGGCTCACATGATATTGTTTTTTTCCGAGACCAAGGTACTCTGCAAACCTTCGGGCTACTATCAAAAATTTATCCATGAAGCCATCCAGATATATAAACAGAGACGATTTCAACCGAGAAGATGGGTATAAGCTGAGCAATCATTAGAGGACGTTATTAACCAAGTAAAGTCATAGCTTGCTGTGGTACTTCCATTCTTCCCTGCCGTTTGGCTGTCATCTCCTACTCTCTGAGTTGCATTGCCCTGTTAGGTGCCTCTGCATTAACGGGCTGGGCTCTGACTAACATGGCCACCTCTGTTCCCTTAGCCTCGATGTACTGATAGTTCTGGCTGTGTGATGGGCTTTGTCTCACTGGCACGACCACTGTTGCGGTGGTTCCCTTGCGTGTACGCTCTTGCCTCACAGCGCAGTTAGCAGCGCCGCAGCTTGTGTTACACATAAACATGACATTCACTTACTAATCCCCCTAATCTCCCTGCCTAATCTCTCCCATCAACATAGTGCTAACCTCCCAATAACACTGCTGTTGTACGCATATGTGGGGAATGATACTCTTATGCGGCGACGGAAGCTCATTTCATGCTAATCTCTCTCCCTAATCTCTCTTTCCCTAATCTCCCCCATTAACACAACTGACGTGCTTGCATCCGGGGATGGAATTCCTTTCCAGCTCAGACCCCGCTTGCTTGCCCATCGCCACATAAATAACCTCTTGTTGTAATAGCTCTCTGGCTGGTTCAGCAGTTCCACTGTTGGATAATTTTTTCCATCTGAGGACGACCGCTTGTGTTGCGATCGAAACGTCGTGATATATTATTTTTTTGTTAAATTTTTATATCTAAGTGACTTTACCGAAAGAACCAAACAGTATCCACTATATAGCCTTATAGGCCAGAACAGTATTTGTTGTTAGGTTCAGATACCATGTACCACTGACGTTGCATACGATTGGGAACGGAATCCTGATAATTGTGCCCTCTGTAATATTGGTCTCCGTAAGACACTTACCAGAGTAGTTGGTGAAGTTCTTGAGGTCCTGTAGGTCAATGGGGACCTGTGCTCCAGAAAGCAGCACCTACAGCCATATGAAGGGGAAATAGTAGGTGGAGCACACTTTCGTGTCAATAACTGGGCAAGCTTACACGACATTTAATGGAAGTGCATCTGAATGAGCATATCAAGTACAGTAAAAGGTATAAATGGAACAATCTAAATTAAAAGGAAACCTCTAATTTCCTACGATGGTTCTTTTTCAGTAATTGGTGAATAGGCTTAGACTATCAACTCAGACAATTCAGAATGTGGTTTCATCAAAGGTGGCTAACATCTGGATTTTAACTTGGAGCTCAGGAGGGCTGGTTACGTGAACTGACACTGCGTTAGCCCTTTGTGCCACTCAGCCAACTCTGCCCATATAAACATTTGACCATAAAGTTTGGCACAGTAACGCTGTAAAGTGCCAATTGAGACGCCAACCACTCCACTGCTCATTTTAGCAGGCAGACACGTTGACTTTAACTTAAATGTAATGCATAACACTACAAAAACAATGTTTACTCAAGAAAGTCTCACCGAGTCCCAGGACAGGAGGAGCCACTGCCAACACACACGGAGGTGTTTATCACTTGCGTGGTTCAGTTAAACCTGGATCACAGGTTGTGCATAGCTGCCACCGCAGTGAACCAGAGGTCCTCCGGCTCCCATGCACTCCTCTGCCACCTCGTCTCTCACCACAGCCCATCTCTCTCTCCTGCTTGCCTCACCTGCAACTCCTGCTCGTCGAACATCCGCAGCCACTCGAGGTTGATGACTGTAGCCAGGCCCTGGCGGAAGGCCAGGCAGTGTTGCCGGATCTGCCGGTTGAGGCGGTAGTCGGCCACCAGGTGAATGTACGCGATGCGGTTCGCACTTGTCACTGGGATATCCTTGCCACCCGCTTTGAGCTCCACCACCTGCAGGGAAAGTTTATGGAGCCTTCAGTTAACAACAGTGGGACCTTGGTGTCTTGTTGAACAGCAATATCAGCAACTGTACTTTAACGTGGATGCTACAGTGGTTAGAGTACTCAACTTGCTATCGGAAGGTCGTGATTTCAAAACCGCTTAAGGGTCAACTTGCCCCATTATCCCTCTGGTGTCAACAGTGCGTTGGGGGATGTGAGCAGTAATTGACTTAATGAGAAATTGGCCCATGCAAAGGGAACGTAGAAATTCCACAACTGGCTAAGGACAGCTACTAAAGATGAGTGCAATTGCAATGCATTTTATAAGAAGACAATTGAAGTGACTTTTTATTTCACCAAGAACCATTTTTAACTTAGCCTGAAAATAATGAATCAATATCAACACTGCCATAAATGGCATGAACACTACCTGAAAGGAGGGTAACATCTGGCAATGGCAATTCTTCAAGAGCACAAGGCGGCCAAACCAGTTTCTAATGTCACTTGCTACAATTATTTTGCATGTCCAGGAATCAAACCCAGGTCATCAGGAACACAGTGCAGTACAGGTGTAGTGACGTAAATGGAGTCACTATGGCATTTAGCGCCAGCTACTGTCACAAGAGTGGAACTTGACTTAAAGCTTTCGTGACTGCAGGAATTCATATTCTTTTCTGAAGACGACCGCTTGCGTTGCGACCGAAATGCCATCGTTTTTTGTTATTTTTTGTTATTTTCTTTGAACCTATCTACGTGACTTTACCGAAAGACCCAAGAATAAGAATGGAACTGTGCGTCTTGAGCCTCTCTCTGGCACCAGAGCAGGTATGGCATGGAAGTGGGCGCTAGGGGGCATGGCTCTGGTGACAGGCAGAGAGAGGGCAAGTAAGGAAGTGACAGTCTAGGTGAACCCGAGAGGGCACGTGACCAGGAAAGGGGAGCGAGGGGGGCCAAAGGGTGGCGAGAGGGACACGTGATATATGGCCCAGAGCCTTCTCGTAGGATCTAGAAGAGGGCGTGGCTGAGGGCGGAGCCAGGCCAAGCTCAGAGGCATAAAAGGGAAGTCCCGAGAGCCAATCCGGGCTGTCCGTTGGAATGGAACTCGTCGGTGCTAAGTCTCTTCGATCCTCGGTCTTTATGCTCGGCTTCGTGGGTCAGGCAGTATGTTACTGACTGAGTCGGTTATGTAGTTACCCCATTGTGATAAAGTTACCCCATTGTGGTATAGTTAACCATGTCTACATTTATGCAGTTACCATGTTGGGGTGTTACAATAAATGTGTTGCCTCCAAGTTGTAGTGTGTGTCTCCGTGGAACCCACTACACAGGCACCACAATATAACCAGCAAACATGTGTCCATACACGCACATACAGAAGGCACGCACACTACACTCAAACCACACAAGCACAGATGAACCCATACAGACACACACACCTGTGCCTCGCCAAGCTCGTTGTTGACCACAGTGAAGTTGAGTCCCAGCTCTTCGACGTCGCCCTGGTAGCTCTTGAGGAAGAGCAGGTTCCGGTAGACCTCCGGGTCAAGAGATGCCAAGTGGTGGATGTCCACATCACCAGTCGTGCCCAGCAGCTTGGATAGGAAGAAGCCGGCAAATGGCAGTTCCACCAGCATGTTCTCATACAGGGCCTGTGGGGACAAACCGCACGGCACATTCCTCCATGGGTTGTAAACACACAAATAATTGAAATGTAATTCTTCCATTTAATTAAATATAAAATCTACAGGTTGTGAGGGGTACATGGACAGTGGATATGTCAGGATACGAGTACAGTAATACCCCGGTTTAGTGGGGATGCGTTCCTGAAAGGTGCAACGAATATCGAAAACAACGTAAATCAAAGCAATTTACAGGGTACGTGGAGACGAAGGCTGAGGTGATAGATACGAGAAAGAATGGATGCTGTCAGCGACATTAGTGGTTTGCCACGACGAAAATCAGGTAGTGGTGTTAATAAAGTGATGAAGGATTTGCTAAATGACGGAAAAGGGGGAGACGTAAATCGGGGGCATTACTGTACACGACAAAAAGTTGGGAACCACTAAAGTCAGCACTCACATTTCTAAAGCCTCTGCTTGGCCACCACCCGACTTTCATTAAAGCTACTACATATCTTACTTGAATGTTCCACCTCTGTAAAACCACAACCATGCGTTCCTTTCTCCGCGCGACTTTCCTATCACAGACCTTGCCGAGCATGCGTCCCAGGAAGTAGTAGTGTCGAGTGAAGCCATCACCGACCAGCAGGCGAGCCTCGGGGTTGGGGTACAGCAGGCCCTGGTTGGTGGTGCGGAAGAAGCCCTGGTGGGGGTTGAATCCTGTCTTGAGCAGCTCGTTGAGAAACTCTCGGAAGATGCCTCCCCCGTCGATACCAGCCTCGTCCAGGCCATGTGCGTTCAGGAGGTGAACCCGGATGCGGCGCCGCAGGTCGGGCTCTGTTTGAGACGTGCAGTTACACAGGCGTGAGCACTGAGTCGGTCAACAAAATTCCCCATCATCACCCAGCACTCAGAAATTAAAGTAACTGAATGTGATTGACCTATCCACGAAGGCCTCAATGAGTCTCAAGCCTCTGTGTTTCAGGAAGGGCCTTGCATTGAGTTGTTTGGCCAATTATGTTTGAATGGTTGTTTTACATGTAGCAGAGAACTCAGAGAAAATCCAAGTATACGTGGGGATAACACTCACAAATCCATACAGACCTGTTCACGAATCCATCTGCTGGACTGCCCCATCCTGGCCATCTCACAGCCCATGATGAAACCTGGGTTATGCACCAACCTTGCCTTCAAAGCACTTTCAGTGTAGTTACATTACTCTGCCGAGCTATACAGTCAAAGGTCACAATCGTAAAGTTGGTCGAGTGGCTCAGAGGACCCAAATGGTGTCGGGGAACTAACTCAGCAACACTTCAATCTTGGGTTAAAATTCCCGCTGTCCAAAACCAAACCAGTTTTTCAAGTCTTGCAAGTTGATGCGGTCTCATCCTAATCAATGAAAAATAAACGTATTTTTACTTGATTCATGAATCCCAGCTCTTGACAAATAAAACATTAGACATGTACATATACTCATTAGAAGACTCATAATGAAAAAAAAGGTGTGCCATCCTTTTATATGTATGAGAGGCCTACTGATGTCAATTTAAAAGTGGTTCTTAGACAATCTTACGGGGGGCTGTTCTCTGGTAGAATGTGATGTTACACTGTTCACTCTAGTGAGCTCGATGGGTGCAAGTTCTTTCATCTCTCAATGTGACGCCAATAGCACAGGTCGCATATCATTGGTCTCAGTCCTCGCAGTGCATAAGCGGGCTCAATCCCTCACCATTCTCTGGCGAGAGCTTGTCATAAGCGTCCTCGTAGATGTAGGGCCGCCGAATAGTCACGTTGATGCCCACAAAGAAGGGGCTGTCACCCTGTGACTCTTCCTTGTCTGATAAGATCAGACGCTGGAAAATCTGTTTGAGGAGATTTAACACAATCACAGTTGGAACCTCTTTTCACAGGGTGTAAGTGGTTGTGAATCTGACAATACTAATATGAATAGAACAACTTATCTAAATGTTGGTTGTTGAAAATCAATTCACGTGTATACGTGTATAAAGCAGATGTGAACACAAGCAGACCTTGACTCGCTCCTGGAAAGGCACCACGAAGGGCAGCTCAGTGAGGATGGCCAACTGCCTCTCCTCGCTCACCGAGAGTGGAGGACCCTCGTCACCCACTGCACAAGACAAAGACAAAGACCACACTTACAGCCTTTGTTAACAGACTGTTGGGGCAAACATTGTTAGCGAGCACCTCTGAAGGCCAGCACGACACACGAGGGGGTGAGTGGCCAGCACCATGCCCAGCCGACTTTGTCTCCCTAGTGGCGATGTTTATACATCGCACCAGGTACTCGTATGAGGCTAAGTCGACATAGGGCAGGCCCAGGACTGGTTCTCGTCACTTGTGTTGGCTGCGAGCGGGAATCGAATATGGGGTCACTCACTGCACCCCCACAAACACACCATGGTCGAACAGATGCAAATGCATGCTTATTAAAAGGCATGGGAACACCACCAAACCACATACACAATAATAATAATAAACAATGAGTGTGTACACACCTCTAGAGCCATACAGTGGCTAGCACATGCCTATTAAGACAAAGTAGATGCATACTGATGTTTACACACAAAATATACATCAATTGTACATGACAAAGATCATGACAAATACACACAGTAAGACACCACCATTACACTACACACGCACATTCAATCACACCATACAAACGCCATTGCAATGCATACACACATTCATCACACCCATAATACTATGAATACACCGTAAAATAAAAAGTGCACAGTTCTCCCTAATCTTCTTCTATATATATAAAAGTCAAAATTTGTCTGTGGGTTTGTGTGTGGGTTTGTGTGTTCGCACGCTTGCGAAGGATTTGCCTCTCCAACGGTGGGGTTCACGTTAAATAAAAATAGCCAGGTACCACGCCGTAAGCCCCGTCGTGAGCAAGCACTATTACTTTTTCACATCCGTCAGCTTTAAATAAGTTTAATTCGCGAATTTGTGCGATTTGTGCACTTTCTTATTATTTATTTATGACTCATGCACGACCATACAAACTCACGCGCCTTTGGTGGGGAGGACGGCCCATGTCAAGTAGCACGCCTTCGGTGGGAGTGAGGGGGACATTTTCTTTCGCGTTAAAAATGCTATAAAAAATACACTAAAAGTAAATTCTCCACTGTGTGATGTCCCTCCCACCCCGATGCGTGCAGTTACTACTATACAGTCGTATAGGCCGTAGATATTACTGCAGAGAGGCCGGGGAGATCGTGACTGGGACGGGGGGGGGGGGGTTAGGGGTAGCAGCCCAGCCCCAGCCTCCCAAGGTGCCACCTCGGCCGGCTGGACAATCTAGGCGAGGCCGGAGGCTCTGGACAAGACTAGGCCTCGCCACGCCAGTCTGTCAGGCGAGTACTTTGTGCTATAGAGTCGATAAATACTGCTATAGAGTCAGCACGTACTACTGTAGTGATAGCAGGTACCACCACAGTCGGTATGCACTGCTGTAATACTAGCAGATACCACCACAGTCAGTACGCACTGCTGTTAGATTTTTAAGAGTAGGTTTGAAATATTTTTTTGGCCCGGGCAACGCCGGGTATATAAGCTCATAATTAATAAAATCACATGTGGCTGCAATGTTGATTTCTTACCATGTTCCTAAATAAAATGAATTAATGGTGAAGTCTGGTCAAACAAATCATGACTACTATGAGATCTCTTTTACCAGTGGCAAAATATAGTAGTAGGTTTTTACCCTTTTAAACTGGTACAAAACTGACACCTTTATTCAAGGCATCATGTTTGCAATAACCACAACACAAGTAGTCAAAAAAGCAAACAAAAAGAAGCAACTCTGATAATGATAATAATATGCACTGTCCTTGAAGTTGATTGGTCCACACCCGAGACGGCTTTCTTTAGAGCCTAGTCCCCATTGGTGTTGGACCAGATGACACCAGAAGGTGTACAAATCAAACACAGTGCAATTTCAGAGTATTGAGAGCTTGGGGTAAGCATTTACACTATGAGATCTCTTTTACCAGTGGCAAAATATAGTAGGGTTTTACCTTTTTAAACTGGTACAAAACTGACACCTTTATTCAAGGCATCATGTTTGCAATAACCACAACACAAGTAGTCAAAAAAGCAAACAAAAAGAAGCAACTCTGATGATAATAATATGCACTGTCCTTGAAGTTGATTGGTCCACACCCGAGACGGCTTTCTTTAGAGCCTAGTCCCCCATTGGTGTTGGACCAGATGACACCAGAAGGCGTACAACTCAAACACAGTGCAATATCAGAGTATTGAGAGCTCGGGGTAAGCATTTACACTATGAGATCTCTTTTACCAGTGGCAAAATATAGTAGTAGGTTTTTACCCTTTTAAACTGGTACAAAACTGGCACCTTTATTCAAGGCATCATGTTTGCAATAACCACAACACAAGTAGTCAAAAAAGCAAACAAAAAGAAGAAACTCTGATAATGATAATAATATGCACTGTCCTTGAAGTTGATTGGTCCACACCCGAGACGGCTTTCTTTAGAGCCTAGTCCCCAAACTACATTTTTCTTTTCCCTGTTGCCTTCAACATATAAACACTTCCTCCTCCCCATTATGTGTGCATGTCTTTCTTCACATACGGCATCTTGAGATGTGATGATATTTAAGACTCTGGTAATGTTGAGTTCCAGAGCAATGCTGTACCATCTAGCGAGGAGTAGAGGGGACCGATTCCACGCATCCGACGGTTTCTCCACACGTGCCGTGCTGCTGGCCGATACAGCTGGGGTACCTGCAGTGTTGGAAACGCACAGATAACAAGTTACGCATGCGCATGGATTATGTAGTGCTATTTCCTTAACAGTATGGAAGCGAATGGGTAGTACTCGAGGTAAAATACGTTTGCATATTTCCATATACTCTTTTGCTACTCATTTGGGGCAATCCCTTGATTAATTTGATAGCAAATGAATAGCAACACAACTGTAGACTGTAAGTTGCGTTATATTGGATCGTGTTTTAAAGAGTTGTTGTATCCCCACCCCTCCTCTTAGGGAGGACCACCATCCAGAAGTAGACTCTTCATGGCAGATGATGAGGAATGATAGCCCGAGTTTATTCCTGACCGGGATTTGATCCCATGACCTTCCATTTGCAAGTGACGTGCTCTAACCATGTACTGAATGAACTGAATCTGTGCACAGCTGTAACGTACTCGGTCTGCACGGATGGACACTTCTGGGGAGAGCCAATGGTTGGAGGGACAGAACGGCCGGCGTGTGTCGCGTGCCTTTAGCATCTTCACCAAATTACTGATCACCTGTAATGACAATGGTGGAGAGAGGCAGACATTTGTTGAGTTAGTGCCCTTCACATTAATGCACCATAACTCCATGTGGTTGGCATCAGTCAATGGACACATCTCTATGTTACCATTCCACATAATACCACTACTATATCTGCAGATGGAGCCTCATCAACATTAATAGCCAGAATAATGCATGAATATATCATTTCTCAATTAAACACCACATACTGTTTGTAAATTAATAAAACCACGACCAATAAAACATCACAATGACTGTAAAAATGCATGGTAAAAGGTATAGCCCTGCAATTACTTTCTCTCACGACTGCTGACAGACAGGCCACCACTAGGGGGAGCTCTAGAAAGAGAATATGGCCGATTCTTCTAAGCTGGCCAGACACCTTGAAAGGTGAGACTAAACCACATTTTACCCCATCCATTTATAATGCTGGATGGACAGAGGCACAGGGATTTGAGAAACTTGCCCAATGTTTCAACTTCCACATTGGGAGATGGAACTTGTGTTCTCTGGATTGCACGACTAAGTGTGCTATGGCAGCATCCTAAATGTATATTGAATACATGGTAATCTCATTAAAACACCAACACTTCACTTTCATTATATTATTCAACATTGCTTATCTTTCAATCTATTGATCTCGGTGACTACCACGTTATATACAAATAGCATAAAAACTGGAGTCCCCAATACTCAGATATGCAGTTAGTAATGTTCTCTTAGCAGTTGTCAGCCAGATGTAAATGTTCCACACTTCTACCAAATAGAGACCAGCTCCAAAACTGTACTAGAACCAAATAGTGTACCAGTAGTGTAACAATACATACATTCATCGAATACCATTGATGCTTAAACTCACAATACTTGAAATTAATTGTGCGTGGGGAAATCAAATCTTACAAATGTATGTAAAGGCATCCCATGATTACTGCACCCGTTAGAGGCCACTACATTCACCACTATGTAAGAAAATAAACCCTTCATCATTCAATTGAATCGTGACTATTAATAAAATCACTGGGGGGGGGGGGGAAGGGTGGGGTGAAAAGTTACACCCATAATATAGACACAATCCCATGAGAATGGTTGTGCAAACGTGGATTTTGCAGAGATTCAGGCAAGACTTGTGCAAAACACCCACCTGCAGGCAATACATCAAGTAGACTGCTGGTCTCCAATATATATTTATTTTCTCAAAGGTATGATAGGCTTCTATCTGGGCATCATTGTTCCATTCCACATGAAATAATACCCAAGGAACTGTCTAAATATCCCAATCAGGGCCCTACTCAAAATGGTCCTGGACTCAAGAGCTGTAACCTCCCCAAGAGTATTAGCATAGCTTGGCAAGGCTTCAGTGCACAAACTCTGATAGCAAATGCTTAATAGACTGTTCATGTAATTTGAGAAAAGAATGGATGAGCTGAATGTCTCAAAGATAACCTATTTAATTACATTAACCCACTCTAACTGCGCAGCTTAAAATCAGGGCCCAAGTGGCCTTTTGACGACATCATCAAGTGCCACTATTTACGTCTTAAGTGCGAAGCTTTCCTGGAAACCCTAAACCAACACTGCGTCCAAAATACGAACCCTGGGTGTCTTAAATGAAGTGAGCAATAAACGCGGGGAGCCCTCGGGTTAACGAGAACTGCAGGCAATTAGGTTATTGCCACCATTACCTTAAAACATTCTGCAAGGGTGGATTGTCGGGTGACAGAGATAAACAGGACAACCATTTCAGCTGTCGATATGTGCCTACCCGATGGAAAACTGCTCAAGCCTCACATTTAGCACATCCTCGCTTCTCGATGAGGCCCCTGTTTAATCTCTTATGTTTTTTTTTTACTAATGCGCCGAGTGATTAACAATAACGACGAGGGCCTCCCATATTATCCGGCCGTTCTGCGAGACTGTTCATCACCTGCGATCAATGCAGGTCCATAAGTCAGTGCCATCTGCTATGCAATGAAAAGGCAGCTGGGTGGTGTTGTCAGAGGACCGCTTGACTTGCAAACCGAAGGTTGCGGGTTCAAATCCCGGTCGAGGGTTGACTTTGCTTATTATACACATGGAATCAATAAAATATCATTAAATAACACAAATTATCATAATAGTGGTGGGCCTCCTGGACCTATGGAATTTCCTACACTGGCTCAAGGCTGCCAATGGAAACTGGATGCCATTCCAATGTTCGTTTAAGCCAAGAGACTTTGATTTCACTAGCACTGCTCACATGAGAAAGCACTTTTTTGTGTGCCTTTTGGCGTCATTTTTGTGCGCCTTTTGGCGTCATCTGGTCCAACACCATGTGAGACTAGGCTCTAAAGAAAGCTGTCTCGGGTATGGACCAATCAATTTCAAGGACAGTGCATACATTATCAGAGTTATGTTTTTTTTGTTTGCATTCCGACTGCAGGTATTGTGGTCAATGCAAACATGACTCCTTGAAAAAAGGTGTCAGTTTTGTTGCAAGATAAAAGGGTAAAAAACCAATTATCATATTTTGCTACTGGCAAATGAGGTTCCAATGGTGATTAAATTTGTATTTGGATTTTAGAACGTTGCAATTCAAAGTTCCTTCTTGTTAAAAAGAACATGAGGTGGTACTCATTAACATCGGTGGTTCCAAACCAGGCAAGAGGCCGGACAATCCAATGAAAATGGTCACTTCCTATAAAGGAGCAATCTCTTTGTTATCAACCCGAGAGGGATGATGGGATATGTTGAGTCTCGATCAAACATTTCAATTACAACCTCCCGATACCAAAAGTCACGCGCTATGCTTCAATACGTCCAAGCAAGTTAGGTGTACAGAAGGCATATTGATTCACCATCCCAGCGATTCAATGAATTGTCACAATAGTCTCTTGAGTTCTCACCCAGTTAAAACGAATAAACTTCAACAATTTGGGGTAATTATTGATTGGGACAGAAAATTGTTTCTTTTTGTATTATCTCGTTTGAATGTTTTGCTCTATAATTTATATACTATTATTTTCCACATTACCCTAAACGTAACATTAATAGAAAAATTCTAATTTGGGTGAAAGCTTTTTCCATTATGGGGGAGGGGGGGGTCTGGCATGCTGCAAATATTTCAATAAATCACGATTAAAATGACATTACGTCTACACGTAATTAACACCAAAAAAAATAACATGTGATCGTTAATAACAAATAAGGTGTTTACAATTTAAAGTTTTACAAGACATAAAAAATCACAACCCTGTACTGAACATCACCGTAAACCACTGAAGGCTGAAAATGTTTTCTTACGAATTTGAACAATGTATTTAAGTTTTTTTTTTACAACTTAAACATGAAACATTAGGAAAAAAAAGGACGGACAGCAAAGAAAGAGAACCCAAGGAAGCCCATCCAAGGACATGGGTTCACTAAATTCCATACAACTGATAAAGTGCATGCTTTATATAAGCTTGAATAATTGCTAGTACACGGATGCACCCTAGCAGACCCCTTAACTTTACGTATACCGCATTCCCGATGCATGCGGCTCTATGAACCCCATTTTTAAGAACCGATAATGTACTCTACATGTGCACTTAACACCTTCTCAGCTCCGTCGAGGCACCCACGACTGCCTCCACGGTTATGCAAATAAGGACCAATTGAGCGCAGGGATGAGTGCTGCGGAGCCTCCATCAAATAGCCATCACTCAGCTCTTTTCCTTGCGCCGACTCGGCACAAACCTCTCGGCATCCATCAGGGAGTTATCAAATCGATTGCTACGTCCCCCCACCCCCTTGTGCCATTTGCACGATTAGCCTGCACACGCGCTGCAATTAATCTGGCCCGTCGGCCACCATGCCTGCATTGCTCTTTATCCACTTAAACGAGTCCATTTGCTGCATTACCATCTCCTTAATTGGATATTTTCATTCAATTAACTCTGCGCCTGAAGATGCATTGCTCTTGATGTGGTGACTGCTGCCAAGAAGAAATCTGCGGAAGCCATCAGGTCCTTCATTTGTGTTTGAGTTAAATGCCTCGGGAAGTGTGTGATTCGTATAATCTATTAATAAAGCATCCTAATCACAAAGGATATTATTTTACATTTGGTCTTATAGCCCATAGGTGCAATGCCTATTCAAGCACGAAATGACAGCATGACTAAATAGCGATAGCTTCACTGCAGGGTTTGTGCCATTATAGGTGCGCTTTGATAAATAACATGTGCTGTGGTGAACACTCGCAAGCAGGTCACAGAACAATTATCTCCCATATAGCCTAACCAAACTGTTGGGTCAAGTGCTGTAAGCGATCACCTATGCAGGCCGGCATGGCACAGTAAGGGGTGGGTGGCCACCACAATGACCAGCCACTTTGCGTCTCCCCAGTTCTGATTTTTACACATCGCCCTGGCTATTAATTTGAGGCTGAATCAACCAAGGGGAGGCCCAGGACAAGTTCAGATAATCGACACTTTTATTGGCCATGAGCAAGAATAAAACTCAGCTCGCTGGTTTCGTAGTGCAGCATGCTATCCACTGTGCCACTGTTCCCCACAGAACAGTACACATGTACATGCACACAAAGTAATGTCAGAAACTGTTTACATACACACATTGGTATGCACCAAACACATTCTCCTGTGTTTGGACTATTTTCAGCTTTCTTGATCTCACCAGTGCATTAGGTACTTTCCCCCAATGCGATCCCTATGAAACTATTGACATCGTGACAAATAATCCATTTGGAGCTCTCACGGAGCGTTGCAACCCTTCGTGTTAAGATAACAGCTCAAGGACGTGGATACCACAGAACTACCACTGAAATCCCCTCTAGTGATCTGTGGTCCACACGGTAGGGGGAGCACTTTCCCATCCGCTCTACTACTGAAAGTAATGTTCCTTGCATGACAGTTACTTTCGTGATTAGCATAACACTTATTGAACAGCACAATCAAAGGGTTAGCATACTGTATTTCTGTCCTTGTGTACTGTATATGCATAACCATATGCAGTGATGTAAAGTTACAGATTGGAATCAGATGAGAGTGACAGGTACCGGTCATCCTGTGTACTCCCAGTGCGTGATCATATTGTAGTGACATCGCGGATGTCACTGTAATGCCGGCCCCAGAGAGGCACGGCTTGCGATGTACAGACATTGCGGGTACCACGTATATGTGGGTGCAGTACTGGCCCTAGAGGGGCTCGGTGAGCGCTGACTGGCAGTGCTGGATGGCACCACGCTCTGCGTGCAGTGCAAACCCCTACAGGTTAGGGTGTGAGAGTGCCGGCCATGGGGTTACTAAGGGCCATGGCACTCTGGTTGACCCCGAAGGACACGTGACCTGTAAGGTCTACACAGGGCCCCCAGGGTGGTCACGTGTCAGGGTCGAGATCCTGCTTGAGGATTCTAGAAGGTGGTCGTGGCGAAGGGCGGGGCCAGCCACGCCACAGAGGATATAAGCCGGGTCCCCGAGAGGGACCGGCTGCTGTTGTTCATCCTGAAGAAACCCACATTCTACGTTCTACGTCCTACAGGCTCTCCCACACGTGGACCTGGACCCGAGCTGTGGTCTGGTCCGTTGTAGCTAGTTACGGTGTAATTAGTGTAGTTAGCCTGGTGGTCACCACCAGAGGTTGTTATCTGATTAAGGGGCAGTTACCCCTTTTTGTTAGTGTTAATAAATGTGTTGCCTCCAAAGAGTATGTCTGCGACTCAGTTGAACTCACTACAATATTACCAAAACTTTTAATTTCGATTTTTTTTTCATGACAGTAATTTTATTGTTTATTGAAGTATAACTCCAAAAAAATGTAATTGGCCAATGATCAGCCAAAGCGTATACAGATCATACTGCAAAGCTCAGAACCATAACAAAAGCTAAGAGTTCTGAGTTGTTTTGCTGTACTATTCCTGCCCTTGCTCAAGACCTTGTAGTAAGTAGATGAACTGGGTGCTTCTGTAGATTCCCACTGGTGCCTGCAATGAAGTCCCCCACCCCTTGCTGGAGGCTGCCATGCCCATACAGGGTGGCCTATCGTAAAGACAATTACACACACTTAGTCAAATTAAGGCGAGATCGTAAAGAGGTCAGTTAACAACAGAGCCGACAAAGGGGACGCAAGTGCTGGAGATTGCTTTCACTGTTTTAGTCAATGGCAACTACAGCAATAACCTGCCTTTAGAGCAGGACCACTGTTTCAGAATCGCGACCAGCTTGTTCGATTAAATATATCAGGGGTGAAAGAACGCAGACAATTGACATGAGTCAACCTTCCATGGCACAGCTTTTCAGTTTCAAATATGTCCAAATGCAAATGTCATCTACCCACAAATCAACATTCACACACCATGAGTCACGTGATTTTTCAGAAAACAGCAGAAGCACGTTTTTTTTATAGAACTATAAAATACAAAATAGTGCAGTATCTTCTCGTATTAATGTATTGCAATTTAGTCAGACATTCCAAGCACCAAGCTTTTGTTAGTTACACCTTAGAATTGTCTTTACACAATTGTTTTAAAATATTCACAAAAAAACCTTCAATTACTCATGATGTAATCTTCCTACACAGACTTGTAACAAAGATCATGTTCCTACATAAGAATTCCGTTGGAATCAGTGCAACCAGGCGATATTTTTTTTTTGCATCGACATGATTTAAATCCACTTGCATTTACATTTTTTATAGACAGGCACTACATTTTAAAAGGCTGTCTCCAAAATTAAGTCAACATATTCAGTCTACCCGTTTTTTTCTGTGCTCTAAAGTGTCCTTAGCCATCTCATTAGATGCCTTAAGAGCATTACACAGCACTTGCCTTGAAGAGCTGTGTGTAGCGCTGCCGTTGCTCTTGCAGCCGATGCTCGGCGGGCATGCTGCTGCCCACACTCTGCAGCGCCACGGCGTAGCTCTCACGCAGCTCGGGCCGGCTCTCGGGGTACGCCAGGTGGATCATGCCAAGGCATGCGTCGCGTAGGCATGCAGACATGGCCACCAGTTCGTCGAGCGAGAAGGGCATGCCCACACCAGACGCGCTTCCAGCACCATCGCTAACTCCATCAGCGCCACCGCCGCTTCTGTCGACCCCACCACCCGGGCCTCGAGACACAGCATCCACATGAAAACCTACGTTGCTACCCCAAATCAAACACACGGAGATGTTGATTCGTTCATATATTTGTAAATTCTGTCTCGTGCATGCATATGTGCCTTTTACAAAATCACTCTGAATGATTCCAAAGTCAGACCTTGTAAGCTAAGTTAGGCCTGGTTATTACCTGAACGAGAAATTGTCTGAAAATATTAAGTGTGGTAGGCTTGTTTTTCGAGGTGGCCAGGAGATGGCAATAAAGCAAATATTTTCTTTATCGATTTGTATACAGATTTCAGTGAGACCCCTCGAATGCTTTGGTTTTCTCTGGCGGATTCCAGTTTCCTCCAGAACTACAAAACTCTAATTTATTAAAGTGACCAAACATCCCAAAGTAATTGTCTCCAGAAAAGGTTTGACACTCAATGAGTTGGATAAGTGAATTCATATTTACATAAATCATGTATACAAACCAGAGCCAATCAAAAGTGAGTGATTATAAAGTATGGCTGTCCTGAAAGTCATCTTCATTAAGGGAGCCAAACAAACTTCCACACCACCTCTGATGACTTCCCTTTTTGTATAACCTTGGCTATACACTTTGCAGCTCTGTGCATCCCAGCTACGCAAGGGCATGGTTAAGGACCTTGCTCAGACTGACCTCCACTAGGCCAGTATCCGCAGAGCATCATCCTTCTTACCAGAATGCCAGATTGGAATAAAGGTTTAATGAGTCCAATTCAATGTACTGGCAATGTATTTCAATGGTGATACTGTCTGCCTAAAATCATCCTGATTTGCCATTGTGGCAAGCTGGTATCAGCAATGCTTAGCTAAGTATAAACAATGCTTTGCTAAGCCAGCTTTGCAATAGAAATCCATTCTATTGCACACACCTTCTGTAGCAGAAAATGTGTTAAAATCCTTTTCAAATAAATTGATAATTTAATACATGCATCACGGAAATGAACTATCACTAACCCTGCCCTATTCATCCAGGGTGGATTCGTGAGGAATCAAATATTGTGGGATTCGTGCAGGAATTTCTCCACTTCAGTGATGAATATTCGCTTTCCCACACTCGTGCTCCCCGGGCTCTCACTGGGCGGGCGGTCTCCGAAGAACTCGCTGTCATGCACAGAGACGAGGAAATGTCCGAAGAGGGAGCAAAAGAGGTAGCAGACAGGCACGATCCGAGCCGAGTCGAGTGGTTGCAGCGGCGAGCCCCGTGAGATCATCTGCAGCAGGCTCACCTGCGACCTGCAACAACAAGAACACCCCACGACCATCATGCACCTCACATATTGGGATCTGTTCCCTAGCTGTGATGGCGATAAAAGGTGATGACAGCCAATCGCACCGAGGCATCTGCATCATGAGACCTGATGCATTACGCCACAACATGTTGTATGGCATCTCCTAAGAGGCATGATGTCTAGTGACTTCCAAAAACCCCTGTGACAAAGATGCAGCAACATCACTAATCTTATGCAGTGACTTGAAATCCCTCGGAGTTTATCACATCAGTTGAGTCACAAATAATCTGTGGCATTTCTTGATTTTAACAAAGAGCCTGTGACATTAACAATTATCTATAACATCACACAGAACAATGCACAATTCTTTGAAGTAGGTTAAAGTTAAATATGCAAAACTAACCTTACGGATATGGGAACATGAATGCTCCGCACTTCAAATTTGCACGGTTGGCTACATAAGGTGTGAAAGAAGTTAAACATAAATACATACAATGCTACATGCTATAACCCTAAACTGTGCTATACCATATGCTTTGTCTCGTCAATGCTGAAGTTCAAGCACGACACCAGGTTTTAATCTACAGCCGAGCAGACTAACAACATGCCTGGGCCAGGTTCAGAAAACACTTCCCACCCGTGTCACTGGGATTTGGTAATTACGATTATTTAAGTAAAGTGTCATTTGAATGCAATTTGACCATCTCTGCCTGACACAGCATTGCTCACCCTGTGATCATAGTGGTTGACATGGTTGTGATGAGGCTCCAGAGGTGGCGCAGGAACCTAGCGTTGAAGGCCAGGCTGTAGAGAAGTCTGCAAGCGACAGCACCAGTATATTTTTATAATGAGCAAAAGATGCTTGTTCCAGGATAAAAAAAAAAAATTACTTACAAATGAATGGTCCAATTTAAAATCCAGGCTAATGGTCAATTCAGCCTTGTCTGCCTTTAGGGTGGATAAAAATCTGTATTATTACATGAGAAATCAACAGAATTCGTCTTATGAAGAGACTGGCTATCACCATGAAAAAATGGAATTTCACCCCGTGACTCAATGTCACCAATGGAGGTGAGTGCTATCCCAATGACCATTACAGCAGCCAGACAACTTGACTTTAACACTACTTTGCATGAACCAGACACATACTGTGTATTATCCAATGCTCAAGCATGGTGTGTATGTGTGGATGCTATTGTACAAGTGAACACAGTAAGTGCATAGACCAAAAAGTGTGTATCATGTGTCGAACAGTGTGCTTATATTATCCATGAATCGTACAATGTGTGCATATTTGTGCTAGTGTAGGATAAGACACAGTATGTGTATTATGCTAAGATTAGTACACGTTTTCCACATGGATCAGGGTGCATGTGGATATATTACCTATGCTTAGAGTGTGTGTATAATCACACATAGATCGGTGTGTGTGTATTATGCATGAATCGCAGTGTCTACGAGTATTTTCGCATGGAAAAGCCAGCGCCACACCTTGTCTTGGGCACGACGACGCGCTGCTGCACCATGAGGGCATGGCACAGCGAGGCCATGATGGTGAGCACCTCCTCGCTGGCCGAGTCACGCCACACGGCACCCAGCAGAGCGGTCGTCTGTGGCCTCCCGTCCAGCATTCGTAGGCACTCCTCCCGTACCATGTACAGCGACACCTGCCCCTCACCCTGGCAGCACGGAGACAGACATCTGTGAAAAAGAACTTCATAGCGGATAGAATTTTTAAAGCTTAAATAAAGATTCTGATTCTGAGACGCTGCATTTACACCACCGCTTAACATTTGAGCCCAGCCCTTCTTAGGCGAGCGTTGAAACAACCAGGCACAGTAAGCGGAGCCGCCTGTCCCAATGGTCAGTTGCCCATGATCTCAGCTCCTCGCTCCTCATTCTCCCTATACTCCCTCTCCCTTCTCCACATGCCTGTCCCTTTCCGCCACCTTCGTACAATAAAGCAACAAAGTTGAAGGTTTATTTCCAGGCCAATATTCTCCTGTTGCGATATATCAACTAAGTCAAACTCTGGATTGGTTTTGACTCCTTTGGATCTCATTTGCAGCTTGTCAGCTTTAAATGTTGGTTTATTTCAGTTATGAAACAGATGCCTTGTGCTTTATTCATTATCTGCAAAGACAGTGGAGAATTATATTCGTACAATTTTTATGCACTCCGTAGAATGTGATTTACCAGACAAATGAGTGTGGTGTAGTGTATAAACATCGGCATTGGAGAAAGCCAGCTGGGTGTGGTACTCGCCACACTACCTTGCGAGGAGTTGGTGTTAAGAGCTGCTCGCAAACAACACTCGCTGTATACAGCTTCTTACCTGCGTGACAGCCATGCCATCTCTGTTATCATCTTGCTCCTCCTCCGAGTCACTCCCCTCGGCCGGGCTGCGACCGATTGATACAGACGCTGGTAAACAGGGCAGTAATCCCTGCAGCACGCGCAGGTAGAGCAGCATTCCAACCTCCGAGAGGCCCCCTGCATCCCATCAAGAGCAAGCACGCATGTAGAGACAAACATCTATATCTTCTTCTTACCTATAAACGTAAAAAATTGTCTGTTTGTGGCTTTGAGTGTGTATTCGCGCACTTGCGAAGGATTTGGCTATCCAATAGTGGAGTTTACGTTAAATAAAAATATCCAGGTACCACGCCGTAAGCCCCGCCGTGAGCAAGCGCTATTCCTTTTTCACATCCATCAACTTTTAATAAATTTAATTAGCGATTTAGTGCGATTTTTTTGCGCTAGCTCTTTATTTATTTATGACTCGTACCAACTCACGCGCCTTTGGTGGCGGGGGACGGCCCATGCCAAGTCGCACGCCTTCGGTGGGAGTGAGGGGGACATTTTCTTTCAAGTTCAAAATGCTTTAAAAATACACTAAACGCTGAGCTTAAATCTTCACTGTGTGATGTCCCCCCCACCCCGATGCGTGCAGTTACTAATATATACAGTCGCTAGATGCTACCACTATAGGCCGTAGATATTACTGCAGAGTGGCCGGGGAGATCGTGGCCGGGGGGGGGTCACGGGTAATCTAGGAGAGGCCGGAGGCTCTGCACGGGACTAGGCCTCACCACGCCACTCTGTCAGGCGAGTACTTTGTGCTATAGAGTTGATAAATACTGCTATAAAGTCAGCATGTACTACTGTAGTGATATCAGGTGCCACCAGTCGGTATGCACTGCTGTAATCATAGCAGGTACCACCACAGTCAGTACGCACTGCTGTTAGATTTTTAAGAGTAGTTTTGAAATATGTTTTGGCCCGGGCAACGCCGGGTATGTAAGCTAGTATATACATATAACACATGCAGAGGTAAAGGGACGTAAATGTATGTGCACACAAGATGTTGGGAAAGACCTCACTCAAATGGATGCTATGTGTTGTTGCCAATGCCATGGGAGATAGGTGGAGGTTTAAAGCAAAGATACCCATTTGATCAAATCTCCATACTACCAAGTGTGTGCGTATGTATTGGCCAAACTCACTGATGTTTGTTGAGTAATGGACAACCCTGTATAACACGTGCATCTATCCTACTTTTTTTTGCATTAAATCACTCCTACAGAATACAATACATTACATATTGCATCGACACTTCAGGTGACATTCCGAGCGAATCACCTGTTAATTTGCCCCTTATCACCCACTAATCATCACCCCATGCGGCCGGAGCTCAACGCTCACCCAAGTGCCTCTGCCCCAAGGTCAGCACAGCATGCAGCAGCCAAGGGGAGCCTGCCACAGACAACACTGTCTCCTCTGACGAGGGCTCCGTGGCACAGCCCCGCCTGCAAGGCCTCTCCATCTGTGTAGCATTGGTGGCTTGGGGTCCATCCGCCGAAGGATGAACTCCACTGAAAGCGGGAAGGCCTGGCTCAGCCTGCAGGGACTCCAGCAGCGGCATGAAGGGGAACTTGGAGCGAGCGTCGGCGAGCGCCGGAAGTAGGAAACCGTACACCTGCTCGGCGTACGGTAGAGACAATACGTCTCGTACAAACAGCCGTAGCACATGGCGCCTGTGTGGGGGCAAGGAGGCGTGAATCAGAGTGCGGTGTGTGCATGTGTATCCATGTTTGTGTACAGCACAAATTTGCAAGCATAAAACATGAGCATTAGAAAATTTAAACATGGCCGGAAACTCATGATTACCACTTTACGAGAATTAGCACGGTTTAAAATGGCTATGGGTGTTTGCTGAACTTAGAAGAAAAAACATCACTGGTGTTAAATGGTGCACCGATATATTTTTGACTTGACTTTGAAAATTTAGTCGTGGGGCTGGGCATTCAGCAGGGATGGTTCAGCCCTCTTCAAACCATCCAGCTATACAGGTCTGCAAACATCCAAATGACTCAAATAAGAACACATGCACACACCGACACACTCACACATACTCATCTATAAGCAAGCATCTTAATTGCAGCACGACCACGAAGGAAGCAGGGAGGGGGGTGGGAGAGGTCTCTCACCGAGCCAAGAGGCCTTGAGACATGTACGGCAGGGAGAGGGGAGTGACAAGGTTGTGCAGGAGGGTGGTGGCCAGCGGCAGGGTTGGGGGTGCTGGGTGTTCCACACTAGGTGGTAGACGCCGCGTCAGCAGGTGGTGCTGTGACTTGAAGTAGCCTTCACAAGACAAACAAATAAACTTTCCTTCCTTAGCTTTACACACCGTAGGGTGCAAACAGTACCCTGTATCCTTCGTGAGAATATACTAAAACCAAGATTGGACACATATCCAGCAACTTCTGTCACCCAAGCATTGGTGTGTAGACTTTACCAGATGCTATTTTAATGCACAGTTGATCTGGACATGTGCAGGTACAATTTGTAATTAAATCGTATCCATGGCCAGGACTTCAACCAAGGTTGCTGGGTCACCCATGGCAAGTACAAAGCAGTGCTCAACTCCATTAGCAGCCTTGACCCAATTATTGAAAATCCACATTCCTATGAGGAGGACCATTTTCTCCATAGGACGAGTATTGTTTACTCCCACAGGGTGGTAGTCACATTTAACGTGCGGTGAAAACAAGGTATAATGGGATCATTAGTTGAGATGATAACGTACCCTTCTGGATGAGGTAAAACATAATATGCTCCACCACGAGGTCTGGGCCGTCTGTCATTGGGCCAGAGAACACAGAGGTTGGCAGGATCTTGTGGAGGGCTACGTAGGTGTTGGGAGATGTGAACACCTCCAGCATGCGCAGAGGTACTGAGAGACCTAGACTCTCATCTGGGCTGTGCATGAGCAGGCTGTAAAAATAGGGGACAGCAAACACTTCAACAACAGCAAGACATTGCCGGAAACAACTCATTTGATTTGACAATAGCAAAACTTTGTCAATGAGGTAAAAATTTACGAATTGGAGTGAAAAATATACAATATTCCCTCGTTTTTCACGAACGTGCTGTCTGCGATGTTGGCTATCTACGTGACTTTACCGAATTACCAAAGAGTATAACTTCTCGAAGCTGTAGAAGTCTCTGCAGATGTTGCGTGTATGATATTCGTAGACCAATATCAATAACTGTGGAATATGCTATTCACGAACATCTCTGGAACGTATCCCTCACGAATAACGAGGGAATGCTGTTATTCAAAAATGTATTTTATTGTGCCGTTGTTGGTGAATGGAATGAGACCATCAACTCAATACATTAAAAACTTGATTTAATCATATTTTCACCCTTTTGTCAATTAATCTCTAGCTGAAGGCCTTGCCACACAATGTGGGTCATGGGAATCATTTGACTTAAGCTTCAACTTGATAGCCCACCTGGGTTGGCAAAGGTGGGACCCAGAAGCAGGTCTGATTTCACTTACCACTGATATTATCAATGGCTTGAAATCAAGGTCAGAATGCTGCAGTCATAACACAGATTGATTACCACTCTACCATCGCTCCACTGAAATCTAATTAGACATTAAATCTCAGCGGTGCTGGTTTCAGTATTTCACACAGTCATTATTACGCCGTTGCCTCTAATGCATCAGTATTATGTTCAAGTGAATCTCCCCATGCAATTAAACAAGCATGATGACCCCTATGTGCATACTTACTTGCAACAGAGCCTCAGCAGTCGCTGTAGTTGGAAGAGGCACTGCTGCCCCCGTCCCTCAGCAAGAGGCTGCAGGTAGAGCACCTGTTGTCTCAAAAGGGTCTGGCAGAGCCACACCTGTGAGAAAAGTCAGCCCCACACATACACAGACAATTAAATTTGGATTACACACCACAGAAGCAAGTGTCGTCTGCTAACACATTTTAGGACCAGGTGAAGATAAGGTTCTGTATAAAAGCTTACACTGACAAATATAGAATTATATTGTTTACAATTAGAAGTTGAATTCTCAGTTGGGGATACACGCAGCCCATCAACCCTATGGTGTTAATAAAACGAGTACCATTTTGTGGGAAGTCAATAGTGCTAATCCAATGGAGAGATGGTCCAACGATAAAAATGTGGAATTTTCACCACTGGCTCATGATTGAATTGGAAACGAGTATCATCCCATTCATCATTAATCAGACAAAAAAATCCATATATTAATCAACATCTGATACATTATTGTAAAAAGTAGGATTCAGGTCCGCACTAGTCTGGTGGTGTCGCAGCGGTGGTCGTAGAAGAAGAGAAGCCTCTGTGTGAGAGCCACCAGCTTGGCTGCATCGCCCAACACGGTCTCATCGCCTCCCCTCTGGGCGTGCGACACCAACGTGTCGAACTCCAGCCTTTGCTTTTCATGCTACAAGGGCACATTTGAGGAAGGCGCACAGACGCATGACAACGCTCGTGAAAATTATCCCTGTTTAAAGGCGAATATTAAAGTGTATAAAGCTGCTGCAGTTTCTTTATTGTGCAAATTCCAAATTTATCTAGGGGCAATTCCTAATCAGAGGTAGCTACAGTAATTGGTTAACCCCACAATGGAATACTGTTCACGCAACTGGGGTGGTATGGCAAAGTCAACACCAGAACTTCTTGACAATGGAATACAATAAAAAATGTATCCACATTTGCCTCTACATCACATTGATGTTATCTTTCCACTCTTTGTCCATCCTGCAAGTACTCACATGAAGTCTCACACCTGATTATATTAGATTATATTAGTCTAAAAGCCACTCGTGTTACTAACCTAACTTCATCTCAATATGCAAACTGACTTAAATAATGCTTCTAAACAAAGAGCTTTGTCGTCTCCTTCATAGAACGATATTGCAAAACTCTTTAACTCGTAACCCTTCTCTGTCATCCCAAAAAGCAATTTCACGCATATAAGAGAATTGGGGAATGAGCAGCCTACCTGCTTGCCACGTTCCAAGCATCCACGCACAAAGGACTGTATGACAACAGCGTTCTTCTGTCGCCTGCGTTCCTCCTGTAATGCAAAGTCATGTTCAGCCCAACGTAAACAAGACAGTTAGAAACCACTCATTTATATGTACCGGATTATATTAGTCTAAAAAAAATATTATCTCCTTACACATGCATCCAGAACTCAATTTAAGCTATACAATATGTATCATATGGTTCTTTCAGTAAAGTCACATAGATATAAAAAATTATAATAAAATAATAAAAATGAAAATAAAGTGAATAAAAAATAATCTTATTTTTTTATTCACTTAATTTTTCTAAGTGAATATGAATTACTGCAGTCACGAAAGTTTTAAGTCAAAATCTATACAATATGGTAATGTATTTTATTGGTCATTGGGTTATATTTACAATATTCTAATAATATAAACTAGTTCATGGTTGGTGTATGTGCAGTTCAAAAAATATATTTATTTGCATTATCCAACAAGGTGGCATTTTGGTAACGTGTCAGACGCACAATCAAAATACTGAGATTTTTTTTTACTTAAAACCTTAGTTGGGGTAAACTTGGAAAATCATCGCTTTGGGATGAATAATATTTGTACCACTTTGCAGGAAATCCACTGTCTTTGTCATAGACTTGTACCCGTCATAAGATGGATTTTCCTCCACTGTTTCAGGACAATTAAGTGTTATTCGCATGACCCCATACTTATTTTAGCAGCAAGATACTGACTTTAATTTATGCATAAAGCTGGGTATCTGAGGCTGCATCATTTCTGAAACATTCCATAAATGTAATATTGAATGTCAATGAACTTAAGCACGATTTAGTTGTTGAATGACAAATACTCAGTATTGGCAAAAGGTCGCAAATTATTTCAATAAACATTTAGACACTTTATACATCACTAGGCTAGCATCTTTAAAAAGACAAATGAAACACATTCTTCTGAAGGTGGGCTCGTTTTGTAATATTTCAATCTTTTTTCCATAAAATGCCCCCAGATCACCTCATTCATTCACCGTGTTCCTACCCCAACTTAGGATGAAGCAAATAAGTAACATAATTAATATAATATATTTATGATAAACATGGTCTGAATACATACATTTGTTTCAGCTGATGTGGATAAAGTCTCATCAGCTGTAGGTTGTGCTTGTGTGAGACATTTGTGCACGATGACAACCGAAAAAAAAGCCTCAAACCTCTCTCTTCCGCCGCTCCTCCAGTGTTCGATTCAGCAACGATGATTTCTCCTCCTGCCAGCACAACCATAAGACTTAATTATCGCTTAAGCTTATCTTAATCTTATCACTAATACCATTCCATCTGTGAAAATTAAAATTAAATTAAAGGATAATTAAGTTATAAGGCGAAGGAATATTAATGTTATGTTTTATCCAGGTAAGCCTCAGTCAGTCTCAAGACTTTCAGAAGATCCTGCAATGGGACGTTTGGACACATTCTTTATGGAGTTATTTCGCATAAAAGTAAACCGAAATAACCAGAGAAAATCCAAGAATATGAAGGGATAACACGCAAAAGATATACAGACTGGTTCACAATACATTAACTGTGCCTGCTATTATTTACTGGCCACCTCGCAGTCCAGCCAGTATCACATCTGCATGATCCATCAACCCTTGCCCCCGAAGCAATCGATCAGTTAGCACAGCATCACATCAAGTTATAAACGATCCTTACAAGGAGACACCAGAAACCAAATCTCAAGTCACTTTATCAGGCATTGTGATGGAAAATAATTACAGATTTGTGTTTTGTCCAAAGGGTTTTTTCCGCATGTGATTAGAAATATTTGTATATTACCCCCTAGTGCAACTTTATGTACAATTAGGTATAAAAAACATTTTCTGATGGATTTTTAATGTCATCAATGATTGAACTGATACCTTCAATTCATGATTCATTACAATCTAGTTTAATGAAAGGTAGTCCTATAATAGGGCCCAAGCTCTAAGTCGTGCCAGTTCATTGCTCCGAAACAGCCATTATATGCTAGAAACAAGGAACTCAGCAGTACCAACTCATTGTTTCTGTCACCGAGGTGTGAAAAGCACCTAACCTCAGCAGTGACACGATCAAATAACTATGCAGATTTTCAGCAGTGACATGACCAAATTTGGCACCGTGAGACGTAACCCAGCCATCAGAAGTGCTGGTCTATTGGTCAAACACAATTATGATCAGCAATCTGTAAAACATCCAGCCCCCAGTTTAGAAAACAGCATCTCAGCAGTAGAATCTCATTGCATTGACAGGAAAATTAGCACCATGATAGCCATCAAGGAATCTTTTAGATATGCCTCTGCTTATCGCTGCAAGGTAACAACACAGTGTGGTATTGAATTCTAAAAGTTTTTGATACCGATTCATTTATGCAACTCGGAAAGTCTCATCATGTGCCAAGGCTCATTTTCAGGATCCTCCCTGGTATGTTTTGCCAAAGCTTATTTTATAGTTTTTTTGGAGAAGAAAACTCACAAACCCACTGGTGTTCGACCACCCACACAGACAAATAAGACGTGTTCTCAACATAATCCACCAACCCTCCAAATAATGATCTTCATTCCCAGTGTGTGCGACTGCATTCCACTTGTAAAATGAGACTTGTGTACTGTTCTTAATTTCTGTCTCTGACCACAAGGCACACAAAACATTTTCCTGCACAGGTGCCACACGTACCCGCCGGCTTGCCCCACCAAGGGACACCGTGGGCTTGGTGCGGAAGTCTCCCTCAAAGCTGAACATTGCGCTTGTCTTCTGGGTCCCTCTGTGCTGCAAGAGCAAAGCAATTCAAATGCATTAAAACTAATCCACGACTTCACTTCATACACGCAGATATATTTATGAACAGGCATGTACCGATTCACAACCATCGCACTCTGATTCGATAGATGTAAAAATTAGTGTAATTTTTTTCAGTACAAGAATAATCCTTTATCTCATTTGTAGCATGTCTCTCACTTTTTGTTTTACCTGTAACAATATTTTGTTCCATTAATGTAAAGGCAACATTTGTACATACTGTATACGAATTGTAAATACCCAATTCTTACAGTGTAATCCGATGCATGTATCATGAGCAGGGGTCGGCAACCTTTCAAAGAGCCATTTTCTTGTTTTTGCCTTTGACCAAAATAGTTTTAGAGCCGCATCACACACAGAGCAACTTGTACACAAACACAGCAGGTATACAGCAGATTAAAAACACATTCTGACTTAAATAAAGAAAATAAGTGATTAAATAAGGTCTATTTAGTTCCCCCCCCCCCCCCGCCCCACTTAGTTATTCTTTAACAATACAATTTAACCATACATTTTGTTGTCACCAAGACATTCCATCATGACCCATTCCCTGTAATATTTTATAAATTGCTTATTAAATTAGGTTTCAGAGAATTGAAAAAACAGGTGCTCGCAAGGGGGAAACCAAAGAGCCGCAAGGGGAAAGCAGCCACATGCGGCTCCGGACCTGTGGGTTGCCGACCCCTGATCATGAGCAGACACAAATTATTTTAATCAATACATCATTACATTCTTAGTTATTGTCACACAAATAAATGTATTAAAATATGCAAGATATGTAACTGTCATGTGTAAGATGTCACACAATCGTCTAGGAAGATGTGTATGTGTAAGGTGTCATGTACAAAATATTATGTAATTCACCATTATGCATAATGGACAAGGTATCAATTATCTGACAAAGTGGTACTGTAGTTAAAAACTCGAATCAACAGTTAAACTTAAGACAAAAGGAACATTTTGAGCTTCAGCACTAATTAAATACCACTTTTGGAAGTCAACAGCATGTTGTATGAGACAGGTTTCGAGAAGTGCTGAAGCTCTAAATGGTCCTTTTGTCTTGAGTTAAACTTGTCACTTCATAATAGATTCTTCATGAAAGCGTGTTATTATAAATCGTAATGTTGATGACAAATGATTTACGTTTCATGTTCAGACATTAACATTTTATTTAATTCACCTACATGTTAAATACAATGTAAAAAAATATATTTTGGTCATCAATTAGCAATACAATAAAATTGTGAATAAGTGTAAATTGCTGGAAAATTATACACGAAAACAAAAGTTATTTTCAGTTACGATCTATAATATATTACCAACATTAATAAAGCAAGATGGATAAAGTGGACAATAAATGAGAAAAGCAAGCCATGTATAACTGAACAAGTTCATTAACGGACCAAATACAAACTAAAATATCACTCAAGAATACTCTAAATCTTTCAATACGTGCATATTCCCTGATATTGACATTAAGATCGGAAACATTAACTAAAATATTTAAGTGTGGAGTGATGCAAGCTAGGAAATACACGGAGACAGTAACAAGGCTTACATGGATAAAATAAAAAATACGAGTGTTGCTTGTTAAGTTAAATGGGCTAGGGCGCGACATGTTGAACTTATTTCGCACCATACATCGTTAGGAGGCATGGCTGATGAACAGACAGGTGAGTTAATGGTGGCAAAGACGTCTGAAAGGAAGACCACCGTGGAGATGGAGCAATGATATCAGTTCATGCACAGGTGATGGAAGGAGGCATCGCATGACTGAGGATGGCGATGATGAGAAAAGGCCTTTCTTCCAGCAGTGAAAGAAACTAAACTTAAGATGATTGATTCATATTGAGAGACAAAGGCCCTGCATGGGAATGTGTAATTTTCACATGGGTCAGGACCGCCAATGGAAATAAGCACCCTCCCATGCTTTAGCAGAGTAACTCAATTTTATGTAATACCAAGCACAAAATGTGTTAATGCAAGGTATCAAAATAACAAGGTATACAGTGACATGGAACAAAATATGAAGCTCAAAGTGTCAGCCGCTTGTCTTTTACTCGGCATGATGTACAATGAGGTACTCTATGCGATTCTCTGATCAAAGACCATCCATTCGACATTGCAAATCTCAGATCTCAAAACCAAGATTCATGAATCCACGGCAGATTCTGGATTAACCCCAAAAACTATTCTGAGATATGTATTTGATCCATTTCCACTCTCATTCCAGACCATACCTCCTTATGCTAGACCCTTCTCCTTGATCCAAGTCTGATAGTGGAGTTGTTCACGCACTGGGCTATGAACCAGAGTTCAATTCCTGGACACTGCTGGTGGAGTGACATCTGAACCGAGGTCCACGTCCCCCCCCACCCCAGACCCCATCGTCAACTAGCAGTGACCATCGCGGTGGCGTTCGGCGGTCAAACGCAGAATGAACAAGGCCTGAAGAGGCCTTCATCCAGCAGTAATTCACAGCCTTCAGTGGATTTACTGAAGGCTATACTGTACCTTCTATTCTCATTTCATATATATGCAGTAGCATTCCCAATTCCATACACTGATCCCAAAGTCATGTAAATCATACATTTAAAATCCGCTCTCAATTTCCAAATCCTCATACACCCCTGAACCCAAATCCCAGATTCCCTAACACTGATCCCAACTGTACAACCACTAAACCCATAATATTCAACCCCTAAAGCAGGCCTCTAATCTCTCAAACTCAAGAGCCTCGTCCCAACGAAACAACCACCCAAAAAACCAGATGCTGGATCATCGCGCTCATCCATCAGAGCTCCCATTCCCTTGACCCCAAGTCCACTCATCCCGGGGATCGATCTGCGTCACGGCCACTCTCGCCACACCCCTCTTCCCCGAGGGCCCCCGTCAACAACACCTCCACCACCACCACCACCACAAACATCCCATGTGGCCCCATGTGGCCCCGTGGCCTCACCCGCCTATGGGGCCCCGAGGTCCCCGCCGCCACCACGGCGCGCGCCCAGAGCCTCCAAGCTCAGCAAGCCCGAGCACCGGAAGTGAATCCGACCTAACCGGAAGTGACCCCCCCCTCCTCCTCCAACCCCATCGACCACACGGGGAAGGGGGGAGGGTCGCAACATCCCGGATGTGCGCGTGACGTCTTGACCCCGCCCCCCCCCCTACACGACGCTCCGGAAGTAGAACCAAGCGTCGTTTCAGCTGCACTTCCCAACCGGAGCGTTGTTGCCCCGGAAGTTAAACTTTGCACACAATGGGCATGATACATTTTTTTTTTGCCGTTAACTTTCGTAACCAAATTACTAATATATATTTTTTTAAACATCAGTGATATACATTTTATCTATGCCTGTCCCGTAAGTAATTATAATCGTACGTTATCCCCACTCCGTCACGTGACGCAGGGGATTCCCCCCTCGGCCCACGTGACACTGGAACTCCTCGGGTGACGCGCTCACCCTTGCTAAGTTGACTAGCACGTGCGTGAATGCTGATTGGTTGATTATGGCTCAACGTTCTTGTACATAGTAATATTTTGCCTACTCAAGCGAGGATTATGAAAATTCCACATTCCTATGGTTGGGATAAGTCTCTATATATGATCAATTATTTATAGGCACCCTAAATTATATATTTGTTTTACCTGTTGGCCTCTTCGGCTTTCAAGACTCGTGCTATCAAGGGACATGTGCTGAAACAATTCCATGAGCCCACCGCCTGATAGATATGTATGTGGCTAGAAGAACAAAAACCTATTTGTTTTATTACCCACTAGCTGTACTACCCGGCTTCGCCCGGGACTTAGATTCACCACGCCCGGTCGCCTTTGGCTTCCCAGTGGCGATGTTCACACACCACACCAGTTAATTGTTTGAGGCTGAGTAGATCTTGGGGAGGCCCAGGACCGGTTAAAATAATCGTCACCGGTGCTGGCCGTGAGCGAGAATCGAACTCGGGTCGCCGGGTTCGTAGCGCAGCGCGCTAACCGCTGCACTACAATGCGTTACGCTTCCACATGTGCGGGTCACGTGACAGATTTGACGTCACAGCTCACTTGCCGTGCAAAAAACATATGCATTATTGAGCCCCCCTCCCCCCCCCAAAAAAGTGTATTTTTATAATTTTGTATGGTGTACAGTCTGGAAAGTAACCACATGGAAAATTTCCAGTTTGTTGCATGTCGGGAAGTACACTAAACATTTTGAACAGACACACATTCACAACTTTGCCTTTTATATATGGAGATAATGCTGCCCACAAACACTTGAGATGGGATATTACATTTGGATTAATTGGGTAGTTGTATCTTTGATTAGCCCACATGCCAATATTGCCATTGACCTTCCACTACCCGCAGAGGCGTAGCTAGGGGGGGGCAGGGGGGTACATATGTCCCCGGGCGCCAAGGTAAAGGGGCGCCAAAATGAGGCTTACAACGTGACATTATTACTTATTGCGGCGGGCGCGGCATCCTGAAACTACTGCACAAATCTACACCTCAACCTAAAAGTTGATATATCCCGCCACACACAGCCTACATGTCATGTAATTACATTTTGGTACGCGCGCCTATTAAGAACTTACATGGAAGAACGTCCCAAACAACAGACAGCCGCAGTCTTTCAGCCTTAGTCACTGGCCTGTTTTTTGGTGGCGGAAACTACGACGGCCTGAAACACGCTGGAGTGCACGATCAGAAGCTGTTAAAGCTATCTATGAAGGACTGGATGAACTAGTAGGGCTGCTAGACAAATTATCGGAGGACGTAACTATGACGCCTGAAACCAGCAGTGATGCAGAACAGTTACAGGGATGCGTATAAAATTTTAACTTCATAGTTTTATTACATTTCTGGAATGTCATTCTTGGAAAAATGTATCGTGTTCAGAAGCACTTACAGGATCCTACTATAAATTTCAAGGAAGCAGCAACTGATCTTGAATCTTTGGAGCATGAATTTGTCAAGATTCGTGATGATTTGAGCCAAGTTGCTGTAGAAAACGCCAAAACAAGATGCACAGCCTGGGGGATCGATGTGGACAGAGATTTGACGGCACATGGCCCCGTCCATCGTCCCTTTGATGCGGTGAAGTTGTCCTGTCCCCTTAGCAGAAAAACACCCCCAAAGCATAATGTTTCCACCTCCATGTTTGACGGTGGGGATGGTGTTCTTGGGGTCATAGCCAGCATTCCTCCTCCTCCAAACACGGCGAGTTGAGTTGATGCCAAAGAGCTCCATTTTGGTCTCATCTGACCACAACACGTTCACCCAGTTGTCCTCTGAATCATTCAGATGTTCATTGGCAAACTTCAGACGGGCATGTATATGTGCTTTCTTGAGCAGGGGGACCTTGCGGGCGCTGCAGGATTTCAGTCCTTAACGGCGTAGTGTGTTACCAACTGTTTTCTTGGTGACTATGGTCCCAGCTGCCTTGAGATCATTGACAAGATCCTCCCGTGTAGTTCTGGGCTGATTCCTCACCGTTCTCATGATCATTGCAACTCTACGAGGTGAGATCTTGCATGGAGCCCCAGGCCGAGGGAGATTGACAGTTAATTTGTGTTTCTTCTATTTGCGAAAAATCGCACCAACTGTTGTCACCTTCTCACCAAGCTGCTTGGCGATGGTCTTGTAGTCCATTCCAGCCTTGTGTAGGTCTAGAATATTGTCCCTGACATCCTTGGAGAGTTCTTTGGTCTTTGCCATGGTGGAGAGTTTGGAATATGATTGATTGATTGCTTCTGTGAACAGGTGTCTTTTATACAGGTAACAAGCTGAGATTAGGAGCACTCCCTTTAAGAGTCTGCTCCTAATCTCAGCTCGTTACCTGTATAAGACACCTGGGAGCCAGAAATCTTTGTGATTGAGAGGGGGTCAAATACATATTTCCCTCATTAAAATGCGAATCAATTTATAACATTTTTGACATGCGTTTTTCTGGATTTTGTTGTTGTTATTCTGCCTCTCACTATTCAAATAAACCTACCATTAAAATTATAGACTGATCATTTCTTTGTCAGTGGGCAAACGTACAAAATCAACAGGGGATCACATACTTTTTTCCCTCACTGTATTTTATCGACTTCAACAGATGTCAACACGGTTTTTACGACTAAAAGACCTGAACACAAAATTTTGATTTCTGCTGGACGTCAAAACTCTTCTATCCGACACAGATGTCGATGCAATTCGTCGAAATTGCACAGATTTTGGAAATGTCTATGATACCGACATCAATGGCCACGAACTTTTCACAGAAATTGGAGATTGCAAAATGCTGCTAAGTAACCGGAATGAAGTTCTACCAGAAACTCCTTTGGATCTTCTTGGTTTTATTGTGTTTTATGGAGACGACATATTTCCGAATTTGCGAATTTCACTGCATATTGTATTAACAATAGCAGTTTCAATTGCAAGCTGTGAGCGGTCGTTCAGCAAAATGAAACTTATTTTGTCGTATTTGCGTGCTTCAATGGGACAAGATCGTCTCAGCGATCTTGTTCTTCTTAGCGTTGAAAAAGAAACATTGGAAAAAACAGATTTTAATTACGTGATTGACCAGTTTGCGACAGTGAAATCAAGAAAAATTAATCTTTTGTAGACTGTCAACCAGTCTACGACAGTAACTGAATGAGCCATGTAATATAATTTCTATAAATTTGCTTCTTTAAATACAATGTTTCATTAACATTTTTATTGTTATTCCTTATTCGATGTATTAGTAAAATGTGATTTAACGGGGGGGGGGGGGGGGGGGGGCGCCAATTTTATAGTTAGTCCCCGGGCGCAAAATATCCTAGCTACGCCTCTGCTGGTGGCTTTGGATGATGCTTAAGGCTGAGCGTTTTTTGTACATACAGTAGCGTTTTATTTAAAATATAATTTTCCAGCCTGCACAATTTTTCTGTTGTGATGCTTTTATTCGTCATTTGAATCTGATGTAAGCTGCAGGTTGTGCAACTGCTTGCAACTGGTTGCAGAGATGTCCACAACAATTCAGTCACGTGCAACCAAGTTGCCCAACTGATTTTTTAGGTGTCAACTCAACTTACAGTTTTTTGTTGTGTTCTTGTCACCTACATAGTGTAATACCCGATCACAGTAGGTCCTTTTTCTAACGAGTGTGGGATCATGGAGTAGGCCAGTGTCTATGGTGGGGGGGGGGGGGGCATGGTGGCGATATATTAACTCCCTCGCCTGGTATGCAGGAATTCATGGGTTCGATCCCGACCCTGACGCCTGTATATTTGGAGTTTGCATGTTCTCCCCGTGGTTGTGTAGATTTTTATCCGGGTGCTCCGGTTTTTGCCTCCACATTTATAAGCATGCGTTTCAAGTATTTTGGCTGCAATAAAGTAATGTCCACATCAGCCGATTAGTTGAGCTGTCATTTGAGGCCAGATCGCTTCTGAAAAAGAGCTACATCGTGGGGCTTACCTGGTAAAATAAAAATAAAACATTTAGTTTGAAAATATATAGATAGTTTAGTTCATGGAGTGGAGGGAGTGGGTTGGAATGTAGGGATTGCGAATATTGTAAAGGAAGAGGGGGACGGGGGGGCAAGGCTGTGGGTGGATTTGTACTCGAGGACACACTCATGAATCAAAATCCAGTAAAATGAGGTCAGGACTCGGGTGATGGGGGAATGGGATTCAACAACCCTGAGCCCGAATGCTGGACTAAACGAGTGAATGCTGCACTGTATGTACATGCCCAAATTACGATGGTTACTCATGATCAGTAATCATACTACAATTACTGATGAGAGATATTTGGTATAGCATTTTCAAAACAAGGTAACATGATGAATTATTTTTACAATCACTGTACTTTGCTCAAATTAATGCAGCTTAGGTTTATGCAACTTCGAATTTAACAGCCTATTGGTGCCCCTACATTAACCCTTGCTGTAATCTATTTTAGAATTATATCAGATGTATTGTCTCAAATGAAAGTAATAATTAACAATGCGATTTGATGATGAAGAAATGCTCAAATTTATTTTTGCATGATCCTGCTTTGGAAGACCTGACCAATACCTTTCAAGGGGCGTTTTCTGTAAAATACAATCAACCGATACATGATCATTAACAGTAATTTCATTACACAGAGTGAACAGCGTAATACCACAAGTATGCCAGCACCTGCTTTTAGTAATCTTATTACTCCAGTGGGAGTACTATTACAGGAAACGTGTTACTGCCCACAATTTGTGTGCATCAGTGCCTGCCTGCAATCACGCACCATTCTGTTTTGATGGCCAAATAAGCAGTTTCGCCATTGGAATCATAAGGCACTTGTTAACCGTTATTAGGGCCGATTGTACAGCACATTACTAAAATTAATCCCATGAAGGTTGGCATTCACATAAATCGGCGTGGTGCGGTCGGAGGTGTTTAATTCCTAAATTAAGTGGCGCTTATTTGTAAGGCAGAGCTTAAACGAATGGTCACGTCTCACGGGAGACGTATGTCCCCTAATTGAATTAAACAATTTATCTGCGTAATAGAGGGGGCAGCGGCGTTGAGAGGCTATTGCAGATGGGTGGGAAGCCAGGAGGGGAGGTATTGCATTGGATAGCACCCTTGGGACCCACAGTCAGTCATGCACTGACCACTTATATCATTGGGAGATTGTGTTGGTATAATGACCACCAGCTTGTAGCCTGCATGGAGCTTTGGAATTGACCACACGATTGTGAGTTCAATCCTGGCCAGGGTTGACTTAACCTTATATCAATAATCATTATCAACTGAGCCTAATTGATGTGAACTGATGAGGTTGTACTTTTGCAAAAGCAACATGACAGTTGTCCAAATAAACTAACCCCTCCTACGAACATGGAATTTGCATCACTGGTTTCTGACTCTAAAGTATTCTTGAATCATCTGTGCAGTGCTTTAAGTATTATCCGCTCGTATTTGTGGATTTTCTCCAGATCCTCTGGCTTCCTTTTACATGCCAATCATTTATTTAATTTGCCAAACATCCCAGTACAGGACCCTCCTGAAAAGAGCAGTCTGAATCAGTGAGGCTTTCCTTGATTAAAAGAGGCATTATTATCATACATGACACTTGAGACTATATGTGTTACGTTTTACAATATTATTAATATAATTAACTAATTTAGAGTGAAATTCAGTGCAGCTCTTAAACTGGGAACTGTTTAAGCCATTAATTTGTTAACGTGACATTGTTTTTGTATAAAAACGTAGACAACCCTTTAGAGTGAATTGAACTAGATCCTACACAATGCAACCATTACATGCCAACTGACATGGATTTGCGATTTACGTGCTGTAAATTGTATTTTATTACTAGCATCAACCTTTGATAATCTGTAATTTGTTACTCAACACTTTGAGAAGTATGCTAGCCCTGCATAGAACATCATTTTCTGAGTATTCTACATGTGGGAGGTAGCCAAAGTGCTCTGATAATGTCCACATATTCAAAGGGGATAATACTCAAAATGCAAACAGACCCATTTTGTGGACTACCATCTGGCGACCCTCACAGGACAGCATGTTAGTAGTATCACACGTGACAATATTTCAGCGTTCCACAAACCTCACCTCGAAAGCGCTGGATTACAGATGAGCACTGAAAACAGAAAGGGAACGTGGGCTAAGTGAAGTTGCGATAAATTCAAATGGCAGAGGTGAGCATTTGGGGGGTGGAACGCACGAGACAACAATGCACGAGCCCTTTCCTGAATCAACTAACTTCCAAAGACCAAAACCATAGCCAACTTGCCAATCAGTCAATAGTTTTACTCCTCCCATCGATGATAACTCTAACTAGCAACACACTACCACTCCCATTTACGATAACCAACTAGCTAATCGGCCAATAGCACTAGCACCCCCACTAACAAAACCCCTATCACCAAGCACACATTTATCACTTCGTCTTTTCAGGGTTTGTGTGAATAGCGCCACCATGTCTGCTTATAATAAGCAGGTTTATTTTTCCATATAGCAGTTTTCACTCCAGTGGCAGATGTAATAGCTCATTATCACAAATGAATCCCGAGGCATACAACTAAAATAAACTGTTGACACGTATTTGCTAAAACAATCATTGGGCATAAGCCTATGGTAAATATCCCACTTATCATTGGGACAAGTTCATGAATAAAATAAAAACCACCACGGTGGACTTCCCACGAAGTAATACCTATTTAATCAATATCAGGTGGATGAAGTACTGAGTCGATTCCCAACATCCACTGGTTTTATGGTCCCAAATGTATTTATTTTTTGGGCTTTTACCTTACTACGGTGAAAGATAACCACTGAGTCAGCCCATCTCACCGGCTACATGGTATACCTTCATATTGATCATAGTGATTTACAGCACTCGGTATATTTACTGCCAATATCATCTATTATTTTGTCTACCTACGTGACTTTACCGAAAGAACCAAAGAGTATGTATTCCTGCAGTCACAAAAGCTTCAAATCTAGACTTATATTATCATTCGCCACGGGTAACTTATTACTCGCCATTGATGTTAGCCGTGGCCAGGAATCGAAAACAAGTTTTTCATCGTGCCGTGTGCTAATCACTGTGCCACCGCCCCACTCATGCTTGTGATTGCCAGATAAAATATGCAAATGTGTCCTCTTGGCACTCCCCCCACAAATGGAACACCCACCCTGCTCTCAGCTTCCCCCTTCCAGCCTTACTCTCCCTTGATGGAGCACCTGCTTGCCACTTGACATCCACTACGGCTATCGTCCACAACCCACGCTCACCTCCTTGGTACAGACGGAATTTCCGACCGTGTCTCACACTAAACGGACGATCAAGTAGATCTGCTGTGTACTGGATAAGGACGTGTGTGCAAGTGGCCAGCGGGTGGCAGGTGAGTTCAGCATCGGAAAAGAATGATGTGAGGGATACTTTGGATTGAGAGATACACAGCACAGACAAGTTGATATGTAGTCAGTATAGTGGAGATAATTTAGATGCAACAAGAATGAGCGAGCATTATTCGAGTCTGAAGACATGAATGCATCGTGGTCTGTAGGAACAGCAATTACTTTGCAGAGGAAGAATATAAAATAAACTTGAGATAAATATTTGTATCGTGAAAAGGTGAAAACATCTCCAACTTACAAGTCGATGCAGCACGAGGACTAACACCTACAATGCAGTATAGCATATATTAAGAATATCGTTTTAAGGTACATCGAGTGGAGGCTTTTGGGTGCAAATTATATTACATTTGAGATAAACATGGCCTTTTTAGCATTCATATGCGTAAACTATTGGGGCACGGGCAGTTAGAAAGCACTTATTAAGGCTACCCAAAGAAAAATACTGATTTTTGTTTGATATCCATCACCATCGACTGATCGAATAAGTGCAGGTTTCAACCACGAATAAGTCCGCAAGAAAAAAAGCATTTTGCACTTACCCTGCATCGACTACTCGAACAAGTGCAATTAGCGAGCACCTATTAAGGCTGTACTCACGCGTTGGCTGCAAGTCCCATCTCAGATGGCCAAGTCGCAGGGATTCCGGATCGAAGCTCTCCTCGCCTCCCCGCCCTCCTCCTCCCGGCGCGGGTCTGCCCCGACGCCCTGCCTGAGCCCCGTGCCGCCCTGCCGCTCCCCCTGCAGCCCGTGCGTGGCTCAGGAACCCTGTGGGACAGTGTATCTTCAGCCCTGCAGCACTTACAGCAGCCAGCACCATGGACAGCACCTCCAGCATCATATCCACCATCAGCAGCAGCAGCAGCATCATGGGATGATGCCCAGGGACACGGGACACCTGCACCAGTCCATGCACTGCGAGCACACGCAGCAGCAGCAGCAGCACGTCCTGCAAGAGCAGCGAACGCTGCCACCGCTCGGTCACAGCTTTGCGAGCGGGGAGGCCGCCTACGCGTGCCGGGCGGCTGGGCCACACCACCTCGTGCACGTGCAGCACAGGGCGGGCCTGGGGGTCGCGTTCCCGGGGCCCGAGGCGAGAGCGCGGGGTGGCCCCAGCGGCTCGGTGTTCCTGGAGGCTTGGCTGCGCGCCTCCGGCACCGCTCTGCTGCTGCCTCCTCTGCCACCCCAGTACCACGGTAATCGGGCGCTCCTCCTCGCACGACGGAGGTCCTGTCACATTGCTGGGAATTGTTGCATGCTGGGTAGATGTATAGTTTAATAGCCTTTGCTTGCAAGGGAAGAAGACCTGGGGTGGTAGACACCGCGTGCAATACTTTGAGTTACTGTAGGTACTCTACTGCCATCATCATTGACAAAAGCTGCCACTGGAACGTGGAATTTCCATCGCTGGTTGAGAGCCGCCAATCGGAACTGGGGCAGTTACACGCTTGTTTGATCTTGGATACACTTTTGTTCTCTTGCCTGTGCCATTGGGCTTCTTCAGTAGAGAGAAAGCAGAATATTGTGACTGGATACTGTCACAACATGCACAGCCCAGCTCCCAACCATTCGGTGACTTTGCATGATTGGGGATTCAGTTTGGTTCAATGATCGACCATATTTTGGTCTCGTTTTTACACGGGTTGTTAAACGTTGAACCCGGTAACCGTTTTCATAAGCGCTAAGCAATTCCAGTTTAATGTTGGTATTGGACTGTAATGCATGCACTAAGTGACACACTTGAACATACAAACCGCACAGCGGTCTAAGTCACCGCGCGGTACATTTTTCCACGTTAATCAGTTAAAACATGGAAGTGTGCAGCCCTGCAATCGCTTGCTCACGCTGATGCCGGCGCACGGACCTCAGCTAGAGGGAGCTATAAAGGGTACTCGCGGGAAGTACCCTGCGTTGCCCGGGCGAAAAATATATTTCAAAACTTCTCTTAAAAACCGTACATATACATACACAGATACGAATCAATTGTGAAAGCCCGGTGGGCCGTTTGTTCATTTCTCCACCAACAAAATTATAAGAGGCTTGCAGAAGTCCAAAAAGTTATAGAAAGTGGAGGGTAAATAGTTGATCTAAAAGGTTTGCGAAAATATATTTACATATATTTACCCCCGCGTAAGTATATATACTTACACACCCTACATACAACAGAGTAAGTATGTATTGACTCTGTAGTTGTATCTACTGACTGTACAGTAGTATCTACTGAGCCAGTAGTAGCTACTGACTGTATAGTAGTATTTACTGACTGTAGCAACTACTGACCGTAGTAGTATCTACTGGCCCTACAGTACTATGTACTGACTATAGTAGTAACTACTGACCGTAGTAGTATATACTGACCTTACAATAGTATCTACCGACTCTATAGTAGAAACTACTAATCTATAGTGGTATCTACTGACTCTATAGTAGTATCCACTGACTATAGTAGTAACTACTAACTCTATAGCAGTATCTACCGACTCTATAGTAGTATCTACTGACTCTATAGCAGTAGCTCCTGACCGTAGTAGTATCTACTGACTGTAGCAGTATTTACTGAGCATGGCGGTTTCTACTGTTTTAGTATCTACTAACTCTATAGTAGTATCTACCAACTCGATAGCAGTATCTACTATCACTACAGCAGTGCATACCGACTGTGGTGGTTCCTGCTACAACTACAGCAGTGCATACCGACTTTGGTGGTGCCTGCTTTCACTACAGCAGTTCATACCGACTGTGGTGGTACCTGCTATCACCGCAGCTGTGCATACCGACTGTGGTGAAACCTGCTTTAACTACAGCAGTGCATACTGACTGGTGGTACCTGCTTTCACCACATGAGTGCATACTGTGGTGGTACCAGCTATGATAACAGCTGTGTCTACTGACTGTGGTGGTACCTGCTATGACAACAGCAGTGCATACTGTGGTGGTAACTTCTATGATTACAGCAGTGCATACTGTGGTGGTACCTGCTTTCACTACATGAGTGCATACTGACTGTGATGGTCCCTGCTATGATTACAGCAGTGCATACTGACTGTGATGGTCCCCGCTATGATTACAGCAGTGTATACTGACTGTGGTGGTACCTGCTATTACAACAGTGCATACTGACTGTGATGGTCCCTACTATTACAACAGTGCATACTGACTGTTATGGTCCCTGCTATGATTACAGCAGTGAATACTGACTGTGGTGGTACCTTCTATGATTACAGCAGTGCATACTGTGGTGGTACCTGCTATGACTACAGCAGCGCATAGCGATTGTGGTTGTACCTGCATTCACTATAGCAGTGCATACTGTGGTACGATCCTGCTAGGACTACAGCAGTGCATACTGACTGTGGTGGAACCTGCTATGACAACAGCAGTGCATACTGACTGAGGCGGTACCTCCTATAATTACAGCAGTGCATACTGACTGTGGTGGTATATGCTATGATGACAGCAGTGCATACTGTGGTGGTAGCTACTATGATTACAGCAGTGCATACTGTGGCACCTGCTTTCACTACAGCAGTGCATACTGACTGTGGTGGTACCTGCTAGGATTAGAGCAGTGCCTCCTGTGGTGGTACCTGCTTTCACTACAGCAGTGCATACTGACTGTGGTGATACCTGCTATAACAGCAGTGCATACTGACTGTGGTGGTACCTGCTATGATTACAGCAGAGCATACGGACTTTAGTGTGAGCAAACTACTAACCTGAGTGGCGTCGTGAGGCCTAGTCCCGTGCAAAGCCCCCAGCCTCGCCTAGATTACCCAGCCGGCCGAGGTGGCACCTTGGCAGGCTGGGGGTGGGGCTTACGGCGTGGTACCTGGCTACTTTTTTTAAAAACATAAACCCCACAGTTTGCGAGCCAAATCCTTTGCAAGTGTGCGCACACACAGACAGACAAAAAATGACGCTTATAGGTAAGAAGAAAGATATTTAGCCGACTCGTTCACGCTTGCCAGATGTCTTGGAAGAGCTGGGAGTTTCAACGTTATCCCACTAATTAAATAGTGCTACGTACTTAGACCCACCCATACTGGACGTGTGAAAAAGAGCTTCACAGCTTATTGGATTCCTCCACTCTAAGTAAAGATTCGGATTCTAATAAACTGCCCAGTGCACAGAGGCGCAGGGGATGGGGTTTAAGACACGTGCCTCATTCAACTGCCGCGCGGACGGGGGAGATGGAACCTGCAGCCTCTTGCTTGCAAGTCCAGTGTGACAACCATTCAACATCTGGCAGCTCCCTTCGTTTCTCATTTTTTGTTAAAAAGGTAAATAACCCTCAGTTTTTATAGTATAATTTCTGAAGTTTCACTTGTTTTTGTGTCGTTCCTATATTTGCCACCATATTAGCATGCGAGTTTGATGTGAGAGTTAGAGCGATCCACTCCCATTTAATAGGCTGCTGATAAAAATCCAGTCTCTACAATTGTGATTGCTGTCTGGTGTAGAGCGGTCCCGTCCATCCTCCAATACCTTGCAGATCTCAAGTAGCATAAACCATCACGCAAACTCGATTTCCTCACAGCAGCAGCTTTTGGCAGGCCATCGAACAGATGGTCACCGCATTGCACGCTTTCAGATGCGCTTCCATGGCCGTCTGGAAACCTCTTCCTTCCGATCTTATAAAGCCACTAAAACGATGCACGTTTAAACCTAGATTGAAAACTAATTTCTTTAGAACTGCTTTTGGTTTAGTTCGTTGTCCTTCACCTGCAATTAGTGTGGTTGGCTACATTCTCTTCTTCCTAGCGTTGTTCCCGCTGTGGCGCAGGGTCCGCTTTTCGGCATTGTCTTCTCCATTTGGCTCGGTCCAGGGCATCTTCAGGGGATGCGTTGACCGTCTTCATGTCTTCCTTTATTCGGTCAATCCATCTCTTCTTCGGACGTCCGCGTGGACGGCGGCCCTCTGGCTCAATACGCACGGCAGTCTTGGCCACTGATGACTCTTCACTTCGCATCACATGGCCGTACCACCGAAGTCTTGCCTCAAGCATCTTGTCCGCAATGGGGGCCACACCAAGTCGCTTCCGAACGTCTTCGTTCCTGACACGATCCCATCGAGTGAGCCCGAGGCTCCATCTGAGCATCCTCATCTCCATGGTGTGGAGAGCTTGTTCGTGTACAGTTGTGGCTGGCCAGCACTCGGATCCATAGAGTGCCACCGGTCGGACGATGGTCTTGTATATTTTTCCCTTCAGCCTATCCGGCATTTTCCGATCACAGAGGACTCCGGTGACTTGCCTCCATTTCATCCACGCCGCATTGACTCGTGACCTCACATCAGTCGTGATGCTACCATCTGAGCTGATGGTGGAGCCCAGGTACTTAAAGTCCGTCACTTTCTTCAGATCTTCTCCGTCAATACTGATGGTGCCGTCGGTTTGGGGGCCACACTCCATATACTCCGTCTTTTTGATGTTGAACCTCATCCCGTTTTCGTCCAAACGTTCCTTCCACAGGCGCGTTTGTCTTTCCACTTCTCCTCTCTCTTCATCTGAGAGGAGGACGTCATCCGCGTAGAGAATTGACCATGGAAGGGGCGTGTGCAGGTTGGCAGTGATCGTGTCCATGCACAGGATAAACAGGAGTGGTGACAGGGCCGATCCTTGGTGCACTCCAACGCTGATGGGAAATGGCGGTGATATGCCCACTGCACACCTGACTGCACTGGTGACGTTCTTGTATAGGAGTTGCACCCAATGCACGTAGGTTTCAGGGACTCCATGGGATCGAAGCGAGTGCCAGATGAGGTCGTGGGGGACCCTGTCAAATGCCTTTTCAAGGTCGAGGAACGACACGTGCACAGCTTTGTTCTTCTCTCTGTGCCTCTCCAGCAGGAGCCTCGCCGCGAATATGGCGTCCGTAGTGCCACATCCTTTGACGAAGCCGCATTGGTTGGGTGATAGGGTGATGATGTTTCTAATCCTCGTGTCCAAAACTCGCTCAAAGATCTTCATCGCATGACACAGGAGCCTGATTGGCCTGTAATTCGAGCATTCTGCCACGTCCCCTTTACCCTTCCAAATTGGAACCGTCGTGCTGGTCGACCAGGCTTCTGGGACCTCACTGGTGCTCGTGATGGTGCTGAAGAGCTGGGTAAGGAGGGCAGCACCCTGCCTGCCAAGGATCTTCCAGGCCTCAGCAGGGATATCGTCCGGGCCAGTCGCTTTCCCATTCTTAATTCTCTTGATAGCTTGTTCCACTTCGGTGATGGTGATAGGTGAAACCGGACCGAGGACGTGTTCAGCGCTAATAATAGGTGGGTGGGGAAATTCCTGGTTGCAGATTCCAGAGAAGTAGTCGCTCCAGCGTTGAAGGATGGCGGGCGGGTCTCTGAGAGCGCTGTGATTCTCATCCTTTATGCATTTGACCTGACCAATATCCTGAGTCGAACGATGGCGCGCCTCGATAGATCTTATTGGCACCTTCTGGGGTGTCCAGTTCGACATACAGTTGGTCGTATTGAGCTAATTTCACCGCTGCAACTACTCGCTTCGCTGCCGATTTGCAGTTTCTGTAATGTTGGTAATCCAGATCTGCGAGCGTTTGGCGCCACTTCTTGAAAGCTAGCTTCTTCTCTTTCACTGCTAGCTGAACTTCTTCGTTCCACCACCATATTTGCTTGTCAATGAAGTGTTTTCCCGGCTTAGTTAGCCCCAGTGCTTCCGTTGCTGCTGTGCACAGTTGGCCGGCGAGATCTTCCCAAATCGCATTCGCCGGTCGGTTGGTGTTCACGTCAATCTGATTAAAGGCAACTCTCAGCTGATCCTTGCATTCCTTCATCCGCCACCACTTAATTCGCTGCTGTCCAGTTGTTGGTGGGCGATGTCGCTGGCCAATGTCCATTTTTATGTCCATGACCAGGATGCGATGTTGTGGGGCGATGTTGTCCGATGGTATGACTTTAGTGTTTGTCACCGTTTTCAGCTTATCCCGCTTGACAAGCCAGTAATCAATTTGAGTTGATCTCCCACCACTGGCGTACGTAATGAGATGGGACGGTCTCTTCTTGAAGAAGGTGTTGGCGAGGACAAGATCATGGGCTTCCGCAAAGTCCAGGGCTCGGTTTCCCTCATCGTTCCGGGTACCATATCCTTGGCCACCATGGTTTCGAGGGTATCCATCCCAGGCGCTTCCAACGTATCCATTTAGGTCTCCACCAATTACTAACTGCTCTTCTCCATTTATCGATTGCATGTGTCCATCAAATTGTTCCCAAAATTCCTCCTTGGTATCTGCTGGGCAGCCGGGCTGCGGCGCATAACAAGATACCACCCGGAGGCATAGGTCGTTTGAGTCGATTTCGATGGACATGAGGCGGTCGGAAACACGGTGGACGGCCACGACGTTGTCTCGTAGATTTTGGCTGACTGCGATTCCAACGCCGTTCTTGGTGTTTCTTTCACCGTTGTAGAACAGTTTGTATCCTTCTCCAATCTCCCTGGCCTTTGCTCCACTCCACTTCGTTTCTTGGATGCATACGATGTCGATACGACGGGCCTTTAGGGTTGGCTACATACGCTACGAAATAAGTTCAACATACGCATTCCTGCGGAGGAAGCTGGTAGGAACGTTGGGTTGCTCGGTCAATGGCCAGGGTCAACGGTGGCGTGGTGTATTCCGCAAATATTGCCGACTGTAAGGGCCGGCACAAGCCGGCGTGAGTAGGTTAAACGTTGAGTTTTATAAGGGCACCACGGGGTGACCAGCCCCTCCCCACCCAGCCCGTGACCAGCCCCTCCCCACCCAGCCCGTGACCAGCCCCTCCCCACCCAGCCCGTGACCAGCCCCTCCCCACCCAGCCCGTGACCAGCCCCTCCCCACCCAGCCCGTGACCAGCCCCTCCCCACCCAGCCCGTGACCAGCCCCTCCCCACCCAGCCCGTGACCAGCCCCTCCCCACCCAGCCCGTGACCAGCCCCTCCCCACCCAGCCCGTGACCAGCCCCTCCCCACCCAGCCCGTGACCAGCCCCTCCCCACCCAGCCCGTGACCAGCCCCTCCCCACCCAGCCCGTGACCAGCCCCTCCCCACCCAGCCCGTGACCAGCCCCTCCCCACCCAGCCCCACCCCTCCCAGCCCCACCCCTCCCATTTTTGGATGCACGAAAGACGGACACAATCTCCTGTGGGCTGGTGTAACCAGGAGGTTCCTACCAGTATAACTACACGTGTGCCCGTGCCGTAGGAGCGATGGCAGTGACCGGTAAATGCAGGCGGCCCCGCACGGCCTTCAGCAGCCAGCAACTCCTGGAGCTCGAGCGACACTTCAGCCGCCAGCGCTACCTGTCCCGCCCGCAGAGATTCCAAGTGGCCTCGGCGCTCATGCTCACAGAAACACAGGTGTGTCGCAATGTCCTCCTCTAGCCGTCCAACGATTCGTAATGGCTATAATATTGTGTCCACACTGAATGGATGGGGGCCTTGTAAATGGAGGTGGGTGTCCGAGGGAAACCGAGAGAGCGGTAGAGATGGAGAAATGTGGAGTGATATGAACACTGAAACAGAGACACACGCAGAGGATTAAGAGAGATGGGCACAGACATTGAGGAATATGGTTTGGGAGACGGAGCGAAAAGCAGAGATGCAGGAAGATGCACAAAAACAGCCAGAGACATGAAATATCGGTGAAAGATATGGGAGACTCGAGACAAATGGGGACTTGAATACAAAACGGACGTAAAGTGCACGAGATGGACAGAAACGGAGACGAATGAATTTTATTTTTTTACAGCGTGTGGACCCTTTTCATGCGTTACATGTAAAAAAATTGTTAACCAAGTGCTTTATATGTTGGCCATAGTTATTTGACCATACGTCACCACATTGGACAGTGCAGGTGGTTAAGGGCCCAGCACCGTTCAGCAATTACTCGCCACTAATGTTGGCCACTCGGTCAAAAATCGGACTCCGATTACGGGGTTTAAATCACACACTCGGACCTAAAAACTTGCGCAAACCAATACATTTAACTAGAAACATTGGAAAGGAGGGGATACTACGCAAGTTTGCAGAGTAGCAATAGGCAAATGTCTACAACTTTGTGAGCATCATGGCAAATTAAATAACCTTGGATAGTTGGTTTAGATTTTTTCTCGGCCTGTACGGAAAGACTTGGAGCAGACCCTGGTATAAAGAGCTGAACCATCAATAGCTGGCAGTGGACCGCCATAAAATCCGGCGGAAGGAATTTTCAGAGAAACAAAACGGTGAGAAACAATTGCATAACCATGATTTATCAAGGGTAAGAGTATTTCCGTGGATAACAGCGCATCAAAACGGTGTGCACCACTGGTTCTCACTTCCAAAAGCTATATGTACAATAACCAGCAACAAAGTGTTTTTGACCTTGCCTCAGATTAGTACGGTTGGCTAAATAAATGGTGCAAAAGTAGTTATACATTAGATAACAAAATGTGATTAAAACAGCAACTGTATGCACAATGAATTGCAGGTGAAGATCTGGTTCCAGAATCGAAGAATGAAGTGGAAACGTGGCAAAGGTGGGCAGCTGCAGGAGAAGCAAAGCTTGGGGCCAGCGCGGAGCGGGCAGGCTGGGCGACCTGCTCCAGCTGCTGCCTCCGCCATCACCACGGGACCAGGGGCAAGCAAGGAGCCAGATCGGACCAGCATACCCGAGTAGAATTATTCAACGCGAGAGCTGCGTTTGTCCAAAAGCCTTGGAACAAAAGATATTACCCGTCTGAAAAAAAGGTCGAGTTTAAAGGTTGTTCAGCTCCGTTAGTCTTTGAAGTTCTCGCCTCAGCATGTTGGGCTTAATTATGCATTGGCAATCGGTCCCTTTTGGTCCAGTGTCGGTAAAACAATGTAATTTATCACCAACACTAGAGCAGAAAATCACGGTGATGTGTAGCAAGGGTGACAAGCGTATTAAATAGAAGTACATTCAAGAGAGGGTAGCAACTACTAACATTGGACCGAGTTGAAATGTATTACTTTTACACGGAACCGTTTACAGATAGATGTACATGCCTGTATGCAATAAGCCACGTGTACCATTCATCATGTTAAGACACCAAGGCAACAGTTAAATGCATTGCTAATGTACGTGTGCATGTGTTATTAAAATTAATGCCAGTGTAGTGAACAAGTGGTTTAAACTTTGGAAGAAAGGTGTTTGATGTTGGGAACACAATTACGTTGCAGTCGCCACAAATTTGGCGATTTTATGCTGAAAATTGGCCAAAGATTAAGTAAAAAACACATTCCTGCGGAGGGAGCTGGTAGGAACGTTGGGTTGCCCGGTAAATGGCCAGGGTCAACGGCGGTGTGGTGTATTCCGCAAATATGCACGACTGAGGGTGGGCACAAGCCGGCATGAGTAGGTTAAACGTTGAGTTTTATAAGGGCACCACGGGGTGACCACCCAGCCCCACCCATTTTTGGATGCACAACGGACGGACACAATTCCGTGGGCTGGTGTAACCAGGAGGTTCCTACCAGTAACACGCTACCTACACCTAGACCACACGTAAATGCCCTAATTTTCAGAACCTGAGGGTCAAGCATGGGATTGCTTGGATGGATAGCCTAGATAAAAAGAAACTCGTGCAATTGGTGTTGTGGGCAGTAGAGAGCAGTACAACATCCAAGTTATGCACTTTCCACCCACGTTGAATATCCAACCATTTATTATGCTTGTTCACAAAGGGAAGCCTCCCGACTTTCAATAAAGGATATTGCCAAGTTTGTGCAGGGGGTGGGGGCGACTATTGCTATGTACAGGCGTCTTTCTTAACGAGTGGAGATACGAAAATTGCTTAAGTAAAAATTAGTTGAAATGATCGTTTTCTCATCGACCTCATTAAAAACAGTTAGGTTTTGAACCAAAAATGGTTCACTCTTCTTGAACAGCTTTAACATGAGAGAATCAAACATTTTAGCAAAACATTTGAAATACCACACGAAGAACCAGTGCTTGCAGGAACCAGTCTTAGGCGTCTACAATGAATTTGCTCGTTTTGAACGAATTTGGCCCAAATTAAAATTGCTTCTTCAAACAAATTATTATATAAACTCGTCAAGTGGGACACACCTGTACACAGCAAAGCAATAAGAATTTCAAGTGATTTTTTTAACTTTGGCCCATGACCCCCGTGCACCATGGGGCCGACCGTTCCAAATAATGTCACAGGAGATTTAGGAATCAATTATTGCTCAACCTTTATTATTTTGCAAAAAACAGTTTACCAAAGCATTATGGAGACAAAATATAAGTCAGTTCACATTTGGACAGGCAACAAAACAAATCGCGTATCAAAAGAACACAAGTGTACAAACGCACTAACAAGTAAAACATTTGCATAAGCATCTATTTATATTAATAACCACGCTTGAAAGTACGTAGCTTCAGTCGGCCCTTGCATTGGTCAGGCATCCTCGGATAAATCTGCAGATGAGCCACAAACCAGGTCAGAACAGAGGTCACGTTGGCACCACATCCGACCAGCATGGCCATCTGTATTTAGTTGCACCCCCGCTTTTGCAGATCACCCGTGTGCCCAATGCAGGACTTTAGTTTAACGAGCTTGTCCAAGAACCTCGTTTCAAATTACAACCAGCTTTCAAGGACTTAACATCAAGGCTTGCACAGGTTACATGGCCCGCCGAAAAACCCACAATTCTTCAGTATTCCTCTTCACCCTCTACCACATCGGCACCGTCAATCCCGACCTCCTCGTAGTCCTTCTCAAGTGCCGCCATGTCTTCCCGAGCTTCTGTGAACTCCCCCTCCTCCATGCCCTCGCCCACGTACCAGTGCACAAAGGCTCGCTTGGCATACATGAGGTCGAACTTGTGGTTAAGGCGCGACCAGGCCTCGGCGATGGCTGTGGTGTTGCTCAGCATGCATACGGCGCGCTGCACCTTGGCCAGATCTCCCCCGGGCACCGCGGTGGGCGGCTGGTAGTTGATGCCCACCTTGAAGCCCGTGGGGCACCAGTCGACGAAGCGAACTGCACGTCGGGACTTTATGATTGTGATGGCAGTGTTCACATCCTTTGGGACGATGTCGCCGCGGTAGAGGAGGCAGCAGGCCATGTACTTGCCATGCCGCGGGTCGCACTTCACCATTTGGTTCGACGGCTCGAAGCAGGCATTGGTGATCTCAGCGACGGACAGCTGCTCGTGGTAGGCCTTCTCAGCCGAGATGACTGGCGCATAGGTGGTCAGTGGGAAATGAATGCGCGGATAGGGCACCAGGTTGGTCTGGAACTCATTGAGGTCGACGTTGAGTGCGCCATCGAAGCGCAGCGAGGCCGTTATGGATGACACCATCTGGGCGATGAGGCGGTTCAGGTTGAGGTAAGACGGAAAATCGATGTCCAGTTTCTTGCGACAGATGTCATAGATTGCCTCGTTGTCCACCATGAAGGAGCAATCCGAGTGCTCTAGGGTGGTGTGGGTGGTGAGGATGGCATTGTAGGGTTCCACGACAGCCGTGGACACCTGTGGCGCAGGATAAATGCAGAACTCCAGCTTTGACTTCTTCCCATAATCTGCAGAGAGGCGCTCCATGAGCAGCGACGTGAAGCCCGAGCCTGTGCCGCCGCCAAAGCTGTGGAATAACAGGAATCCCTGCAGACCTGTGCATCGCTCGGACTGGAGGTTGAAATGAAAGGGGCGTTAATACAAAGTTAAAGTTGGAGGACTCAAGTCAAGTTTAGATGCAACAGTAAAACCTCTCGCAACTGGCAAAATATAACATCTACACTATGGGGACCTCATTTGCCAGTAAAAATATGATAATTGGTTCTTTACCCTTCTATCTGGCAACAAAACTGACACCTTTTTGCAAGGAGTCATGTTTGCATAGACCGCAATACCTGCAGTCATAATACAAACAAAAGAACATAACTCTGATAATGTGCACTGTCCTTGAAGTTGATTGGTCCACACCCGAGACAGCTTTCCTTAGAGCCTAGTCTCATATGGGTTGGACCAGATGATGCCAAAAGGCGCCTTTTGGCGTCATCTGGTCCAACCCATATGAGACTAGGCTCTAAGGAAAGCTGTCTCGGGTGTGGACCAATCAACTTCAAGGACAGTGCACATTAGAGTTATGTTCTTTTGTTTGTATTATGACTGCAGGTATTGCGGTCTATGCAAACATGACTCCTTGCAAAAAGGTGTCAGTTTTGTTGCCAGATAGAAGGGTAAAGAACCAATTATCAAAATATGACATTTCACAGCCATCTTCACCTCTGCTGAAATCTATGCTCCCATCGACTTCTCTGTAGTTCATTCTCTAGTTTCAACTAACCTACCTGTCCCTTACCCGATTTCTTCTACCTACACCTAGACAAAGCATCATCCATCGTACATTCTGTACCCTGGCCCTTCTGCTGCCTTTCTTCCCTTCTCAGAGTCATCCTCCTAGGCCTTGGCCAACACCTGGGCTAAATATTTAACGTCGCATTGTACGCACAACCGAGCCAAACTGGAAGACCCTACCCCACTGCCGATTCCCACTAGACTTACATTTCCGTATTTTCAGACTTCAATTCCGCACTAAAGGCTCCGCACCAATCCCTTCCATCCCTAATTTATTCCATTTCAATGCACCCTGCGCTGCTATTTTCTACCTTAAACTCTACTACATCTTGATTTGAAGTTTTTGTGACTGCAGGAATCCATACTGGGTTCTTTTCGGTAAAATCAGAGATAGAAAAGAACGAAACACGACTTTTCGGTCACAACAAGCATCCGTCATCAAGTGAGAAAACGATCTTCTGTCCCCCACCCTTTTGTCCTCTCCAAATATGAGTGAAGATCTCTGAAATTCAGTCCACTCGCCTCACTACCTCCCTTACAGCATCATACCTACCTGCCCCTCCCTACAATTCTTAATCTGCCTTTAAATCATTTTCCCTGCGTTCCTCCTAGAGCTATCAAACGTCTCTAAAACTTAAAACGATTCCTCCCTTGACCTCCTCTACCTACTGCCGTTCCTTTCTTCCATCTGTTATCCCAATCATCCTCCCGTTCTTCCGAAACTCTTCAATTCACTCTCATTTGGCATCTTCCCAAACTGCTTCAAATCCGCCATCATTCTACAACTTCCTGGGAAAAAAACTTTCACTAGATTATTCCAGCCCTGCACACCATCACCCCATTTCCTTGCTTTCCTACTTCTCCAAACTCCTCGAAATGCTAGTTCACACCCAACTCTTTCCTCGCTCTTCTCCATTCTCTCCAGCAGTCTGGTTTCCATCTGCTCAACTCCACAAAACAGCTCTCCCTCCATGTGCACAACCACTTGGCTAACTCGCACCACCTTGGGCCTTTCATGGTCATAATTTTCTCAACCTGCCTGTGGCTTTTGGACACCCTTTATCACTCCATCGTATCCACCACCCAATCTCAACATCTCTGGCATCCCACTTCATTGACGCTGCTCTTACCCCACTTCTCGTTCATCCGCCGTCTCTTTTAACCATGGTTCTTCCTCCCCCTCCGTCATGGCTGGCATTCCCCAGGGTTCTGTACTTGGTCCCCTCCTATTATCCTTCTACACATCCGCCCTCGATCCCATCAGTTCTTCCTTCAATCTTTCGTATCATCAATTTGCCGACTACTCAAATCTTATTTTCCTTTAAGGCTTTCACCCCTGACCTGACCACATCTAATTCTTTCTAATGGCCATTCAAGCATGGATGACACATTTCCTTTCCCCTTCTAAAATAGGTGCTCTACTTTCCCATCTCTCGCCCTCCTCCTAACCCTTCCCTCTGCTCAGTCCAACTCCGATTGCATCTGTCCATATTCTTGGCGTCACCTTTGAATCTTCATTTGCCTTCACTTCCCACATCGACAACCACTAGCATATGCTGCTTCCATCTTTTCAATGAATCAGGAAAATTCGCCCCCTCATCACCGCCGCCAAACTTATTGTGCACTCCCGAGTCTTCATGTCTGGATTATTGCAATTCGCTCCTGGTCAGTCTCTCTTCCCTACGCCTTTGCCCCTCTAGAAAGTCAAAAATCGGCTACACGCACCATCTTTAACCTCCCCTTCACCACTCGTTGCGCTCCTCGCAATCAACTTCAGAGGCTTCCCATCCATCACTACCGTTACTGCCTCTTCACATTACTCACGTTTCAAAGCTTTTCATGGACTGCCCCCCCCCCCCCAAACGGTCTAATTTCCTTGTCCAATCAGGCCTGCTCCAGTCACAAGCTGCCGATCTTCTTGCGGTCCCTCCACCCTGCGCCCAATCTCGCTTCAACTCCTACTTGCTCCCTTACGCACCTGGAACAAACTCCCTCTCCACAGACTCCCCCTCGCTTTCTTCTTTTCACACCGTCCCCAGGTCCTAGCTTTTATTTTTGCCTTTTCCCTTCCTCTTCCGCTACCCCTACCAGCACCACATAATGCGTGCAATGCCTCCACCACACATCGCTCCTTCCACCCTAGTGGACTACCCAATTTCCAATCCCTTGCCATTTGTCACTGTAGTCCGCAAGCATTGTTAAGCACCTTTGTGAATGGCGCGCTATAAATACAGAATAGAATCTTAAAATGGTTTCGTGGCTCAGTGAGGCTACCCTAATTTAAGGACTTATAAAACAGAGCTCTCCCAAACTCCATTAAACATGGAGCACTCATTTCCATTGGAAGTCCAGAGCTAGGTGGAGATTCCAATCATAAAGCCAGGATAATTTAAGACCCACTTCCTGCCAAGGTGGACTACGATTAAATTACTCTAAAGATGGCAGTTGAAGGCTAGGTTCTACAAATCCACAGGTTGGTGGATTTCAGTTTGCTATATGGCCAATAGCCCCAATAGCTTGAGTTGTGCGATTAACTGTAGAACATTTCACAAGACATTGCAATGTAAAGGATGCTTTTTGAAGCACAGCACGTGCCTCTGGAGCACGGTTGGTGTGATTTTACAGCATTATACCTCGCTACAGGATGCACTTGTTAGGAAGCCTACTACACTTCAAAGTGGATCAATTTAAAAAAATGTTCTGCGAGTCTTGCTACAACTTATCCCATCTTCAGAATGAAACATTAAAGAACAGAAAATAATAAAAACCTCAATGTGAATATTGAAAAAATACCTTATTTGCCCACCTTCCAGAGACGAAATTGACGGCCATACCTCGACCTATTCATTGTTGGATAAATGCTCACCAAAAAAATGTAAATTAAATTTATCTTCTGCCCAACTGATTATTTATTTGCAGGTAATACAGATAAGAACACTTAAGTTGTGGTTTTGCATCTGTTGAACTGTTCAAAGTACATGCGGCGACACAGACGCAAAACAAGAAAAAAATCCCAATTTGAGAGGCGTATATCTGAAACCCCCAAAAGCTAGCAGAATTTGGGATTTATTACCATGGCACCTTGCAGATTTTAGGATGCTGGACAAACGGTCCGGACATCACCGTCGCGTTCGAGTTTCTGTATTGAACACCTCATTGTCCCGTCTGTGGCCAGCTTCAATGCATTCAGAAGTGATGGTACATCCAAAGAAGAGGAAAAACAAATAATCACCAGTTTGCGGATTCTGTCCACAACAGTCTCAACGATCTGTTTGCCAATCGTGTAGTGGCCACGCGCGTAGTTGTTGGCTGCGTCCTCCTTGCCACTGATCAGCTGTTCCGGATGGAAGAGTTGTTTGTATGGTCCCGTGCGGACCCCATCTGGCCAGGTGAGCACACGCAAAGGGAGGTTTGTAAGAAATCAGGTCAATCGATGTTGCAGTTTAAAATTATGAGATTGGTCTAGCAATGGAAAGTCAGGTGTTGGCAATGTCATCTTCCCATAACAGGGGACATTTGTTTTGCTCCTTAATCTTTATTTCCACTCTGTAGCCTGTCCAGTTGAAGTAAAAGTTAGTTGATGAACACCGGTTATTATTGCCCATCAGCAAATCTCAAAAATACTTATCTGCACGATTTGAGCATCACTAAATATTCAGAAACCAGTACCAACATGAGAATAGGTTTTCTACCTTCTGGCAACAAAACAGGTGGTCAGATCAGTTTAACACAGTGCATGATTGGAATATAATCGATACTAGAACATAACAATCGGCTGATAATGTGTTTAATCTAACAAATGCTAACCAAATTAACACATTTTCTAGACTTTACAATAAACAAATCCCTATTAAAAACGAACAATTTAAAAACAAAACCGTAATGAACTTGACTAACACTGATTTAACCACTGACATGATTTCTGTCCTTTCTAAAGGCCTTAACTTTGCCGTTACCCCACGCACAATTCCAGTGGATGAGATAATTGCCGCGGTAGAATCAGCAGTAAGACTCCTTCAACATATTGAGGCAGAGATGACTAGACACAGGGTTGCCAAAATATCTGAGAATAGTAAAGTATCAAAAGTAAATATTAGCTCGAACGAGGCAAAAGCCTTAAGAGAGCTTCGTCTAAACAAAGATATTCAAATCCTAGCAGCTGATAAGGGCCGCACTACAGTAGTGATGTCACGAGCCGATTATGATAATAAAATTAAAGATTAGAGGAAAGTACCTACATTAAAATTAAACGAGATCAACTAACACTTTGGAACGTAAGACTACTGCAATCATTGCAAATTCATTAATCCCAAAAAATGAGCAATTCCTAATTAAGCCAAGGGCTTCAAAACCACCTAGACGGTATGGGCTACCAAAGATCCATAAAATCGGCATCCCTTTACGACCCATAGTCAGTACAATTGGCTCTGCCACATAAATTAGCAAAATATGTAACTAAACAAATACAGCCTTACATCGGTAGGACATCATTCATAAGAAATTCAGAACATCTTGTGAATATGATCAAAGATATTAAACTTAACCCTAATGATATTTTGGTGAGTTTTGATGTGATTTCGCTATTCACCAAGGTTCCAGTGAGCGAGTCGCTTAAATTACTTGATACACTGGTAAAGAATACAGGTTTACCAAAAGATATTCAGAAACTCGCAGACCATTGTTTAAATAACACTTCTTATGGAGAGGCGAATTCTTTAAATAAAGGGAGGGAGCAGCAATGGGCTCCTGTATCTCCTGCTATAGCAAATTTGTACATGGAAAACTTTGAAACCAGAGCACTTGCCTCGAGCACATTAAAACCATCCTTTTGGTTTTAGATATGTGGATGACACTTTGGTTGTCTGGCCACATGGTAAAGATACACTTAACGATTTTCTAAATCATCTCAATGCACAAAACCCGGCCATTCAGTTCACCATGGAAATGGAGGTGAATAACACTCCCGTTCCTGGATATTTTACTTGGGCATGGCCTAAATGGTAAAATAACACAGCGTTTACAGAAAGCAAACGCACACTGATGCCTATCTGAATGCAGATTCGCATCATCACCCAGCTCAGAAATCCTCTTATCAAGACGCTCATACATCGGGCTAAAACAGTGTCAGATGGTGAAAGTCTAGTGAGAGAGATTAAACATGTTAAAGCACGAAGACAGAATGGCTACAATAATGCGCAAATTAACAGAGCACTAAATGCCAAATCACGATCGCAAAGCAACACTGCTGAAAGCGATCAGATTATTAAAACAATTTATCTCAGGAGTAACTGACAAATTAGCCCGTGTTTTGCAAAAGCAAAACATTACAGTAAGAGTTGGTACAGTAGACAAAATTAAACAAATAGTAACGTGCACTAAAGACGAATTACCTAAATTATCAACAGAAGGTGTAGATCGGATTAAGTGTATGTGGCAGATGCTATATTGGACAGACAGGGCGTAACGTTAGTGTAAGACTAAAAGAACAGAGAAATATTAAACTCACAAACACAACTGTCGGCAGTGGCAGAACATGCATGCCAACAGGGACACTCAATTGATTTTGACAACGTTGAAGTGTTGTGTAAAACTAGTTACTACTGGCAAAGACTAATTATAGAATCGATTGAAATTGAAAGAAACAGAAATAACTTTAATCGCTCAGACAGCTACAGGCTTAGTGCGGTCTGGAAGCGTATTATTAAATAAGATACATTACAATTCCTTATAAGGGAAACAAACACCGATTACTAATGTAGCATAATCACAACAAAACACATTCCAAATGATTACTAATCTACAACTCGCATCGTAACAATAGCCCAATTACTAATCTAGTATATAATTACAATCACTCCCCCCTTGAATCTTTGCACCTGAGGAGTTAATGAGTTAATGATGACGTCACCCTGCTGCTGCTCTATATAAAAACTGGAGACACAGCAGAGCCTCACCATTCTGGCAAATTGCCCGATGATGCTGGATGCAATTAACAGCGAAAGTCGTACTCAAATTGTAAATGTTGTGGCTTCACACCGGTGGGCTAAAGCAGTGAACTATGTCTTTTGTCAACGTGACACTTTTTTACTGATTGGCCGTGTCGGGTGGTGGAGGGTTACGACACATTTATAAATAACGCGATCTAAACCCAAAAACGTTGAGGTGGTCAGATGTTAAAACGCCAAAATGAAACCTTTTACATTAAATCACAATATTTGTCAGAATGCAACCGATTGGTCCACACCAGAGACGGTTTTCTTTGGAGCCCAAGTCTTTTGGCATCCTCTGGTCTAACACATTGAGACTAGGCTCAAAAGAAAGCTGTCAGTTTCAATGACAATGCAGAGTATTTTCTTTTTGCATTCTGACCACAAGTATTGTGGTTAATGCAGACATGATTCCTTGTAAAAGGTTTTAGTTTGGCGTATTAACATCTTAACACCTGTTTTGTTGCCAAAAAAAGGGGTAAAACCTATTCAGTCAGAAAACAGGTTCGTGTCTTTATAAATAATCGTTTGGGCGCATCTCCTTTTGCAACTCCTGTTTTGAAAAAATAAAATGGGCAGGTTATTACCCGGGGAGACGGGTAATGGAGAGAATACACCCAAAGAGGACGACCATTGTGGTTATATTAGGTCGATGAGATGCGCTTGTGCAAATGGGCAAAATTTGGTAGCATCACAGCACGAGGGGTGGTAATGTGGGATAGGCCTTAACCTTGCAGTTGACAGTTCCCTGTCAGGCTCCTATCAACCACTGTTGACTTCCCCACAAAGTGGTACCCATTTTAGAAAACAGCGCAGGATGAGCAGCGTTAACCACCAATACCAGAATTGAGCCTTCCAACTGCGATTTGCCTGCTTCAACCACGCATCAAGATCTAGCTCATTTTATAAAACAATGTAAACAATGCTCAAACTGTCATTTCAAATATTGTACATCGACAATTTATGGTGTTAAGAAACGTTACAAACGACTTTTTGTGGTCTTCATTGGGCCATTACAAAAAAGGTACACAGCCTTTGAGTGCCATCATTCAGTCTGGACTTTGTGCTTAGAAATTTTAATTCCAGGAACAGCCAGATTAATATCATGCCGTGTCAACAAAGCATTATACTTGGAAACTAGAAGCTAGTTCTTTTCTAATAAACACTGGTCCCAAATAGGTTGACAAGTGTACTTGAAAACGTATTTATATATAAACTATTTATCTTTCCTGGAATCATGTTCTATATACGTCGACTTCAGGGAGTAGAGTATACACAGTTTTAGACATTAAAATTAAGACGTTACGTATGAATGCAATCGTTTTAAGCCATTTAATTTTGGCCAAAGCAAACTATGTAGTCGTCAATTAAATAGCAATATTTATTTAAATGTCGCTAATTAAAGCGTTGTGGCCAATATCACACCAAGCTTCCTCCAACTTGTGCCAATACACAGCATCTGACACTCATTCAGGGTCACACGACACCCGACACTTATTTAGGGTCAAACTAATGCAAGGGTGGCCCCCCAGTATAGGTTTAGATGCCAAATGTATCCATGGCTCTATTTAATCGAGGTAGCCATACGTTTATGGTGCAACATCAAAACCACTGCACAACCACTCCCCACCACAAAAGGATGAAGGCAAAATTCCCATACGGAACCAACTTGAATGAAGCAAGGGCTGTCTAACAAGCGTCGGGTACTTGGCACTACGCTCGGCCACTTTTTTTTTAAGTGCCAAGGTGGAGACCCCGTGGAGCAGTGGCTAGCGTGCCACATTAAAAATCCACCAACTTCCAATGCGTGCTTGGCTGCTACAACCGAGTACCCTGTTGGACAAGCAACTCATATTTAACCCCCAACCCTCTCTCCCCCCGTAAATGTGTAGGGAGACCACATGGCTCACCAATAACAGAAGGCTCCAGGTCTATGAAGATGGCTCTGGGCACGTGCTTCCCAGAGCCGGTCTCGCTGAAGAACGTGTTGAAGGAAGAGTCCACGACAGACGTCACATCAGTGTGGGTGGCTAAGTGTCCATCTGGCTTGATGCCGTGCTCCAAGCAGTAGAGTTCCCAACAAGCATTGCCCATCTGCACGCCTGCCTGCCCGATGTGGATAGAGATGCAATCGCGCTGCAGAAGGAGACAAAGTTGCATTCAGTGAATACGTTTTGGCAAGTAAGTGGATTCAAAAACGGCACTTTGCTACACGAGCATAATGTCCATGCTTTTAACATTGATAAAAAATGACACTTGAAATGGCACGAGCAAGTCAGCATCCTCACCATCACGGCATAATGCTCGGAGTACATTTTATACAACATTATAGTTCTACAGTTACATTTTAAATAAACACTTGGGCAAGCATCTCACTGTACTTTAGTTGTACATATTGCGGTGGAGGATGTCTCCACAAAATAGGGCCAATGCCAACATAACGAGTGGCCACAGGCAAGATCTTCACACCACTAGATATTTCACACAAACAATGCATCAGAGGCATGGTGACACGTTCAGAGCTGTAGAGGCAGGTTTTTTTGTAGATTACATTTTTAATTTTACAATTATTTTTTATTAGCTGGCGTGCATTTTTTCAGATGGGATTTTTTTTTTTATCCTTTTAAATACCTAGTGGCTGACACAAATATGGCATACATTGTAACGGACTTGCAATTACACTCAAGTACTACAAAGCAATATCTATACGTATGGATTCTGAAAGTTGCCAACATGCCATTGTGCTGGTATTTGGTTAAAAGATGTAGAAGCTAATGTATTAACACTTTCGGCCCTTAGTTGGCAATCATTAATAACGCACTGTTAATCCATCAGTGATTAAAAGACACGGATCTTTCCACTTCACACCCGTGTATCACCAAGCTTTGCCAGATCAATGCAACACGAAAACGTGGCAATGCATCTCACAAATTCTTACAACTGGCATAGATGCCCCAAATTAAGCCCCATGCAAAAGTTGTACCAAGTCGCTTGGAGGCTCGAATCTTTTACTACAATTTCCTTTGTATCTGTACATCTACAGCCCACTGCTGGACGAAAGCTTCCTCTCCACGTCAATGCAGGTTATTCAAACCCACGGTGAATTAACCTCACTACGCTGGTCAATGCGGGTTGAAACGGCAGGCTAGATACGCTGGGACATAGCCCCATGGAGACGTTGCTACACTGCCCTTTCCCCCCTGCTGCCAACGTAGCCCCGACACGAGCCTACTACTACACCTGGTTGGGTCCATGGTGTTCGCCCCCATACTAAGGACTATCCAGGCTCAAACCTGATTAGTGTGCAATAGCCAACGGTATCAGGCTATAGGCATAATGGACATACCCATGTGAATAAAAAAAAAGCCGGACTTTTTTTTACATGTATGCAGACTCGTAAAGGTGCATTACTCCAGGGCAGCCTTCCGCATTCAAAGAACCATGCGGTACCAATTTCTTTTGGCGACCTAGAGTCCTTACCGAAAATTACACGGTCCATCATTTTCACTGGACACGCTTAGTTTCCTTCAAAATATAATAAATTGTATTTAACCTAGGACGGATGATCTGCAGTGAACCCTGGCCAAGGATTTGAACCAACTTTCAAACGAGAATAAAGGAATGTTCCTTTTAGTAATTTAGATCTTAAGCGTATTAAAAAAGTAGACGCAATGTGTAACATTATCGCAAATTCTATACAATATAGCATATTTATTAAATTTATATGTCTGCTTAGAAAATGTATATTATATATTAAAAGATATCTAGTCTTGTTCTTCAATCCACGAATGGATAAGTACCTCCACATGCCGTGCCGGTCACAGAAGTTGTTTGGCCATACTTCACCACACTGGTTAGTGTGGATTGATCGGTGCAAATCGAGGTAGAGGGGGTGTAGCAAGGCCGTAATTATAATATATATTGGGGGGGGGGGGGGAACATCCCCCCAATATTCAAATATGATCAAAATGTCCCCCCCAATATATTGCTATAAAAATAAAAGTAATAATAACTGCTATGTATATATTAAAAAAAAATCAATTTGCTAAACCTTGGCCACAATCTGGACTGGTCTTCATATAATTCAATGCATAGAGTGATGTTAATATGATTGTGGTTATGGTTGTACATTATTAATCCCTAATCTCAAACATTACATACAATGAAACAAGAAATGGTAAAGTAAAACAGAGCAATGTAATACAATACACTATTAGACATTGTTAAAACTAAATAAAAGTCCATCCCATGTGTTAGTGAATTTTTTTAATATTTTAGGCAGGAAATTAGCTTTCAAATTTAGATATTTTTCTGGGTTGGGACCGCCAGACCCCCTGGAAGATTTGCCCCCCCCCCCCCCCCACAATGTTGACTCCATGGCTACGGCTTTGGGGTGTAAGATCAGCTCGGATCACTTGCCACCGATCGAGATCGGCCGCGGCGGGAGTCGAACTCGCAGAGTTCACAACGCAGTGGCGCCAACGAATGGGCCACGGCGCCTTCCTCCACCATTCGAAAAACAACTCGCATTATACACTGTATTGTAAAATACACACGCGCCCCCACCGCCCTTAAGACTTACCGTCATTCTTGGTGTGGGGGATAAAGAAACAATTCTCAAGAACACGAGCTCGAACAGCTCCCTGACAACTTTTTTTCTTAAATGCAGGTTTACGCGATGGCGTGGGCTCAACCCAATACAAAATACAATAGCGGCTTACCTCACCGCACCTCTATTTATAATGGGGTGCAGCAGGTTTGATGAGCTCGTGATCAATAATAATCATCTAAATTGTGCTCACCTGAAAAGAGCTGTCTCGCTAAGCACCATACAAGGCCTGCTAATCCCATTCACTAAAACTAATCAACAACGCAGTTTGTGGAGACCAATTGACAATGCCATGTGAAGGAGGGAGTCGGGGTGGGGGGTCCTTAATACCATAGCATTTATTCATTATTATATCTGCCACAGCTGGCACGGATAAATAAAGAGATACAATTTATTACTCTGGTTTCAATGAGCGCGTGTTTTGTTTTGCTGAAGTATGTGCCGTTCAACTGAGTAAACACATGCCTTGGAAGATGACAGGACAAAAAAAATAAAGACATAAAAAACATGTTTTACACCTGTAGCAAACTTGCACGTGCGCGGTTATGGTTTAATGTTGCTCCCGAAGTTGTTTAATAAAGACTTCAATCTTTAATAAAGCCAGATTTACTTATCGTGTCGAGACCACCCTCGGTACAATAATCTGAAACTACTTAATTAGTGAGTTGCCGAGGAAGAAAGCAAAATAGACAAGCCCAATACCGGGACATGCAGAAGAAAACATTGACTCTATAAAACTTGAGTATATTTTTTTTATTTTCCCAGGTAAGGCCAACTGAGCTATTTTGCTCTATTTTAGATGCGACCTGGACACAAATGATAGCTCAACGAGGTGGATTATCACGTGGAAATTTATAGCAGCCATATACTTGAAACGCATTTTTCGAAATGTCGATGGAAAAAAAAACAGAGGACACGGAGAAAAATCCACGCGACTACAGGGTGAAAACGCAAATTCCAAATATACAGCAGGCGCCAGGCTCCGGATAGAACCCACGACTTTCTGTACACTAGGCGAGAGAGTTAACATCTCGCCACTGCGGTCTGACAGTATACGGTGCATATTAGTGAGCTGGTAAACGGCCAAGTATATAGGTTAGATATCCCAAAAGTCAGTAAACATAGGGTTATTATATTGATTTTAACAAATGACAGTGTTATTTAATGTATTTGAACAACCGTTCAAACTCACTTCCATTAACATTTATACATGGATGAATTATCTTTTGAAGTGGATTGAGGATTTTCTTTTTAAGAGGGCAGGTGTTATCTTTAAACATCGGGTATGTTTTGTCTCAATTCATTCAGGGTTTCTTGGTCGCGTTTTGTAAACGATGCATTTGATATGACCCCACGGGAAGAAAAAAACAGATATTAATAACAATTAAAATGTTGTAATTCCAGTGTCAAAAAAAATTAAATAACCCCTCATGTCCGAACTTTTGGGCCACCCTGTTTATATATTCTTTGGTTCTTTCGGTAAAGTCACATCGATAGAAAATGAAAATAAAAACATTTAAATAAAATTACGAATACAATTTAAAATAAAAGCAAAAAACCCAAGAGGTGCAATGTCCCCCCCCCATCTCTACCCCCTCTCCCCCCTATCTCTACCCCCTTCCTCCCCTCATTGTCTAACACACTTGGACTGCGCCCCTCGCCTTCTGCTCCACCTCGATCTCGCGTTTTACTCCCACATTAGCACAGGCTGCCCCGTCCATGCTGTTTACGCCGCACAGCTTTTCTTTGCTGCTGCCTCGCAACTCTCGTCCCCCGCCCACTCACAACTTTGGAAGCCCTTATAAGCAGTTGCATTTGGTGGCTTGCCCCCTCTTTTCTCTCCGTCTGATGAAGACCGCTTGTGTTGCGATCAAAACGTCGTAGCTTTTTTGCTTTTATTTTATTTTAAATTTAATTTTAAATGTTTTTTCTATCTACGTGACTTTACCGAATAAACCAAAGAATACGAATTCCTGCAGTCAGGAAAGTTTTAAGTAAAAATTAAAAACTCTGCATATACGTATACAATGGAATGCTAAATTAAAATTAATCCACCAGGTGGCAGTCACAGCACACGCTGCATAGCCTTGCCATCACGACCAACCCTCCACCCATTGTTAGGATCTGTGACGCTCGTGGAAATCGTCATTGGCAGTCCCGAGCTTGCCAGTGAAGCTTGTGCCTGTATAGTCCTTTCCCCGCACCTCTGATTAGCACGGTTGGCTATGCACGGTAGGAAAATAGTTCAAAATACGTGCAGCTCTCCGAAGTGTTTTCAGTTCTTGAAGTTCCACAAGAATGTGGAACGAACGTCGAACGAACATTGCGACGTGGAGCAGTAACTACTGAAGAAGATGGACAGGCTTTCGATCGGGCTGACACAGGGATGACACAGCCACAATTGAGCGATGTCTCGCGATCGGAACACCCATTACTTTTAGAGATGCATGCGCGGCAATTCGGTTCAAGTTCAAGTTCATTTATTAGGTATAGCCCTGTG